GTGGCGAATAATTGTAAAAGTATTTTAATGTTAGGTCGAAGATTGGTACGATAAGAGAGTGAATCTAGAGCAGAATTCGGTTTTGAAATAGTATTTTGACTCCATTGTTGCCTCCATATGAACAGGTCAGCCCTGATTGTAGATGAGGTATCATCATGGAGATCTTGGACATATATTTTAGCAGCTTTTATAATATTTTTATCGTCATACATATTTAAATTGGCCGGAATAAGTCCTTCAAGTGGCATAACATCAATAAGCCTTTGATTAAAACGAGCATTGATTCTATTAAATAGTCAAGATACATTATACATATAAACACGGCCCATGGGGGAGGCCATAGCCCCCTTAGCCACGAAGTCCAAAATTGGTGACAATCCCGGTTTTTCGGGACGTATGGCAACCCTACCATATAGGTCAAAATCCAAGTATATGTTGAAAAAAGGGAATGGGTAAACCAAATATGTGAAATTAATAATGGAGTGATGGAGAACCTAAGTAAATTAATAAATGATGAAGTAATCGATGTTTCGATTGATATTGAAGTAAGGACAAAGGTGACTTATTACGCGTAGCTAAATCAAGAGTGAATCCTTGTTGTATCTATATATTTGTTAATTAAACATTTGGAACCAACAGTAAACATTTCAGAATGGGTTCTAAATAACAAGTTTACCAGAACATTTTTAAAATATTTCTTTAATCGCAATCGAGTGATCCGTAAAAATAGGTAGCATTTTTACGTTATAAAAAATAATCTAGGCTAGTTTTTTTTTTTTTAGCTTTTAAAGTCTATTCAGGGCTTTTGCTGCCTCCATTATTTTTCGCCAATTCTCCTTATTTTCACTCTCTTCTAGCTTCATTCCTGGTGTAATTTTTACCAGATCTATTCTTAAGGATCTTATCTTAATCTTAAGTGTCCATCCATCTTTGCTAGTTACAAACAATAATTATATTGTTATATTTTTTTTAAAAACTATTTTTTTTATTTTCTTACGCGCAATAAAAAAAAATTTAACCGAAAATCGTTTTAAAACAGAAGCCTAAGTTTGGGCGTTAGGATAAATGTAAACTATTGTCACAGCTACGAACGACGTTTCTTTTACGACGATGCAGCCCCGTTGTTCTGATGTATGTTGTGATGATTGATTTAGTCAAAATAGTACCTAGTAATCTATCCAGTGAAACGGGAACTTTAAATATGTTCAAAAGTATACACAAACTTATCGAATTCTGTAGAAAAAAGTACAAAACTCATATACTCGGAGCTCGAAACCGACGAAGAGTGACATAGAAGTAGAACTGGCAAACTAAGAAGTTGATAAGATTATAAAATCTAATATAATAATAATAATAATAATAATAATAAAAGATTATATTTAAGTTGATTATAAATACTAGTACTTATAATCATTAAGAGGATCTATGAAAATATGTTTCCTTGGAAGATTCATAGCGTAGATATTTGTTTTATTTATAATGTAAATTTAATCATGATTAATAAATGATTAATGTTAATGGTTCAGGTAACGCAGTTTATAGTGAGTAATCACGATAAAAAAAATTACTTGCATTGTGTTTACATTTTGATACACACCCAACATAAATTTGCACGAGTGTCTGTTTTTACTATACTCAGGCCCGACGAGAGGGAGGCAGCTGGGGCTGTAGCTTAGGTGTCCGGACTTCAAAAAAGTCCCGGGGTCTGACCAAGTTCACTAAGTCTTAGTCATGGTGTCGAGTTATTTATGGATCACCAATATTAATCGTGCTAATAATTATAGCGTATGCTGTATAGTTATAACGAGTCTACAATAAAGTGAACACTACAATATTGATCTAACACGTAAACAAATAACATTTTCAAGAAAGACCCATAGGCTATAAATAATTTTCATTTAGTCTGTGGACTACTCAATGATTGCGATTACATTATCTCTTTGGTATGTACATCTTAAAAGAAGACACTGGATGTCAGTGGCAAGTTTAATAGGTACGTTGTGTGAGAAGGGCCTGGATTCATTGAATTAATTTGTCCCTGGGGCTCTTGATTTCTCTCCACGGCCCTGATTACACTTTGTGAAACATATGCATTTTTCTTAACTTTATCAGTTACAGAAGTTAACTATGAATGAAGCTATAAAGCCAGCCGATAATAAGTTATTGACTAGAGTTTCGTACATGGTAATTTTCTTCGTGAATACTTGCGAATAGTACATCAGATCAATAGAGATAATCATGCAATTTTACGATTTTCGTAAGGCGTCGACACACACTCCTCACTACAAATTTTTATTTTTTACAAGACTTGAGTAAATTTTTTGTCATACCGTTTGAAGCCTCTGAACACGTTTTAGATGCTAAGTTACAATCCAAATATCAAGATATATAAATGTTTATTATTGATATATTGATAACAAATAACTATAAATTATTTAAAAAAAAAAAAAAAAACCTACAATATTACACAGGTAATATTAATGTAAACAAAAATAATAACAAAAAAATAAAATAGAATTTCATATTTGGTATAATGAATATAGCTTACTTTTAAAATAATATTTAAGTGCACATAATTACTTAACAACTAAAACATTTTTATAGAATTTCTGTTTATTCAATTGAAAATAGTATGAGAAAATAATATGCACTTAAATAATTAAAACAATTATATTTAAAAATAGACTACAATTCATTATATTCTATGATGCAACCTTTTTTATAACAAGTATTTATAAACATTAACAAATGAGCATAGAATACAAAATTTAATGAACCTAATAGGTGTTCTATATTAATATCTACCTACTAATATATTTTGAACAATTGATTTTTGATTCAACTTTTAAAAACTATAAATTACAATTAATACTGACATTTTTAGTTGTACTGTTCCATTATTATTTAGGATTATAAATAGTTCAACATGAACAAATATTTTTTTAATGGGTACAATAGAATTTTAGTTTTGGAACATAGTTTGTCATTAATTAATTAATGTAGACAGGAAAACATTTTTAACAATTCATATTTATCCATAAATACCTCTTTTATTATATTTTATACATAAAAAAAAAAGGTAATTTAAATTCTACTTTACCATATACATAAAATATATAAAAAAAGAAATAGGTATGGTTGGAAATCTGTAATCCAATATTTTTAAATAGATTGAGTCAAAATATCAACATGGACAATTTTGTATAAAAATAGTAGCTTTATACAAATATATTTTACTTATTAGAAAAATGGTAAAAAAATATAATATTGATTTAATTATTTTTTTTAGACATTAATCGATTATTTATACAATTTTAACAAAACGAAGACTAATAAAATTTATAATTTTTGTTAGATTAAATATTACTTGTATCAAAAATAACTATAAAAGTTACGATTTTTATCTAAAAATAATTTATAGCACCTTAGGAACAAGTACAATATTTACTTTAATAATCTAAAACAATAGTATTGCTATTTATAGTATTATACATTGTTATTGTTTTGCAATTTTTTTCAATTTGTTGGGATCAAATAAATTAATTGATGATAACAGAGCCATTCTCTGATTATCTGGTTGAATTAAATGTGGTGAAATAACAGGAATAGTTGATGGAGGAAGTGGTGGTGGCGGTGGTGGAGTAGCTATTAAAGATGATGAGTTTCCAACAACTAGAACAAAATAAAAAATATATATAATATAACTGACATTTTTATTACATTTTTTTATTTTTAGTTCTTACAAGTTATGATGATATCCTTAATAGTATAAGGTTAAACTAAAAAATATTATAATTTAAAATATTTGCTGAAAAATTTAAATATTAGTATGTTCTACATGTACATATGCAATACTTAACTAGAATGATAAAGGGGAAAGTCTGGGTTAATAGCTCCTAAGAATTTATAGAAGAGATACATGGGTCCTAATTCCTATTGTTGATTATATAACATATTTAGAAGAGCTAATCTCCCCTCCAATTGATGCTCTTAAACATATATAAGCAACTTTATTAGATAAGACATTAAGTGGACTATTCACTGTGTGAGTTGTCAATGGACACAGTTTACTGTTCAGTACAATGTGTATAGAGTTATTTTTATGATACTATGAATTAGACTAACAGTTTAAATGGATTGAGTGGTGATATGGTGCCTACTGGGCATATAAATATGAATATTGTATTATCTGTGGAGGAATTTGCAAGGAAATTTATTTATAATATCAAACTAAATACATTCGGGCTTGGAAAAAGTCTATTTATAATGACACATAAATTAAATTTTACCCTATCAAGAAAATTATATCAGATATTACTACTATGTATGTACATAATTCCAATATGGAATTTATTATTTCAGTATAAAATAACATATTGTATTTAAATTTAAAAGTCACCAAATTACAAAAAATAGAAATACAATTATTCTATTTTATTATAAGTAATGAATAACACATTAGCCAATAGGCATATATTATTTTAAAATAAATTATAAACATAGTATAATACGCACTACTATTGGTCGGTGTATCAGAACCATTCGAAGTCAATGTACTGTTACTACTCGAACTATGTGATCTATTACTATTGTCAAGTGAACTGCTATTTTTAATTGTATGAAATTCCTGTTTAAAAATAAAAATAATTACCATAAAGTAATTACAAATGTATATTAAATATATAATCAATAAATACTTACAAAACTTTTAGATTGTATTACTTCAGGACAATTTTCAGAATCATGAATAATTTTATAAATTTTTTTATGGCGTTTTTCTAATGCATTCTAAAAATACAAATTAATTAGTACTCTGTAATTATAAATTTTTGAAGTTTAATATACTAAAATATAATATATAGATAAGTTAACATTTTTTAAAAGAAAAATTAAGTCACTTAAGATAATTCCTGTCTTGGAGTAGTACTCAAAATTCATAGTTTTTAATAATTGCATTCTTAAACTTTATAATGAAAAACTTACAGATAAAAATATATTAACTAAAAAAAAAATTTAAATTAATTGCTTAAAAAATTAGTCTTTTGGTTCTATATTGTACATACTCTTTTTTGATCTTCAAATATTCTAGCCATGCATTTTTCAGCAATTAGAATAAAATGTTCTTTTACTAAAGCCGGTATTTTGTACTTAAAATAGGATGGGTCCTTTTGGTCTTCAACCATTCGTGCATGTTTAAAATTTGTTAATATTGTATTCACATTTGGCATTAATAACTTTGATGAAGAAGGTGCAAGTATAGTTTTCATTTGTTTAACTGCAAAATATTAAGTTATTTTTTTATATATAATCACTAATATTTATGTAAAATTTCTATTATATAGAATACTTTAAAACTTAGGATAATAATTTACATACTTTTATTAATTTAAAGATAAATAGAAAAATAAAAAAGTACTATCTTACTTAAAGTTAATGAAGTTTTTTGTGAAAAATGTTCACAGTAAGGCCTCAATAAAGGTTCATTTTCAGTTAATTCATATAAAATATGACCAAATCCATAAATATCAGCATCATTTAAACTTTGTATACGTTTTTTTCCAAGTTGCACCAAAAAAGAACGGAAAAATGGAGGTAATCCTAATGTACTATTTTCAATTCCAGTCAATTTAATATTCTCAATATCACAAACTAACACATTCCCAGAATGTAAATGACCTAAAAAAAGTTTTAATTAAATAAAAAATTATATTAGATTAAAAATTTACTAACTCACCATAAGGAATATGATTATCATGTAAAAATTTAAGTCCATATAAAATTTGTTTAATAAATGACACCATAGTTTGGTCAGGTAAATAAACATGAGAAGAAGTATCCCAATATTTTTTTAAGAATGGTTGTAAAGGAGTTGTTTGATAAAGTAGATCTCTTAGACTTCCAACTTGAATATTATGAATTGATAATGTATATCCTTCAGGACTTGGAAGTATCACAGGAACATCTATAAGTGGATGCTAAACAAAAATAAATTTAAAAATTCAAATTAGAAAATTAGTTTCAACTCTATAGTTAATTCATATAATGATTTTAATTAATATATTAAAATGTACAGATATTTATTATTTAAACGTTTGTTTAAATTGAACACATGAATTTTCTATAATAAAACAAAAAATACTTCATGAATTTTAGTTTATATATATTTAGGTAAGTAGTTCAGTAATGTTCTGCATTAATCACTAATTATTTAATATTAATGATATCTATACTTCATTGAATATTATTAATATATCAGGATAGTTTTAATTGTTGTCATATAATAATATTAGAATTAATATTGGTTACATTTGAAGTTTTATAAATAAACAGTAGAGTAAAAATTTAAGACCTATAAATAATTATAAATACAATTATTTAAATACTTTTTGATTTTAACTAAGTTTTAATCAAATTTTTATTACAGCACTAAAAAAAGGGTGATCAATTGTTACAGACTAAACTTACTCTAATGCTAGAAATTGATTTTAGTACTGTAACTAAGTCAAGTGATTTAAGTGAAAGATCAGGACCACATTCAGTCCATGATAATAAAAGTTCTTGCTTTGGATCCTTTTTCCATTTAGATAAAAAAGATTTTCTTCTTAAACGCCAACCAATATTTGGTAATTCTTTGGATAATTCAAATTCTCGATTACCTCTTAGTACCATGCCAACTTTTTGGAATAATGATTCTAGAAAAAAAAATATATATATATACAAATTAGTCTTTAAAATATTTAATTATTTATTATACAGGAAAAAAATGTTCCATTTAGAAAAATGTACGTAACCTAATATTATTGCATTCAATATAACATTTTTAGTTTTTTTATAATAATCAGTAATTCAAAAAAGTATTAGATAAGTAAGACTCCAAGGAACAAATTCTAAAATCATCAATCTACATATGTAATACTAGTAATTCCAATTTATTACAAACTAAAATTTTATATTTGCTGATTTTGTGAAATTTTTATCACTCAAAATAGTATTTTCTTTAACTGTATCTTTAAACATTAAAAAGTAGGGATACATTTTACCACTATTAATGTTAATAAATATAAAAAAATTACCAATATCAATAAATTATTTCCAATCCTTAGAAATTAATTTATCAATGGTGTTTAAAAATGTTCTGTTGGATTTTTGTAGATTTCCTAGTACTTTGGCTCAAATCAACTTTTAATCCTAATTTTCATATTAAGATTTTTGCTGTAAACCTTCAAAATTCCTTGTTTTTATATTGATTATTATTATCCACAAAACATAATATACCTACTGTATTGAGTTTAGTTTATTTTTACCTCATGTTAAAAACAAAAAATAAATATCTACCTACCTTTTTTCTAGTTTTTTTGATATTTTTTGATAAAATAAGTACTAAATTATGTATCTAAGACTAAGAGTTATAAATATATTAAATAAAATACCTAAATATATTTTTACCAATTTTTGTTCAGAAATTATTTCTATTAAGTGATAATTTATTATTGATATTAAATGAAAAAAAATGAAAATAGTGGAATTATATCAATTAAATCCAAATATCTAATCAGATTTTTTACTGTTAAAATATTACACCTAAAATTCTAATACCAATATTTATATTACCTTTACAGTATTCACTATAGGATTCTGGATCCAAGAAGCTTCTGACTAGTAAAGAATTGGCTAACAATATATTCTCAACCATGTTGTTTAAAGAACTCTAGAAACATAATACAATTTTGATTAATAAAATAAAATTTAAAATTATTGTTTTTTTTTTTTACTTTATTCAAGAGAAGAAAATCAATAATATTGAAAAATAATAGATTCCATTAAATTTGAAATTATTAAAAAAAGAGACATTTTAATTCCTTATGTAATACATTTTTTGAAAAAAAATAATTAACTTTTGATCCCGTTTCCCTCCATAAATTCTTCTATATAAGTTATATAATGAGGTTAAATATGTTGATAATACGTAACATTAAATAAAAAATTACATAAAAACAGTAGAGTAATATTGTAAATTAGCATTTTTAATCTTTAAACAATGATTCTTAGGTTTAAGCGCATTGGTAGTATCCAAAATGAAAGCGTTTAGTTTTACTTCCACTAAATAAAATATTGTACATTAATATTTTATACAAATTATTACAATAATAAATAAATATTAAAAATAAACAAATCACTTTAAGAATAACTCACTTTGAATTTATACATTTATATGACATTTAATAGACATATATCGTAACTTTAATTTCAGTTGAATAAAATAAAATAAATTAATAAAAAATTAATAATATAATATAATTTTTATACTCAATTATAAACACAATATTTTGAGAAATTAATAAATTAAAATTTATCAACGTATTCAGATATTAATTAATTTATATTAAAATAAACTTTAAAAATTACTATAAAATTAATTATTGCATGCATAATAACATAAATTATTTTTAAATATTTAAATTCAAAACAAAATGTATTTTTGAGTATAATCAGTATAAAATTTTTTCTTTAAAAACTTGAAACTAGGCATACATTGAGAAATCAAATAGAATATTTTCCATCTGATCATCTCTAAATTTAAATTTATTTATTATTGTTGTATTAAAATAAATAATAGGTAACTAGTACAAGTATATTAACTGTGCTCGTTTAATACATTTTAAAAATATAATACATATTATTTGTATTCAAAATTGTTTATTACTTGTAAAGTATTTTGTCGTTGCATTATTAATTTTCTATCCATATTGCCAATGTATTTTTTTGGGGGCAAATCTAAATTAATTTTTGATGACAATTTATGCAACATATTTTGCAATTTGACAAAATCACTATACCGCTTGAATATTTTCCAAGTGCAATTCTCAGCTCCTATCCGAGTAACTTCTATTACATATTCCTTTGATCAACAAAAAAAATAAATAAATAAAATTAACATTAAATTTAAATAAAAATATCTGGGTAGGTAGGAGAAAACTTAAAAAATAAACAGGTACATTTACAAAGAAATTATTCGAATAAACAAAATATAAACAATCTACTAATATTTTAATTTTAAAATTATATTTAACACTAATTAAATTATAAAACATTTTTTTTTCTTTTTTTTGATTCATTATTATATGATAAATTAAATTCATGATTGATCAAATAAATTATTTTTAATCACTTAAAAAGAAAATAAACATAAACAATTTGGTCGGAAAGCAAAGAAAACTAGGTCTCCATTGTTTGTTAATCTAATATAGTTACTCCAATCACCAATGCCTCAATAATGAATTAGAGTGGTAATTATTTATTAAATTAAGAACTACACAAGTAAATTTACCGTGTATCCGTTGGTATTGCGAGTATTCAAAATTGTACATTTTAAAGGATGTGTGTCATCAACCTTGTTCTTAAGATTTGAGGAATTCTCGAACATCGACATCGTTGCTCAAATATCAACACTACAGATCGATTCGGGAATAATGAAAACAATGTTCATGCATCGCGTGAATAACGTCGATTGCATAATCAGTAATCGTAATCATCGAAGACATAATGGAGCATGGCTAGCAAGACTGGTTAACTTTGTGACGCACATTGTCCAACACTTAAAATGGAACGATTAATCTGTAGGGCAAATATTTGTACGGGAATTCAACGGCGAACCATAATAACAACGAGTAAATAATAAAATATGTGTGGTGATAATATTGTTCGGTTATTATCAAGAAAAAAAAAAACATCCTTGAAATATTATCACACAAAAAACGTAACTTAATCAGTGGCAATATGTGGTTTTCCATCGTATATATATATATATATATATATATCTATATTTATATATTGTATATGTATATGTATATATATATATATGTTTGAATTTTTATCAATTTTTAAATGTCTGTATTGTTTCCACACGGACAATATTTTATGTACGGATATACGGTATTTAATGTTCGATTATCTTCGTACAATATAATTTTTAGACATATACTGTACGGATTTACATCCACGAAGAAAAACTCTGTTATTGGGTTGATACGAACTAACGGACGTAGAACAACACGTAGAACAATACGCAGTGGCGTAGCGAACATTAAACCATATGGAAGCGAACAAATTATTTATGACCTACCCCACCCACCCTTCTCCAACTGATGTATACGATACTCGTATAGTTATATGCTCAAATAGGGGGGTGGGGTAGCACCCAAAATAAAGTTGTATCCCCTCTCAAAAAAAAAAAATATATCAAAAAAACTTTAGAAGTCAAAAACTCAAAAAAGTCACAGGAACGGACAACAATAAAAATGCGCAGGTTAGAAGCGTAGGCCGTAATGTTAAACTACAGAGTGCAGAAGCCGTCTATCGAGACGTCGAGTGTCGATGTGAAAGTGTGGACTATTTCAATAATTTAATACATTCAAAATAATATTTTTCTAAAAATATAAATCTTACATGTACATTAACCACTTATCCACGGGTCAGGTACCACCCCCCCCCCAAAAAAAAACCAGAAGCAATTGCTTCTGAAAAACATGATTCGCTACGCCACTGACAATACGAGCGATCGGCGATTGGAAACGACCGAAGGGCAAGGATTACGCGACGACCTCGCAAGGCTGACAAGTGACTCTAAACGGTGCGCGTTAATGCTGCACTCTGCTGGCTGAATATCAGTACCAGAAGAATAGTCTTAATGGGCGGTCGTCAACGTAGCCATCTGGCGGACCGTCAAATCTTTAAGGCCGTCGCTTTGAATACTACGGAAAAGTAATTTTGGGAATACGGGGGGGGGGGACAAAAAAATCAATGAATAATCGTGATCCTTATTACTGTTTCAGTAGATTTCAGCGGTGCATTGATAACTGTTCGAACTATCGAAGTGAATATATGAGTTGTATTAAATTAATTTATAATACAACGAAATCAGTGGCGGGTTTAAAGGTTCAAATGAAGTCGGCAAATCCAAAAGAGGGGGCCTCGTATCACTAACATTCTTAGTCCCGTTTTAAAAAGCTGCTCGCTACACTCGCGTTTCCGCGATACGAAAATCGAAAATAGTACATTAGAAAGAAGGTGATGAAGCGAAACTGATAATATATCATTGTTCATATACTCGTATAGTGTTCATGCTCGGAAATTATATAGAATTCTATGATCAATGTTAATAGTATTTCTATATTTGAGCTTTTCTACTTTGTTTATTAATAACATATTAAATATTCTATTTTTGAAGTATTCGGAGTATTCCTAAGTATTTACTGTATATTTAAATTATTTTGTTATAAATAAAAATGGTAATTGTAAACGATAATACAGTTTGTATTATAATTTTTTTTTTTTGTAAAATAAAAAAAAAATTACTACAACGACGGGGCCCTGTCGGCATTCGTCGACTAAACGACCTTTAAATCCGCCATTGAACGGAATATGGCGTTGTACATTAATTATAATCAAACATTGAACTGTGTGTATATATTATGTTAGAAAACAGCTTTTAACACACCCAAGGATCAGCAGATGTATTAGTTTAACAGATAGTATAATTAAAAAACTATTTAAAATATTATTTATCGATGGCTCTAGTACGTAGGTATCATTCTTCTTCTTCTTACAGTACTCCCTCGTTAACACGAACACGACGGGACCGTAAAATAACCTGTTCTTGTTAAAAAAATTTGTGTAAGCCGATACGCTTAACACGAATTTGTTCGCGTTAAGCGAATTATACTTACACGAACGAATATTTGTGTTATCAGAGGACGTTAAATCAGATTAGCTCATTAAAATACACAATAAAATACGAGTACATTTACTTACCAAATTTTAATATGCATACATATAATAAAATTCATATATAGTAGTTAATTTACATTATTAATATATTATACTATTATTTGAGATACTTTATATATATATTTACTAAATTGATTAAATAAATTAAAACTCACGTAAAAGAGTACTATGTATTGGACGGTTTGAAAAAGTACATGATGGGTGTCTGGGTGAACATAATTTTATAGTTATCCGTGTATTGCTTTCTAATGCTGTTCAACTAGAATTTGCAGTCCACCTCTGGTCTGGTTTGGGAAAATTTGACGAACGTATCAAAAGCTGCCATCACATTAGCTCGAGAAGGTTTATCCACTGGTGGTTCAATTTCTGGAGCTGAGATTTCGGGGTTTTTGTATAAATACAGTTATAAAATATCTAATAAAGTATCTATATGTAAAACAACCAACTATTTCTCAAATGTATACCTTCATTCATTTTTTCATATTCAATCGCGATTTTTTGATTTTGTGGATTTAATTGGAAACCGATCCTATGATACACATATCTTAATATTCCGGGCTACGTTTTTTATTTATTTACTATTGTATAGGTATAAACTATTTATTTACGAGTATTAACTATTTGCTAATTTTTGTTTTATTTTATTATTTATTGGTCATGATATGTTTCATCACAAATGTGAGGAAGGGACATTTGAAAATGTATATAATGAATGCAACTTTTAAATTGCTTTGTGTACAAAAATTTCAAAAACTTATTTCGTGATTTTTCTATTTATTAATATCCAAAATAGATTTCCCACAAAAAAATTAAGCAAATTTAAATACGTTATAAAATACTTTTTTAAAAAATTTTCGGGTACTGATGAATATCATTGGCTTTTAATTTTAGAATGGCTCTCTGTGAAGTATCAAATATAATACAATTTAAATTATCGTAAATAAATAGTACACAATTAACGTTTAATACCAAAATAACATCTATGAGAATCGTTACATCGATACTGGAAATTATAATTTACTGGAATAGGTACCAACATTTAAATTTTTTGAAAAATATAAGAAGTAAAAACCACTTTTTGGTTCTGTATGTACTCTAGCATTCTTCTGTACACATAGCCATCCAGTGGTCGACAATTGTCAAAATTTTAAGCGTGCACTATATTTGATGTCATTTTTTGAAGTTAGATAGCGCTTTTACGTTGTTTTAATAAAAAAGTTGTATTTTTGATTACTGGTAAAATCGAATGTTAATTAGATAGTCTAATAAACAATTGTAAATTAATTACCCTTATTGAAACATTTTAATTCATTATTATTTAGTGAATTTTGGTTAAAAACAATTCACCAATTTTTCACTAGCGGTATCCTTAAAATTACGAGCTGTTTTTTTCTAGTTTATTCTTTTTGAGTAACAAGGATTCGTGATCTACCATGTGTTGTCGATTCTCAGTGGTAAAAAACAATTCAACTTTACTATAGTCATTTATCAGTACGCAGTAGCTGGGTGTGTTGACTCATAACCGAGCAAACAGGGTTTCTCGAACCACATATGGAACTACCGACGATTCAAACTGTTGACCTCGCCGAACACCCGAGTCTCGACCAAAGCTACTGAACACGACACCGACACGAGCAGAAGGATGATCGGCCACTAGCCAACCCAGACAGAAGTCGCTGATTACCCCTCTGGGGAACATGAGGGAGTGTTTAGGGAAACTCACGGTTCCATCACATCCGACGTTTGGGCGCAAGCGAGGAACGCATCGAAACGACTGGGGCTTGGAGCCGACCCCTCCATCCAGAATGGTGGTTCCACGCTGAGAGCGAAGCAGAGGCGGGACGTGATGAGGACAATCCGAGACGGCAAATGACACCAGCGGAGTGAAGTTCTCATCGAGAAGCCGGACCAGGGGCGGGCTATGCAATGTGTTGGAGCCCACCCCACCTCACATCATTTTTTACGGAACGGGGACTTCACGCGGTTTGTCCATTGCGCCCGCCTCGACCACGTGCCGCTCAATGGGGCCTCGACATGGAAGGCTGGTGACCGCAGGTGTAGGTAATGTGAGTACAGATAGAAATTTTAGCCCACGTCGCTAATCACTACATGCGATACACCGCCCTATGCATGGCGAGGCACAACGCCATCATCGCATGGATTAAGAAGGCGGTGGTTCGCAAGTTCGAGGTTCTCTACGAGTACCAGTTTATGAGCAACCATTGCCTGCCCCCGGATTTGGTTCAGAAGAAGGGCTTGAACATCTTCATTTTAGATGCGACCGTCGTCTTCGAGAACAGGATGGCGGCGTTCCAGTCAGCGGCAGCCGAGAAGAAGGTGAAATACGAGGAGCTTCGCTCGGAGATGGCAACTCAGCACGTGATGGAGGTAGCTGTGGTGCTATTTGATGTCGGGTCCTTGGGAGCATGGGATCCCGACAACGACAGCTTCCTACGGCGAATTTATAGCCGCTCATATGGGAAGCTATTCCAAAAACGGTGCGTCAGCAAAACTATAAAGTACAATAGAAATATTTACATTGAACACCTGATCGGAGTCCGTCAAACGGACTAGAACCGATTTTTTTTTTTTTACTGTGTTTTATTCTCTATGTACTATTTTCGTGAGTTGTACTCGATCATCTTTTTTATATGTTGTTTACTATTATTTTTTTACTCATATTATTTTTTATTATCCTTATTTATTACCATATTTTTACACTTCATTTTTATTTTAATTTTTTTCGTTTGCTCAAATATGTTACCATTTATCTATATTTTTTTTCTTGTTTTGTTTATTTATTACCAATTTATATTTATTACTAAAATTTTTATAGCATTTATCACAAATTACTATTTACATGTACTATTATTAAGCCCACAATTATGTGCCCCCTCTAAAAATAATGTATCCCCATGAGTGTTAATCAGCCATAAAAATGTATAATAAACTCTGTTCTTATCAGTTTATCTACGGTCTTTTTGATTCTTGACTCTCGTTAAATAGGTTCCGGGACAGCAATCTCGTTGTGAATTAATTTGGTGTGATTATATCTGTTCTATATGTTACCTCGTGTATTGTATATGGTGTCGTCTTGACTAGGCCCTTCTCTGTATCAGGTCTAGGTGAAATACCACCAGTCGGAATCCGTGAGGACACCAGGTGGTCGAATGACAGACTAGGCCCGACCCATCACCACTCCCACGCACCCCGAGTCCGGCCATACCGCGGGTATTCTTACCTTGAGGTCCTTCGCCGACGCCTGGCCAAAATCAAACTACTGAGTTAGTCACTCGTTCTTGGTCGATCCCCGCTCCCGAGAGCCCGGTGCTGTCCCGATCGGACTCTAAACGTTCCCGCCCGGCAGTTCGAGGTTTCGAGCTGAGGCTCCCTGCTTGTCGGGCGCGTCGAATGCAAAATAGTCGTAAATGGACTTAAAACCGACGTGATGTAATACATAGTAACCATACGGCGTTTTTTAAAAGATCTTTTTCCACGGCAAACGCTCCGCCACAGGTGAGTCCGAACCAACACACCGGAATCAGCTAGGTACCGGGAATGTCCCGACAACCACCGAGAAGAGCCTTTTTACTTGAAGACGACGACGATGAGGCGATGCCAAGGACACTGATAGGTAACAGACCACAGTCAAAGGCGGCCCCCCGCAGGACAGGAAAGGCCCAACCCGCTACGACCAATGTCAGGAAGGCTGTCACTCACAAGGAGCTCCCCCGTTTCACTAACATCGAGACGGGAGGCTCCGCAAAGCGAGCCGTACGGCATGATGCACGCGAGCCTGGACCTATGGCGGTACAACCCGCCCATCGATCACCACCGTCGGACAGCCTGAAGTACAGACACCGGGGCAGGTACCTACGTCCGGCGAACCAAGAATACCGGTAGGTACCAGACCACCGGACACAGGTGGTTCGCCGACTCGGTCGCCGTGTGAGACGCCGGCCAGCTCGTTATCCGGCAGCGTGGGAAGCGACGGATTCGCGGACCATGGCGTAAAGGCCCTTGGGACGATCAGCCCCGACGACGACATCCTCAAGTCTCACCACATAAAGCACTACACGCGATCCTCCAGTGCGCCAGCCACGGAAGCCAATAGGGAAACGTTCGTTGGACTCGTTGACAAACTGACCGCGGCAGCTGCCGTGATCGTCAAACTCCCGGTACCGAGGATAGACTGTCCAGCAGCTATAAATTCTTGGATCCCAACTTTGCACAGGGTATCCAGAAGCATTACAGACGTAACAGACGCCGCGCAGTCAGGCTGATAGTTCAGGGCCAAGACGTGCGATGTGAGGTGCCCGTATAAACCGCCGAGGACAATTTCTGACGAGTCTGGCACCATCCACCTGTGAACCCGCCATATTCCCCCGAGTGACTGGCCGTGAGCCCGTTTCCATGGGCCCATTTTCCAGCGGAGACGTGGCCAAACGTCTCCGGCAGTTTGAGAACACGGCGCCCGGACACGAAGTTCTGACACTGGAGGAAACTGGACCCGGAGTGCAGCGTCCTTAAAGAGATCCTCAAAGTTTGCATCAAGCACAGGAGGATACCTCCAGCTTGAAAGTAGTCGCTTACCGTACTCATTTACAAAAAAAGTGAGCTCTATGACCTCTCGTACTGGAGGCCAATCTCCATCTGTAGGACGGTGTACATCAGCTGTGTGGCGAGGAGGCTCACGAGATGGCTGACGACGAACGATGTGCTGAGCCCCTGCCAAAAAGGATTCCTCCCGTGTGGACAATGTTCTTCTCGACGTCGTCCGCGACATCTACTCTGGGGCCATTTTTTTGGTGAGCACCGCGGGCAGTCGAACGAGGGACATCCAAATCGAGTTAGGTAACAAACAGGGATGTCCTACCAGTGGACTCCTTTTCATCATGGCCATCGATCCCGTCGTCAGCCGTCTCCAAGGTGACAGCGTGGACCATCGCAGATGACCTCTGCCTCATTCAAGACGGTCCAGACGAACTGCAGCGCGGGAAGCGCTGGGGCTGAATCCGGTCAAATGTGCGACGCTCCATCAATCGGAAAGGCGGCCAGTGGACGTTAGGAACACGGAGTTTTAACTGGACAACAGAACCCTCCACCCACTGGCGGAAGGCGAGGCCGCCACCTTCCTAGGCGCACAGGTCGGGTTTGACATTGTGCCACCGATGTCTACCTTGGCCGAAACTATAAACATTGGCTTTAAAATAGCAAGGAGCATGCTCTGTGGTAACGAATCGACGCGCTAAAAACGTTCTTTTTCCAGGAAAAATCCATCTAATGTGCGTCGAATCATTCCCAAAAACAGACTGGGCAAAGGTGGACCATATTCTGAGGCCAGAACTAAAGGCGACACCTTATGTGACCCAGGAGGCATCCAATGAATACATATACGGGGTGTCCAGAAAAGGAGGTGCGGCATCAGGCCGAGGACGACGACATAGACTGAGCATTTAAACTGCTGAACTCGCCCGATCTGCGAGTCTCCACCAAAGCTATTGAGCACGTCACCGTGTCGACCAGAAGGAAGATCGGCCGCCAGCTAACCAAGACAGAAATCACCTACTTCCTCTGGTGAATGTGAAGGCGTGTTCAGGGAGACTCGCGGTTTCGTCATACCCAACGTTTGGGCGCGGGCGAGGAACGCGTCGAAACGGCTAGTCAGCTGGGGACTGGACCTGTGCCCCTCTAACCAACAAGGTGGCTCCACACTGAGAGTGAAGTCCTCGTCAAGAAGCCGGACTAGGGGTGGGCTATGGAATGTGTCGGAGCCCAGTCCGTCTTACATAATGTTCTACGGAACGGGGACTTCACGCGGTTTGTCCAAAATATTATTGGTGATACTGAAAAAGATAATCTGATTAACATACTGAAAAGTAATTATTTTTTCTTAATGGCTGATGAGAGTACAGATAAAAGCACTATAAAACACATGGCACTTGTGGCTCGTATAGTTGATAATTATTTTAATGCAAGTGATTACTTTCTTGCTTTATTACCTGTGAAAGAGGGGAATGCAGAACAACTGTATAATATTATATTGAATTTATGGAAAAAAAAATCTAATCAATTATAAAAAGAATATGATTGGATTTGATTCAGATGGAGCAAATTTTATGATGGGGAAGAACAATTCTGTAGCAAATAGGTTAAAGAATGATAATCCATTTGTTTATAATGAAATGTATCTGTTAAAGTTTCCATCACTAGGCATCTTATGCACGCACAAAATTAGCAAGTTTTGTAGAACAACTAGCCAAAAATGTTTATAATTATTTGAATAGCAGTCCAAAAAAACTTGCTGAATATTTTGAGTTTCAAACATTTTTTAATATAAAACCACATAAACTTTTACAGCTAGCACAAACTCGCTGGTTATTATTTTTCTCTGTTGTGCTGCGTTTAATTAAGCAATATAAGTCTTTAAAACTATTTTTCACTAGATTAGCACTTGAAGATTGTAATGATTGTGCAAAATCGATACTTTTGATATTAACTGCTCCATTGACCCTTCTCTATCTTGAGTTTTTGGAATACATATTACTTGTATTTGATCAACTAAATAGAGAAATGCAATCAGAATCTCCAAAATTATATATACTTTATGATCGCTTTTATGTTCTATACAGGCAAATTTTAAGTAGTCATATTAAACCAGAATATTGAAATTCTACTGCTACAGAAAATGTTCAATTTAGAAATCCTACATATTTTTTAAATCTAGATCAGATGTATTTAGATGGGAAGTTAGTTGATCGCCTATTACCTATGAACTGTCAAATAACGGAGACGAAAAAAAAAGAATTTATAACAAATTGTCTGAGTTTATAAGTAGAAGCCGCTTTTCAGATTTACAAAAGATTTCCATTAAATGATTTGCAAGTTATTCATGAACTTTAAATAATTAATCCTTAAGAAGTTTTTTTTATTTGATATACAATCTATTGTACCATTGGCAACTCATTTTAAAAATATTATTCTTGATACAAACCTAATTGCTCTCGATAATGAATTTTGTTTGTTAAAAAACACATTGGAAATAAAAAAATTAATAAATGATGATATATCAACGTTTTGGCACAAAGTGAGTACATTCAAATATGGCAATGATACTTTGGTTTTTCTCTACTATCAAATTTTGTGAGAAGATTGCTATTTTTACCACATCCCAATGCTAATGTTGAAAGAATATTTTCTTCTGTAAATGTAATTAAAACAAAACAGAGGAATGCATTGAACACAGAAAGTCTTGAAGGGATATTACATTCAAAAACAGCTTTCAAAAAAATATCATGATATGATTATGATATTCAAAAGAACATTTGAATAACATCAATCAGTTTATGTTTGATTTAAAGCAAAAATATTGAATTTAATTATATTTTAATTTTCTACTCTTAAGTATACAGGAAGTTCCTAGTAGTAAGTATTTATTTTCTAGTCATAATTTCACCAAACAGTTGTTACTAATGAGAAATATAATTTATTTTATTTTTAAAATGTTTAATATCTTTTATATTATATAATAGATTTGAGTATATATTTTATAGAATGTTTTGTTTTCATATACTAACTTAGTACCTTATGAATATTGTTTTGTTTGATTTTAATTCAAAGATATAAGAATGTTTATGAATTTGTTATGTTATTTACCTACTGTGATTAAAAAAAGAAATTGTAGATTTTAATATAGAGATCAATTTGTATGATGTTGTCATTATTTTATAATTTATTAATTTTATAGTTAAAATATTTTCTTGTATTAAAAGAGAAGAATACACATCTATAAAAACATTATAAAAAAATTATGGATTTCGTGCATTATCTACGGATTTTTTTTATACATAGTAAGATTTAAAACATTTATAGTTGGCATCACTGTACAGAATCATTTTTGTCTTTCTTCTTCTTTTTCTTCTTTTTCTAAAAATAATTTAAAATATTATTGAAAACGTTAATTTTATTTAAAATGACTAAACAGTTAATTCTTACTTTTTCTTCTACATCATCGGGTGATGACTGAACTTCAGGTGTTTCTTCTTCAATATACTCGGTTTTAATTTTCTTTTCCTTTTTCTCCTTTTTAACTACTGATGTAGGAGATTCAGGTGTTGTACTTATACGTTTTCTCTAATAATTTATTATAATATGTTAGTTTCAGTTATCAGACCTACATATTTATATTTAAATAAATAAATTATAATAGACATAAATAAAAATATTTATGTTTCTCAGCTACATTTTTGCTTATAATATATTCATATTATGAAGCTGAAGAACATTTCTTTTAAAATCTTAATAAAATAACCACTTAAATGTCATTACCTTTTTACTTTCATTTTCATTCTCAGTCTTCATTTTTTCAAATCTAAAACATTTAATTTTTTATTTCATACAATAAATTAATATAACACACAAAAGGAATTAAAAATGAAGTACTTACACATCCTTAAAGAACGTTTGTCTCCAATTTTCAGGGGTATTCTCATTTGGTTTACCATATTTATCTAGCAAACCTTCTTTAATCATGTTCTTTTTAGCACTTGCCTAAAAATAAAAAACCATTTAGATTACTTTTGTATTGACCATAAATTAAACTAATACAACTATCTTGACAACAAAAATCATACAAGAATTATAGATTATTACATGCAAGAACTTTGTTAATAATAAAATTCAATATCTTGGCCAATAAAATTATTTATAAGCTATATACTATAAATAACATACCATTGGTCCAAGACCCCATTTACGGGGATAAGTGTCTCGGTCCATCAACACTCTTTTGATTTTAGCAATAATTCCATGATCACAACTTGAAATTGTAGATGTTGTCATAAGTGCAATACCTAAAACAAAAAAAAAAAAAAAAAAGGAAATAATAAATATATTTATTTTATAAAAAGTTAGTCAAGCAATCAATTATTAATAAAATAAAACAAAAATTAATAAATGGTCAATATTCGTAAATGAATATACAACTAGTTTATAAATATTAATTAATATGTAGCATTGAATATTATTATAAGAGTAATATGGTTTCTGATTAAAACTTCATCAGGTATATATACAAAATCAAGAAAATAGTGACTCAATTATTAACATTAATTTCAGTTATCTGTATTATCAACACATTATAAATACATGAACTTGAAAGAGAATGTTAATAAATTAAGTTATTCATTTTAAGTTATTAAAAATTGAAATTGGTTAATAAATGTAGGAATGCATAGTTGTCAAAAGTAATGTAATATTTTGATGTGAAAAAAATCTTAAAATTTGAATTCACATGGATTTAATTTAAAATTATACAAATTCATAATTACCTAAGGCCACAGCTTCTCCTTTTGTAGAAACTATAACAATTTCCATATTTAACTCAATCCCATCATCATAACGGAGTACTCCAGGTAACATAATTTTAGCTCCATAGCAAATAGCGTTTATCTAAAATATATTATAGTTAAATAAAGAATATATTATAATAGGCTGTACTTACCGCACTATCCTTAACAAATATTCTTTTGTAATTAGTAAGTATACCTTCAAGAGGTCTGACTACTCGTCTTAAATAAGATTCATCTTTATTGTTTTCATACATCCACTGAGCATCTAAAACATCGTGCAATGTTGCAAGGCCATTTTCTTCACTGGTAATTCCTGTTGATTTTAATAAATAATCATTAAGCATGAGTTAAAAATTTTTTTACTTAAGTAAAATGTATATAACTACCAGAACGATTTCTTCGGAGTTCAATCATTTGGCCTCCAGTACCCAACATTAAACCCATATGAACACAAAGTGTTCTTACATAAGTACCAGCCTCACATTTAATCCAAAAAACTCCTATATTACTTTCCTCATCATAATCCAATAGCTTATTTTCATAAATAGTACGAATACGAAGTTGGCGTTTTACAGCTGCAATCAAAGGAGGTCGCTGAAATAAAGCTCCACGCAATGATTCCATAACTTTCTTAATCTAAGTAAAAATTAAAATATTAGTTTGTATTTAATCAAATAAAATAATAAAATATCAACCTCAAGAACACTTTCAACTGGATTATGAAGTTTGAAAACTGAAATATACTCCTTTCCACTAGATTGTTGTGACTTTACAAGCCGAGTTGCTCTTTCAATACATACAACCAGTACACCTTAAAATTAACAAATACATTTAAATAATATTATACCATTAAAATAATTTTAATATAAAAATATTTAATAAACTCTTATAAAATATTATTCAATAATATATTTAAATACCTGAAGTTTTTGGATCTAGTGTTCCAGAATGACCAGTTTTTTCAACTTTTAATATTCGTTTAATCCAAGCTACTACCTCGTGGGAACTTGGATTGGATGGTTTATCCAAATTAATATATCCTGATCGGATATATTCTTTAATATCTCTTTGCAGTGGATTTGACCCAAAGGGTAATGGAGTGTAATGATTTGAACGCACATTTAATGCATCAAAATTCTATAAAAAATTAAACCAGAAATCAGTTTTACTTTAAATATTATTATCATTTAATTATAATATTTTAACTCCTTGTAGCAATTTAAACAAATTATAGCCCTAAATTAAGAGTTAATGTGTACCTGAAACACAACTTCTTATTAAATAATTTATTAACAATAATTTATTTACAAATTAAAATATGAAATTAATTTCTTAGGAACAACTAAACTAGTTCACTTTAGTTATTTTGATACTTGTAAACTAATATTGAATGATTCAGAAAAATTGATAAAATATTATTTATAACAGTTAATAATTAAAGACATATTTTATAAAAAAGTAGGTTATAATTAAATTTATTTATTTTTTTTTATATGCACCTAATTGTTTTGAAATATTTCAACACTGCTTAATAAATTTTCAATATTAATCATATTCAAAAATTCTTAAAATATAGATTTTAATAGAGATCATGCAGAACATGCATGTTATTTAAAATTAAGGAATTAAGTTTTGCTGTCATTTAAAAAACATTGTTTTGTTTAGTAATAGAAAAATTATTTTTATAAAACAGGTGTATGTATGCCAATTAAATGAATCACAACATGCATATTTAATAAGAAGTAATGAAGGCCATTATGTATTGTACAAACAAATCTTGTGGTGAATCTAAAAGGACACCACACTTGCATGAGTTATAAAAAAATATGAAACAATCAAATGTTTAATTAACATGCTTTTTAATTAAGATCATTTGAACATTCATATTTAAAGTATAGTATTATACTATTATAGTAGTAGTATTATAGTATTATATTATTTTGAATGTACATTGTTATTTAATAATAATAATATATTATTTATACTTATATGTAGGTTGATATGCTAAAATTTACCTTCAAAAGCAGGGGCCATTTTGAAGAGTCAATTGTAGCAATTTTTTCAGATGGTTTAATAAAGAATGGAATTTCAGCCTGGACTTGTCCTAAAGTATCTTCATCAATAAGTATTCCTTTAGATTTTCTACTTTTCTTTTTCTTTGCAAATGGTAAAGATTCTAAAACAAAAATGTTTATTCTCTATTACCAATTGAAAGTAAAACCAAAACTGACCAGTTATTTATATAATATTATAATTAATCAAATAAAATGATTTCTGTTAGTTTTTAAAAGATAATTTAAAATTATTTGATGTTTAATGTTTTTGAATATCGTTTTTTAGTGAGTTATGTAAATAGTTCTAAATAAATCTTTACTAAAAGTATAATCAAAATTTAAATATTTAATGCATTTAACCAATATTTAAAATCTCAATTATTTTATGTTTTAATACTTAAGTTGAGTAACTTGTTCAATTTTGAGTATACATTTTAATTGTACTAATGTTTTTTTTATCTATGAAGAACTATGTACAATATAGAAGATTGCAAAGTAATGGTAAAATTGTGAGTTACATTATTGTTTTAAAATATATAGTATGAAAATTTCTAATCTCTAAAATAAATGACAATTTTAATATTTCTAATTTTGTAATTGATCTCATATTACTGTTTCTGAAAATAAGCAAAAAAAAAGATTTTAATAATTTTTAAATTGATGGGAAAAGTAAAGGCTAGGGGTTTTTTAAAACCATAAGTATGATGGGAAATAAAAACATTTGGGATATATTAAGTTATACCAACAAGTTATTTTGGTATATATACAAAACAGATTAAATTATTGATGGATGTTAAATTAAAACAATTAATCATCATTAAATAATAAGGTAAGCAAGTAAGACATCAAAGGATAGTTAGGAAAACACAATAATTCTAATTCATTATTGTATATTTTAGAAACATTACACCATCTATATCGAGAAGTCATTTTTTCGAAATTAATCATTTACGTGATTAAACATCAAAAAAAATTTCGTACCAAATAATAATAATAATAATAACTAACGAAATATTAAAAGATCATCTCGGGTGTGTATCATACAGTTAACGAGTTTGTTTATTGTTTTGTTTTTATCGAACGTAAACATGTATGGAGTAGTTTACTCTCAGTACATTCTTATGACACATAACTAGAAGCAAAAAGTAATTGTAGAGAACCGTGTACTTACGTGGGCTGGCCATTTTGAATAGTTGACAATAATTTGGGCAACAAAAGTTATTAAGACAGTGAAGGTAAAAAAAAAAAAAATCATTGACAAAAATCAGCGAAAAATATTCAACACTTGTAAGGAAGCGATAATGGAAGAATCACGTGCGAGCCGCGCTGCCGCTCACTCGCTTGATCAACATGAATTATAAACATTCGTTCGGTTTTTAGGTTAGTTGATCGTGATACGTCGCACTCCGGCTTCCAATTGATAATGCAGCGCGCCGCATTATCACTCGTTCCTATAGATCAGTGGTTTTCAAAAAATTTTAACAATGTGGCACCAGTGCTCGGCTTGCGGTTGATCGCGGGGGGACGGAGTACCTCAACTAATTTTCAGAAATTTTAGAGTCCTCCTAGTAACATAACGTTATAATTACAACGGTTAACAAGTTTTGGTAACGTTATTTTTTTTCAAGTGAATAGAGTTCTCCTTCTTTGATTTTGTCAAGCGAGCACTGTGCGGCACACTTCATCTCCTACAAATAGTTCGCGGCACACCAATCCGTATAATACGTGCAGCATATTTTTTGAATATGTACATCAGGCGCTTACACAAAAAGAGGTTTTTTAGTGGTCAAACCCTTCCGGAAATTCAGGAAAATTTTTATATTTGTTTTTATATAGTAAAAGTGGTATAATAATTATATGATTATGAAAATGTACAACCTAAACCCCCCTCTCCAAACATATATATTTTTTTTGTACACGCCTGATTTTTATATATAGGTGCACTGTTTACATTCTACTCTATTAGAGGGTTAATGTGTTGGGAAGGAACTCGTTACAAAAGGAACGGGTTCCTGAAACGAGTTCTTTTTGTAAGAACGAATCTTGGAACTGCTTCCTTTAAAAATAAAGGAAAAAGAATATGAACGAATTCTTTATATTGAGGAACGCGAACGAAAATCACAGTTCCTCTTGAAATTTTAAAAAACAAACTTTTAATTTTAATTTAGTTTTTCTTTGTTTCTACGCGTTAACAACTAAGAATGGATTTTTAGTTTATTTACACGATTAATGAGCAATAACATGGGCCCCTACGCATCGCAGTGTTAATGCTAATATTTATGTACTGGATTGTAAGAATACTAGGAATGTGGGATATAGAAATGAATCGATTGACTATAAATGTTATTACTTATATATTTATGATTTATTATCGTATGGTTGATTGATACCGGTTAGATATTATCGTCATAATAATATTATCGGTTAAAGATTTAAATAAATTTTGGTGATTTCCGAATGATTATTACGTAATTGTTATTCTTATGTAGTATGTAGACCGTATAGTCGTGTAGACATCGTGTTATTTTAGCGTTATTATGCGTTGCAAGTTGTCAGATGCAATAAGTATTTTACGAACACCAGTGACCGGCCCGGTATATTAAGTGAATAAAGTAAGTGTTGTTTAATTATTATTGTTATTATTTTATTAGTAAAAAGTTTATTAATTAATGATTAGTAATTACTAATTGCCTATTAGGGCTCCGATATTTATGAATTTACAATTATATTGTATGCAATTATGAACTAAAAAATTACGAAATATGCAATTAAATATGTTAGGTATATACCGTGTGTCCTCAGAAACAGATTATACTTTACCACTCGTTACATTTTATATATTTTTCAATTCTGTTTTCGGAACATTAAATTAGACTATTGGATCTTTAATTTCGATGACTTATAATTTTTTTTATTCACGTATTTTACACATGCGCAACACAATTTCACTTTTTTTTAATAGCAACCCCTATTTTTAATATCATTTTCGGATTAATGGATTTTTTTTAAATAATTATTTTGTTGACATTTATTTTTTAATTTTAATTTTGCGTAAGGATTTGCAACTTTTTTTAGATGATTTACCCTTAGATACACGTAAAAACATGTATTATCAACAAGACGGGAGCACCTGCTCATAATTCCCGAATTGTACAAGAATTTTTAAAGGTTAGATTTGGTGAAAAATGTATTGCAACACACGGACTAGTAGAATAGTTAGTATAGCCGGACACGAAGTCCTGACACTGGAGGAAACTGGACCCGGAGTGCAGCGTCCTTAAAGAGATCCTCAAAGTTTGCATCAAGCACAGGAGGATACCTCCAGCTTGAAAGAAGCCGCTCACCGTATTCATTTACAAAAAAAGTGAGCTCTATGACCTCTCGTACTGGAGGACGATCTCTATCTGTAGGACGCTGTACATCAGCTGTGTGGCGAGGAGGCTCACAAGATGGCTGACGACGAACGATGTGCTGAACCTCTGCCAAAAAGGATTCCTCTCGTCCGACGGCACGTTCGAACACGTTCACACTCTCAACAGAGTGCTCTACAGACCTGGAGACCGCGATCAAGGCAAGCGGTGCGGGCTTCGTTCTCTTTGACGTCGTCCGGGACATCTACTCCGGGGTCTGTTCTTCGGTAAGCACCACGAGCGGTCGAACGAGGGACATCCAAATCGAGTCCGGGATTAAACACGGATGTCCCATCAGTGGGCTCCTTTTTATCATGGCCATCGATCTCGTCGTCAGCCGTCTCCAATGCGATAGCGTGGACTACCGCGTCCTCGCGTTCGCAGATGACCTCTGCCTCATTCAAGAAATGATGCAGAGATCCATTGAGTCAATGCGGGAAGCGCCGGGGCTCCTGGAGCTGAAGCTCAAGGCGGCCAGTGGACGTTAGGAACACGGAGTTTTAACTGGACAACAGAACACTCCACCCACTGGCCGAAGGCGAGGCCGCCACCTTCCTAGGCGCACAGGTCGGGTTTAACATTGTGCCACCGATGTCTACCTTGGCCGAAACTATAAACATTGGCCTTAAAATAGCAAGGGGCATGCTTGCTCCGTGGCAACGACTCGACGCGCTGAAAACGTTCTTTTTTTCCGGGAACAGTCAATCTAATGTGCGTCGGGTCGTTTCCAAAAACAGACTGGGCTAAGGTGTGCCCCAGGAGGCATCCAATGAATACATTTACGGGGAGTCTAGAAAATAGGGTGCGGCATCAGGTTAAGGACGTCGATATAGCCGCCATAGACTAAGCTTTTAAACTGCTGACCTCGCCCGATTTGTGAATCTCCGCCGAAGCTATTAAGTACGTCACCGACACGATTAAAAGTAAGATCAGTCGCCAACCAACCAAAGCAAAAGTCGTCTATTTTCTCTCTGGTGAATATGAAGACGTGTTCAGAGAGACTCGCGGTTCTGTCATATCTAACGTTTGGATGCGGGCGAGGACCGCGTCGAAGCGGCTATAGGTCAGCTGAGCCTGGACCCGTGCTCTTCCATCCACCACGGAGGCTCCACGCTGAGAGCGAAGCAGAGGCGGGACATCATAAGGACAATCCGAGACGGCAAACGACACCAGCGGAGTGAATTCTTCGTCGAGAAGCCGGACCAGGGGGAGGCTATGGAATGTGTTGGAGCCCACCCCGCATCACATCATTTTTTGCGGAACGGGGACTTCACGCGGTTTGAAGACTTGTGGTTTGTCTATCGCGCCCGCTTCGACCTCGTGCCGCTTAATGGGGCCTCGACATGGAAGGCCGGTGACCGTAGGTGTAGGCAATGTGGGTAATTTTAACCCACGTCGCTAATCACTACATGCGGCATACCGCCCTATGCATGGCGAGGCACAACGCCATCATCGCATGGATTAAGAAGGCGGTGGTTCGCAAGTTCGAGGTTCTCTACGAGTACCAGTTTATGAGCAACCATTGCCTGCCCCCGGATTTGGTTCAGAAGAAGGGCTTGAACATCTTCATTTTAGATGCGACCGTCGTCTTCGAGAACAGGATGGCGGCGTTCCAGTCAGCGGCAGCCGAGAAGAAGGTGAAATACGAGGAGCTTCGCTCGGAGATGGCAATTCAGCACGTGATGGAGGTAGCTGTGGTGCTATTCGTTGTTGGGTCCTTGGGAGCATAGGATCCCAACAACAACAGATACTGTGCATCAGTGAAACTATATAGTACACTCGAAGTATGTATATTGAACACCTGACGGGAGTCCGTCAAACGGACTAGATCCGATTTTCTTTTTTACTGTGTTTTATTCTCTTTGTATTATTTTTGTGACTTGTACTCGATTATCTATTTTATATGTTGCTTACTATTTTGTATTACTCATATTATTTTTACCATATTCATTTATTACCAAATTTTATACTTCATTTATATTTAATCATTTTTTAATTTTTTGCGTTTGCTCAAATTTTTTTTCCATTTTTTTTTTTTTGTTTTGTTTATTTATGTTATGATTATTTATACAGATGTACTATTATTAAGCTCACAATTATATGTCCCCCCTTTAAAAATAATGTAACCCCATGAGTGTAATCAACCATAAAAATTTATAATAAACTCTGTGTCCCTCATAGAGGGACTCAAATGTTAAACTATTTTTTTTAAATTTGGTGTACATTTTGAGGCTTGCTCCTGCTCCACCGGTATCGTAGTACCACTGGGAACGGCCCACATATAAAAATGAATATTATACATTACCTTTAGGTTATCTTTCAACACACACACTACATTACTTCATAATATTTCATAAAACGTAATTACCCAAGTAAGCGTCTATGACGATTTTTCCTGTTACTAATTCTATTTAATTTTGTTCTTTCTAACGACTAGTATTTGAATATTAGATTGAATGTAACATAATATGTATATTATACAATTTTATGCACTTTTAAATTACAAGTTAAGAATTCAAAATGTTGTCTAGAAATAATCTAAAATTTGCATTTTAACTAAAAATCAAATATAAAAATCTATGGATCTTATTCCGTATATTTTGGTATTTTTTTTTTAATTTACCTACTGTTTGTATTTTACCTTTAATATTAAAAATTAATTATTATTTGTAAATTGTTGATATTAATTAATTGTTATTTTTATAGTTTTTCAATATTTTATACTAATTTAATGTTCACTTAGATACGGTGGCGTAATTGGGGGGAAAGTGCCCCCTCTGACCATTTTTTGAGAGATAAACGTATAATTTTGCCCCCTCCCTCCAGATAATTCAACAGTACAAATAGCACCTTATTACCTATATTAATGAACTCTTATGAATATTATTTAACAATATTGTTAACAAGTACATGCTACCTACAATTTATGTTTATCTAAACCATAAAATGAGTTAAAAGACGTATGTAAAATCAAACAATTAGATATATTGTACAAAATACATACAATAAAAATGTTTTAACTGGTGAGGGGGAGGAGTGTCAGGGTTTTGGTAATAATAAATATATTATATTGTCCTCCCTCCCCTAGATTTTTTTCCAGTTACGCCACTGCTGTGATACATTGTTTTTTTTTAATTTTTTTTTTTTATCAAACTTATATTTAAAAATATAAGGTAGGGACAAACACAATAACAATATTGATAATTTATTTACCCATTAATATTGGAAAATTTACCAAAGTATAAATTTGAAATATAAAACCATAAAATATGAAAAATAAAAATAGTTTTATTTGATTTAATAAAACGAATTTGTATTCAGGTACACCTTAAACTCAGTATTTGAAAATAATATCGTTTGTGAACGCATGTTCATATTTTGTGAACGATACGCTAACGTCACTCGCTTTTTTTCAAATAAAACGTGAACGTTAATATTTTTAGTGAATTTGAACGATTTTTGGCGCGTTCAAATTTTTTTACGATTTTAATTATACATGTATTTAATATTGACTATAATATGTTTATGGATTTAAACATAAAGTTAAGTAATAAACTAGTTTTTTTTTGTGTATATTTTTCGTATTTTAATTACTTAATTAACATTTTATTAAAATATATTTTTATGGTAACTTTAAATGTTGGTATATATATATTAATAGAAATGTATCTAAATCATTCTAAACAATTTTACAAGGTTCATTTATTTCTTCAAATAATCACATTTGTTGAGTTATTTGTTATATAAGTATAATGTGTAATTACTAGGGCTCCGGACTTCTAGGAACTTGCATGATTTTAAATAATTATAAAAAACATAGCTAAGTAATGTATAAATTTGTTTCATTACAATACAAGTTTATATTTAAAATTTATAGTTGCATATTTTGCATATTTGTCCATTTTTCATTTATAAGTGCATATTTGACCATTTTCCATTTTATAAATGCAAATTTGACAATTATTCATATGAAGGAGTAAGTTTTTAAATTTTATAAAAAAAAATTATAATTTATTTCTTCATATATCATGTGACTTGGAACTGAAGGTGTCTTATTGGTGAACTAACTGAATGCATTAAAATAATTAAAACTACAAAAAACGTATACATTCTGCAAAAATTGAAGAATCTGCACAAGCTAAGGCTAACTACAAAAAATATCGAATATTTTAAATGGAAAAATGAATCTATGGATGGATTGTCCGCAAATATTAGTAGTAGTGACCTACGATTTTTTAAGTTTACACCAATAAGTTCCGTAGACGTGTAACGTTCCTTTTCTAAATATAAAAATATTTTGGCTGATAACAAGCAGTCATTTAAATTTTCCAACTTATGAAAATATCTTATAGTCCAATGTAATGCTCAATGTTAGAAGAATTATAACTATATTAAAAATAAAAAAAAAATTATCAATTTAATTTATTTTTAAAACCATTTTAAATATTTTGTTATAGACAAAAACTTAGTATAAGATAAAAACAAATTTGAAAAAAATAAAAAAATTATCTCAGATCATATCTATCATATATAAAAATATTATTATAATTTATTACTAATTAATTTTTTATTTAATTAATTATTACAAATATAATTTTTTATAAATGTTTATTTTAATAGCATATTTATTGATTATTTAGGGCATAAATGCATACATATTTTAAGGTTTGTAAAGGCATGAAGTCTCTAGCCCTAGTAATTACATATAGCCATTTATAAATACATAATACTAAACATTAAAAATTGGAAAATAAAAAAAATTATATTATGTAGGTTTCTACAAAACATGAATACAAAAATAGGTGGTCATGTCATGTTCTTTATTATAACTAATTCTTCAAAGGTCAGTTTTTATTTACTATTGACTATCACAAGTATTATATCTTTTAATTTCTAATTTTTAATCGGGTTATAAGTATGTTAAATATAACAATTAAAAAACCATCATAACTCGCTAAAAAATTAAAATATCGGATAAAACCGACCAACAAAACACAGATTATGTTCTTCCTTTAACGTTTGATTATAGGTCAGCTAATTTCACTACATTTGAATCGCTGGACGCAAGTTTGCTATGTTGTACGTATGTCAGACGGAGACAACACATGCGGGTGTGACGTCCTCTTAATATTATTATATTGTTATTATTAAATAGTAATGAAATAAAAGTTGAAACTAATTTATTTATTCGTGAAGTAGAAAAGAGATCGGCCATAATATAACGGCATTATGTATTAAAGTGAACACGTTTATTTAAATGTTTTTATTTTATATTTATGAATCACCAATCTATACTGTATAAGTGGGACTTTTATAAAAATGTATTAGCTATATTTTACTTTATGTTTAAAACCTATACTTAAACATGTTATAATCAATATTTATTATTTTTACATATATTATTAAAACGGTAAATAAATTTTAACGTCTCAAAATTGTTCAAATTCATTAAAAATATAAACGTTCATGTTCTAATTGAAAAAAAACTAGTGACGTTCGCGTGTCGTTTACAATATATGAACGTGAACGTGTGTTCACGAACGACGTTTTTTCCAAGCACTGAGATACTACCTCATATAGTTTATAAACTTCATCAATTATTAAGATCTATAGGTATCGCCAAACTTTGATAGTGATTAAATTTTAATTCGAGCTATACTTATATTTCTGTACTTCAAATGGGTTTAAGTTAATTATTGGTTTGATAAAATTACCGTATAGCATCGTAGGAAATTAGGAAAATGCTAAGTAATTAATGCGAGTCGCTGCTCAGTAGGCATTATGTTGTGTTAGTAATACCCTGTGCGTTAATTATGTGCGTTTAAAATAATACCAATCCATTTCAGTTCAAGAAATAAAATAAATACAATTAATTTTTAAATTTAATATAATTTTCAACGATATTTGAAGGTTCGTAAAAATAAGAATTCTTATTTGGCAAACAATGTGAAAAACATTTGAATTAGAAAATTATTAATAAATTATATTTTATAAAATTAGTTTATATACTGCCAAACCTTACTATAATTTTTAGTTATAAATCTGTTAATTTATTGTATTATTTCGGTAACATTAAAATATCTATTTAGTTAATAATTCGAATAATAATAGAAACAAAAATATTGAAGTAAATTAAATATTTTATACGTAGGAAAATTAGAGTAAAATTTACATGAATCATCTATTTTAAACATAAATGTATTGTAACTAATTCTTTAGATAATATAATTTATTATATATATTTTTTTACTCTCTCTATGTCTTAGAAAAAATTAAAAAAACCAAATAAAATTGTTGAGTTTCTTTGTATAAGCATGGTTTCTCTGTAATTTTAATAATGTATTAGTGTTTTAAAATAAATAGTATACAGATATATTTATTCAATTTTATTTACATTTTGATGAATTAAATAGTGATCAAAATTATTTTTTAAATGTTGTGAGGTATCTTAATTTTAAACTTCAAGAACAAACGGTTATTCCATCACATAATATCGTTAATTAATCGAAAAAATAATTGTAAACTATAAAATATTTAATTTTCATTGCATTTCAAGAATAAATACTAAAAAATAACATTTTATGTTATAAATGCCTTGAGAAAGAAAAAATATTTATGATATCAATAAAGTTCGTCTAAAACATTTTGTTATTTATTTGTTTATATAATTCATATGGATACAACATCTAATTACCATAAAATGTAAGAATATTGTACTCGTAATTTATTGCTTGGAATTAAATTGAATTTTTAAAACTATCTATAAAAAATAAAAATATTATTTATATTATACCTATTTATCATATATACAATATAATTAATTTTGTTGTGATACAAAATGTTAATTTGATATTGCAATTTGTGACGTAAGTATAGTATAGTTAGTATAGGCTATAGAAGTGGTTGCCAAATTGTGCACCGCGGTGTCCTAGGGGCACCGCGAGCACTTTCTAAGGGCACCGTGGTTTACGGTTCTTAACAAATAGTTTAAAATGTTTAGATTTTTTTTCCTTAATTGTTTTCGTAAAAACTTCATAGCAAATAATGAAATATTTTCTATTGTATATTCGGACATTCTCATTTTAACCTTATAATATTTTTAATAATAATTAAAATAATGATAACAATAATTTTTATTTATTTAATTAAGTTAAATTTTAATAAAATTTATAAAATTAGTTATCAATGAGTATTTTTTTTTGTCCTGTCTTTCATGTTATTCACAGCAGGACACCGTGGCTAAATTGAGTCCAAAAAAAGGCACCACGGAAAAAAAAGTTTGAGAACCGCTGGGCTATAGAATAAATTGATTATGGAAAAATATGTATACTAACTTTATTAGATTTTAGTCCCCCTGAATCTGGCCCCGTATCGTATAATTCCAGAAAATATGAAAGTTCTACAATTATTTCCTAATATTACCTAATATAAATATATATATATCATATTTATATTTGTATTTTACATTATTGTTGACTAATAGTCTTCATATGTTATAGATAAGTTGATAAAATGGACGCAATGAAAGACAATGAATATATTTTCAATTTGAAACTATCAAAACTAATAGGTTTATATCAAATCTTGGATCCCAATACTATTCAGATTTTCGGTTATAATGTGTATCACATTGGTATCGTGTTCGTGAGCTTGTACATGATGGCCATATCATTGTTAAGTCTTATACGTTTTTATTACTTAATAAATAATATAAATGAATATACTTTCTACTTGGGATGTGTGCTAAATTACATGTTCTCCTGTTATAAAATCATACAAATTGTATACTGTTCAAATGATATATGGAAATGCACCGACATAACGAGCATCAGATTTTTGTCGTATCAATATTACGACAAAAGTATATTTAAAAATTGGCAGGTACGGTCTATACGACTTACAAAAATATACGTGTCACTATCATTCATAGTTACACTTTTTTGGCTAATAATTTCAAAATCGCTCAGTAAAAATATATTCACAAGTAAAAACCTTGATGGTTCACTCAGTAAATACCGGATGAACATTTTCAATTTGTACTTAATAGCATCCGACGAAACGTACAACAGATATTTTAACCTGTTCTACCTCATCGAATTGATCGTCGGAGTAGCGTTTATGTACTTCTCAACACTTTTCGATGTCCTAATGGTTATGATGTGTTTCTCATTTTTGTGTCAACTGGAAACAATCTGTGACGCTATGAAATCATTGGGACACCAATGTTCAAAAAACGTGTTGAGTACGTATTTACATAAAATTTCTATTTTGAAATTTAATTTATAATACTTAAGCAACTACCATAAAGCAATGGCATAATTACGGGGATTTACAAATATACCAATAAGGAAAACTTACATTCCTTGACGTTACTAAGTTTGAACCCTCTGTATTTATAACTATAGTGATTAAGAAGATGACTACATATTTTTCTATTACGATTGTTGAGCCAATCATTATAGAGTATTACACTTTTTGATCTTTGGAAAAATCATGCCAACTTATACTTACATATTTTATTAAAATTGTTTTATACCTATTGATATACATTTTGTACGAGGAACAATTTTTATTTATTTTTGTTTTAAATTATTCAAGTTAGTAAATATTTTTATGTTCCAAAGTATATTAAAAAATACAATCGGAACGTATAGGACATTGCATATGTTTTTTGATTTTCATATAATATACAGTATAATATAATTATATATAAATCAATAAAATGCAAATACCATAATAATATGCATATTTTTAGATATCTGCAAGGAAATAAAATCAGAAATAAGACATGCCGATTTCGATGATTTAAAAGCAATAATTAATGATCATCAAAATGTAATGAAGTATGTGGAATTTTTGCTTTATTAAAATTTTTTATGTGTTGTTCATATTATGAAAATATAAAATGACAGTATCCAATATTACATATATTATCATTGATTTTATGTGCTTAGTTTAAGTGTTATAAAAAACATGAAAAAATACATTTATAAATTATAAAAATGCTTTAATAAATGTTCTTATGTTGTCAATACTTAAAATATGACCATATCTAATAATTTAATTTTTAATAATTTTTTTTTTTGTCATATAATAAATGTTTATGATACATTTTATATTATTTTAATAATTGAATGCAGCTTCGAAGAAATATATAAATAAATATAATAAAAAATGTGTGGTGATAACTGTTGCTGTAGAAGGGGGAAAAATATTTACCTAATATAAAAATAATGTTTAATGATATTTTAAGTGGTAAACTAAATAATTAAAAATATATGAACGTCGAGGATAAATACAATTAAAAGAATCAAAAAAAAAAAAAAAAACGCTTTAAACTAAAAGAATATCCGTAAAATGTCCAAAAAATAATATAAATTAAAAATGTCTGAAATGCAAAGTAATAGTTTAAAAATCTAGTAAAATCTTTGAAGAAAAATTTGTGAAAATATTTTCTTGAGACACCCAAAAACGACTTAATGATTTTTATGTTAAATTCCTGAGCCCTGGGCTTAATCCTAGATGACGTATATTATTATACTGTTAGAATAGTATTAGTAAATATATATTACAAAATCATTGTTTGTTTTGGCTTACAGAAAAATGAATGATTATTATATTATTTTCCAATCAGTTATGTTGACTCAGATCTTTGTAGCATCAATTACACATATATGTATTTGGTTTAATATTACAACGGTGAGGTTAATTAATTAATTATATTCATGCATTTTAAAATATATATAATTATAATATGTGTAAAGATAATAATGATGAAGATAATTCTAAATATACTATTTATAAATTGGACGTTGGTATATTGAGCTCTATGTTATATTATATATTATACATTCTGCATAAATATTGAATTTACAATTAACTTCTTACAGTCTTAAAACATAATCTAGTACATCTAGATATAGTAAATTTTAGGGATTAGAGATCAGAATAATATAAAAATACTTGTATTATTTACATAATTTTAGGGCTTTTTTGGGGACAAAATTGGAGAGTCTGTGCTGTCAATAAAATTGTTTATTATACTTCCATTATTTACTTTCCAACTATTAATGACATGCCGTTTATTCGGGACAATAAACGAAAAAGTAAGTAGACTTTTAATTGTATTTATTTAAATATATTAACTTTTATAAAATATCAATTATATTTATTATATAAGATTAATTTATATATTATTATAATATGTTTTTATCTATTGAATACTACATTAAAAAAAAATATTTCTTCTGACTAATGAAACTATAAGTATTTTATTTATATGTTTAGAAAGATTCAATTATTTACATGTTATACTGCAGTGATTGGACTGGTAAGGACATTAAGATTAAAAAGTTGATTCTGTATACCATGTGTATGAATAATGGCAATCAGATGAAATTAAAATTTACGGTCACCAAAGTTTTAAATTTGGAAATGTTTACTCGTGTATGTATAATTTTAAAAAAATATGTAAAAAAAATTATTTAGGAATGTACTTGACGTTTGATTTTTGGTGTGAGAATGAGGACTGAAGAGCCAACGTGAAATCAATTCTCTTGAGCGATCTATTTTATTATATTCAATAAACCATAACAGTGGCGTGCCGAGATAAAAATGTTTTTGATGCCAATTGCAAAGTCTAGTTTACCACCCACCCACCCATATTTAGATTCATATTATTATTATACATATATTATATACATATTATTATCCAACAACCACCCACCCATTTTTAACTTGATGCCTGGGCATCATTTAGACCTATATTCGGCACGCCACTGAACCATAATATAATATAATCTTTTATACAAACCTTTTCATATGTAAAATGAATCATTACATTTTTAACTTAAAATTTTTCGCCAATTTTTTTCAGTTTAAATTATAACAAGATCACTTAACCTTTATTGGTTCATAGAAGACCTTAAATGGTTTTTGATTATTTTTGACTTAGAAAAGCTCCGTTGACCTGATTCAACCGATACAGGCATTGTTAAAATAATACGAACTGCTACAGCTACTCGTTCATTTAGTACAAAATTGCCCTTGTTTAAAATAAATTGAAATATTTCCAATGGAATATTACTGGGTTTTAATAATTCAGATATTGCTACTAGCTTATACATCATTTCTATTGCATCAATATCTGATTCATTAAGATCTTTTTTATTTTCTAAAAGTAACGAATGAATTTCATGCAATTTTTCATATTTTGTTATATTATAAATCACTTATGTCATACAAAACTTAAAATTATCACAGTGGTTGTGCATTTGTTGAAATATTTCTTTAAGAGAACTGATTACTACGTCTAATACATAAAAATAGAACTCAACTTAAAATTTAGTTTTTATATCAATTATGGTTCATGAGTTTGTCCATAAGAAAAGAAAAAAACAGTTAAACAGTTTAAATAGTTTTTTCGAAAGAGGAGCTTGTTGCGTGAAAGAAGTCTTAATCGTATCATCAACTACCGAGATATTATTATAATATTAAATTTTTTTCTTATTTCATATTAAATGTTTTTCATTCTCAATTTACCGCCCTGGGCAGCTGCCTATTTTGCTACCGCGTTGGATCGGATCTGGTTGTTTTAATAATAAATTTATTATTAAATAAATATGTAAGCCAATAAAGAATTTTAAAGAATTTTTATATGATGATTAGGTTATAATAATAATGGTTAATAGGTAAAGGGTTTGGAAAAATTAAAATTATTTTAAAAATACCTACATTTATATTAAAATTATACCGCCCTTAGCCATGGCATTGACTTTTTCGTCATCATTCAACTGTTTCATTTATCTAGCGATAAAAAATACTTAGAAGAAGAAAACTTAATTAGTAAAACACTATTATAATAGTAATAGCATAATTAACAAGTTACAATATCTTTAAAAAAATTGTTCGTTGTATATTAATAGTTCTTATAATCGTTCTTTTTTAATTTTTTACAGACGATACGGCTGTGTTATTCAATATTTTCGATGCTTACAAATTACAAAAGAAATATTAATCAATTGGATGAAATAAATGACTAATGAATACTCTCACAATCAATAACGTACCCACTCGTAATTTCGTTTTTCCTTTTTTAAGTTTTGCTGTAACTTTTACTTCAAGATGATTAGTATATTTATACACGAAGCAACATAAAAAATAGACGATGGTCATTAAAAATCGAACAAGAAATTGATAAAATATCAAGCATTAATAATCATTGCACAAACACTATAATGTATGTGTGATATTTATTATATTATTATTATGTTCTTTATCGCATTAGGCTCCCACCGCGGCTGACACGAGCAATTTGAAATATTGTATCGTACTATACCTTTCTATATGGTATCATACTCGGTACGTTATTTTCCGTGTTCGGGCAATGTGGCTCGCGACCAGCCAAAAAATCTTTATCATAATAAATATATTCTATAATATATCTTTCTCTATTATTAAGTAATAGACCACCTACAAACATTACAGTATGCCTGGCTCTGTTCTAAAAGAAAAGACAACGGATGGCAGTATCAGTTTTCGTTCGGCGACGAACATCCCCATCAAGCACCTATTTTAGAAAATGCTATTTGAAGACAATCAAATCTAATTTATTTCTCATTTTCATTATGTGAGATACAAAACTACTTGCATCTAACTTAGGGTAGTAGGATACTTCATTTATTAATAGTTTAATAGTTTATAGACTTGTTTTATTAATCAAAAATGCATAGCTAATTATGGCGATTTATTTACATTACTTTTCAATATGAATATTTACATTGTTTTTATACTAATTAATAATTATTAAGCCACGTAGTTAATACAATTAATTTGGAAGTGTTTATTTTAAATACTAGTTTGGCCTGATAAAATGTAATTGTATTTTAACATTAATTTGTACATGCAAGCAATTTGATTTAGGCGAGAATAAAAAATTATATGCTAGAAGATATAAGACTATAATACTAATAGATTTTATTCATTATTTGAACATGAATACTGAAAAAAAAATAGCAAAAATAAAAATGGGTTAAGTTAGGTCTCCGATATAAATATATTTATATAACATATATAACGGTACACTAATCCATAATCAAACTTAAAGAATTAACACTTGAACATAATCTGTGATTGTACATTAATTTTTAAAATATTTAAACTTTTAAGTGAGTCTTGAATAAGTAAAATATTACAATTTAAAAAAACTCATACATTTATGAAGTTAACAGTTCAATCACAATCCATAACTACGAAGTTCAAAGTCATAAGTACTAAATATTTTTGTTAAGAAAAATTATAGAAACCCCCACAAAAAATTTGAAAATACACCACCACTGGTTATATATATTCATAAATTATCATTAAAACCATAACTACTTAGTGATTAAAAATAAATTGATAGTTAAAGTATAATTTAATGATACTCTAAGGAATCATGAACATCGACATTAGATGAAGTGTTCAAATTGTTATTGATTCATGTATAATTGGATGGCTTTTGTTAATAATTTATTAAAATGTACATAAAAAAACATCCAATAGTATTATCTAATATCTTAATAGTAAGCATTACATCGCTGATCCAAATATTGTGCAACCCACCAACTATGACTGAAATGCTAATAACTGTGACTAATGCTTATAATAATACATGTTTCATAAATACATTTTTAACTCCTTGTACTTGAAATCAGTGTAAATTACTGAAATTAATATCACGTGTAATTATACGTATATGATCATATATGTGTCATATCATAGGTGTCACAAATTATATGTTTCAATGGGAATATTAAATAGTATATAATCATGTTACAGATTAATATGGCATACTAGTTCAATATTCTGATCAAACAAAATATACGTTTGAAAATATTATATCATACCAAAATTAATTATTCATAAATATATTTAACATTAATAATCTTACTAATAAATCAGCATTTTATAATAAGTTATTTTTTTAATAAAGTTATTATAATATAAATATGTATGATATATATAATTATAATTTTAAAAAATTATGTTATACAATTGAATAGAACTATGACTTTTAGCTTGTATACAATTGTAAAAATTATCTCCAAATTAAAAATATTAATTTCATTGTTATACAGTTTTATACTCATTATAATAATTTCTTATTTTTAATCTATTTGAATACATGTGTAGTAAATATTTTTTTAATAAATAAACAAAGGACATTTATTTATTAAATTTATTGAAAATCCATCAAAAATGTACTATGAATAATCGAACATTGATAAATTACTTAAAATATGAAAAATTCCATACAAAGAAAAAGTTATAAATGAAAATTGTTTATGTTTTTTAAGCATAATAGTTTAAGTTGGATTTCTTTTTTGCTTGTACTTCCATAATGGCATCCATAAAATCTTCATGAGTCACAGTTGATGCACCTCTCCTTAAAGCAATCATACCCTAAAAATAAAATGTATTACAATATTTTATTTAAGAATTGAAAATCATTTTTAGCCTGTTACTAACAATAAATAATATCAGGAGTATAAACAAAACTCTGAATGTTGTGTTAAAAGAAACTTGAACAGAACCAGAAATGTTAACAATTTATGTTATAAATTATAGTTTAACTTACAGCTTCAACACAAACTGCCTTGCATTGTGCTCCATTAAAATCATCAGTAGACCTTGAGAGTTCTTCAAAATTAACATCAAATTTGTTCATTTTTCGTGAGTGAATTTGCATAATACGAGCACGAGCTTCTTGATTAGGATGTGGAAACTCAATTTTTCTATCTAATCTACCAGACCTTAATAATGCTGGATCCAAAATATCTACTCTGTTAGTAGCAGCTATCACTTTTATATCAGCTGTTGAACTAAAACCATCCAACTGATTCAGAAGTTCCAACATAGTTCTCTGTACTTCTCGATCACCAGCTTTCTCAGAATCAAAACGTTTTGTACCAATAGCATCTAGTTCATCAATAAATATAACTGCTGGTGCTTTTTCTTTGGCAAGGGCAAAAGCATCACGCACTAATTTGGCTCCATCACCAATAAACATCTGCACCAATTGCGGACCCGCAAGTTTTAAAAAGGTCGATTTTGTTTGAGCAGCACATGCTCTAGCTAAAAGTGTTTTTCCCGTACCAGGAGGACCATATAGAAGAACTCCTTTAGGTGGTTGTATACCAAGATTAAGGAATTTTTCTTTGTGTGTCATAGGAAGTACTACAGCTTCAATAAGCTGAAATCATATAATTTATAAATTCAGATTGAAATAAAGAAAAAATACAATAACTTACTTCTTGAATTTGTTTATCTAAACCACCAATGTCTACATATTGTTCAGTTGGTCTCTCATCAACTTCCATTGCCTTAACACGAGCATCATATTCAGCTGGCAATGTTTCTAATACTAAATAAGAATCTTTGTTAACACCAACCAGATCACCTGGTTTCAACTGTTCTGGATCTACCAGACCAATAACCGGTAAGAAATAAGTCTGAAAATATAATATTTTGAAATGTATACAGTAATATGGTATTATTCATAATAATTTAAGTAAAAACACTTACTTGTCTTGTTGATGTTTTAATTACTGCACATTTTCCTTTTCTTTGACTGTCCAAATCTACTACGGCACCATCTTCTTCTGTGTCTTGTGGATCAACATCTAATAACTCAATGACATTTGATACCAAGTAAGGTAATGTCTTGTTTACTTTTATCTTTTCTGTATTTTCTTTAATTTTATCAGCTTGCGATTGCAATTCATGAGATATACGCATAACATCACTTTTCATTACTTTAATATCATTATCAAGTAAACGTGTGCGTGAGGTTATTTCTTCGTTTGACATGAGTAAAATCTCATCCTCAACTCGATCCTATAAATATAAAGGATTATTGTTTACTTAAAATAATAATTACCGTTATGTATTAAAAAAAAAAAAATGCAAACAGTATAAATTCACTTACACTGTTCTCCCACACCGAGGGATCTTCCAATGTCTTACTGGTTCCTTCTTCAGTCATTTTGAAAATATGTTTTAAAATGTTAGTGAATAGATCTGAAAATATTTAGTAAGTACAATTGACGGGACAATGATAACTTTCGTTTGATTTAGAATGATTGTTGATTTTCTGTTGATATCACTTGGCCAATTTTCCTAACCTTAAAATATTATTATCTTTGGATTACAGTGAACCGTCATGGTGGGAAAAAGTTAAAATTGCCCAATTTCCCAAGCACTTTGTAATGGTTTGCAGCTCTTTAATTCAGTCTTATCAAATCGTCACAAATCAATCCCTCACACCTCAGTAGAATTGAACACAGTACATGTTATATAAATACATTTTTATTTTTCGAAAATACGAACTCAACTTGTAACGATATTATACTTAGACGGCTGTAATTGTTGTAATTGCATTTGTGTGATATGTATTCATTACTTACTGAAAGTTAATGAGCTTTATTGAAAAGTGTTATTTCCGTTTTACGTATTGGCTGAAAGAACGGGTTGAACAATGCTCTCAGGACGTGGAGTTGGTTGTTTGCCGGGTAAGTCTAATGTAAAATGTATACAATGCTTATAAGTTATAAATAAAATATAATGTAAATATGGAATATAAAAAAATGTATACGTTAATGTTATAACTTCTAATATTAACATATAGATTTCTTTCCCATGTAAGCATGTAAACAATTATTTCAAATTTTGTTTTTACAGATAATCCTTTGGGCCTATCATGGCATGATAGCAAATGGATTCCAATGCTCAACTCTAACAACATACTCGATTATTTCTCGGAGCTCAGTAATCCGTTTTATGACCGAAGTTGTAATAATGAAGCTATTAAAATGCAAAGGCTTAGCATGGATCAGTTGAGGTGAGTGATTTTAGTGAAGTTAGTATTTTCCACTTTTACACATCTTGTTTTTACAATTTCTTAGATTATTTTATTTACAGTATAGATTTTATCTGAAGAGCTAGTCTTGATTATTATTGATTAGTACATCCTTATTTTTAAAACTAGTTTTTTTTTATCATAGTAGTTTGTAGTCGAAGTTTATTATGGTTCTCTTTATAATTTTATTGATACCCCTTGTCTTAATGTAATAATATTACTTTTGGAATTAAATTAATTATTTATACTTTAACTTTAAGTTTTAATACTATTAATAATAACTATTTTATAATGGCCTAAAAAAAAAATCTGATATAAATAATTTTTCTTTTATAGGTATAATATTTCAATAACAATCCAGTGTAAAAACTATTTAATGAATAACTTTTCTAAGTCAAATTTATTATACACTAATAACCAAAGCTCAGGATTTTATGTGCTTAAAATCTTAAAAATATGCCCATACATATACATCAAAAAATATAAAAATATGCGCTTAAATATGCATTTATTCTTAATTAAAAAAGAAGTACTAATACAAATTTAATTTTTAAAAAAACATATCTTGCACATCATCCGTGGTTCGTTGATTACTGAGTATTGACAGACAAAATAATACTGTGAAAGAATGAAAAATAAAAATAAAATGGGTTCCTGAATAAAATAAGCGGAATAACACTATTGAGTATCGCCTTGTCGGCATTATTGCATAGATAAAAACTGATTTAGAATGATTAATTTATCAGTGCATTTTGTTTTCTAAATAAAATTTTTAAAACGTGTCAATAATAAAAATTTTACATTAGTATTTTTGATTAACTAAAAAAATTGATTTACGAGTAAATTATCAATAATTATTTTAAAATATGCAAGTTCAAATTAATAAATCTAAAAAATATACAATTGAAAAAAAAATCTAAAATATGCAACAATATGCACAATAAACTTTTAAACTTCAACTCCAAACATCACAATACAAATTTGTACCATATTAGATTTATTCTATATACTTCCCAAACTAATATGCAAATGCATAAAATCCCGAGCCCTGCTAATAACCATATTCTGAATTAGTAACATATTTAAATTTAGTGGATCAATGTAGTTAAATTATTTATCAATTATCTAAAGCTTTCCTAAATGTGTCATATATTGTTCAATTAATCAATGTAAATAAATTTGATTTCCAGTTTTCAAATCTTTATGTATATCTTAATAGTCTTATTTAACCAGGACTCATAAGTTCATGCACAAAAAAACCCGTAAATAAGCACGCAATAATGCACTAAAATTTGATAAAATATGCATTAAAAATCTTAAACTATGTACAAAAAAAAAAGAATGTATAAGTATTTTTTAAAATAATAAGAATTATCCATTTATATTTTTAAAAGCTTTATTTTATTTCTTAGACTATATTTTATTACAATTTTAATTAATGAACACTCATTACAACAATATTAAATATGATAAATTGCAATGCACACATCAATAGGAAGAGGGTGGAAGCAGTGTGCGATAACATTATTTCCATAGTGTTACTTTTAACTTATAAAACTCAATGTCATACAAAAATATAAATACTGATAAAATACTAAGATATTGTAAACATATTCAGAAAAGTAATGAAGAATGAATTCAACCATTAATTCATAAAATTTTTTTTTAACATCTACCAAAAAATAATTTTGCTGAATATACATAAAATAATACCCGTTAATAACTCAAAAAAATCAACTATATACCAATACACACAAAATATGTTCTATTAAACTTTAGGTTTTTATTACCATTGTTATACAACTGATTTGTATCTCACTTATCATGTTTTGCGATGTAACATAAAAAAAACATACACGAACTTACAAGTCCTGATAATTACTATTGATAGTTAATTTAAAATTTAAATTATTATTCGTTTTAACTGATGTATATATATATATGTATGTATAAATACTTCTATCTATATTTTATATTTCAGTAATATGATTGGGCTAGAGTATTGCCTTCTACATGTTCAAGAACCTATTTTGTATGTGGTACGTAAACAACACAGGCACTCTCCAACTCATTCAACACCCATTGCTGATTTTTACATTGTTGCTGGAATAGTTTATCAAGCTCCAGATCTCCTTTCAATTATTAACTCTCACTTGGTAATTTACAATTTAGATATTATATAAAGTAATCAATAATTTTCCTAATTTCATAAATGTGCTACAAGAAAAATTGATTTTCTTTTTTAAATTAACATACATTTTTTTGTTATTGTTACATATTTTTTTTTTTAATCAAATATTTTATTTTATAGAAAAAATATTGATAATATGATTATTTATTTTATTTTAAGATGTCATCAGCGTATCATTTAGAGACCGCATTTGAAGAATTAAACTCTTTAGCTAGATTTCATCCATCTAAAGGTTATTCATGGGAAAATCGTAGACCTGGCCTATCATCTGGTCCTGTAACAGCACCTCCACCATCTCCAGTAAAAGTTCCAGGCAAAAGAGACACTGAAGAACCCAGTTCCCAATTCCAAAGATTACGTGTCGATATGTTATTAGTTGAATTAACTAGAAAGTTTCCATTGCCTTTACCTCAATCACTTGCTGCACCACCGCAAAATACTATAAATAATCAACAAACAAGTAATATATATATTTATATTTTATATAAAAATATTTTAATGCCTTATCAACTTAAAATATTTTTTATTTCTTAAATAGTAATTGTTTTATTAACTCTTACATGTTGTCATGTCTAGACTACTTAATGTTATCAGTATGTAGTTTTACTTTGAGTTTGATTGATTACTTGCAAAAAAGTTTGTTTGTGAAGTTCAGTAAGACCCTTGTCCATGGTTTAATATTTATTATATATAATTCTAAAGTAAACCAAAATAAAAATATTCAGTTTAGGTTGTAAATTATTTATGTTTTAAATTTTAATTATTAAGACTTAAGATTTTGACTAATTAGTTATCAGAGGCACTTGTAAATATGAGTCTTAGGTGAGAAAAACTATTTATATTCTATTATTGTTGCACAATATCATTAACAGTTATGAAAATGTATCTTATTATAAAATTTTATGTTACAGATGAAGTGATGAAAAAAGAAGTAAATCAAGAAATAAAGCAAGAATTGATTCATGATATAAATATTAAACAAGAACCACAATCTACCAATTCTTTATCACCATCAATGAGGCCACCTCCTGAGAAAAAGTTTAAACCTGCGTGATATACTTTCTATTTTTATTTATATTTATTATTGATTATTAATATTTATTACTTTATGTATTCAGGATTTAATGTTATGATCCTAAAGATAGTATTTACATTGTACTATATTTTATTGCAAAAATAAATTATAAAATAAATGTTACTTTTTTATTTTTATACTATAATAAGTATAAATCAAAGGCATTTCACATTTTTTCATGGGATGTAAAACCAATATTGAAAATCTAAAGTAATACCAGATGCTCGCATGATCGAGTCATCCCATGAATTTTTGTCAACAGGCTTTTTGTGTAAATGTAAATAACTTCATAGAAATTATTGTATAAAACAAATAACAATAATTTTGTTAGAAAAATGTTATTTATTTTGTTTTAACACAATATTATATGGATTACAACAGCTAATTGTTCAATGATCAATTAGATAATACAACTGATCAAAATTAACTTTATTTTAACATTGCCTTTTAGTGCAGCTTCCGATAAACGCTAAAAAAAAAAACTAAATTACCTAATAGATTTTCATATAAGAATGTGTATAAACTAAATAATATAATTAATAAGTAATGTAATTACAATAAAGAAATCTTCTATATTTTAATTTAGCGAAACTATCTACTGCTTTTAGTTGTGTCTAGTGTATCAGCTTCTTCTTTTTCAATTGAAATAACCATTGAGCCACTTAACCTATTACCTTCCATAGTTATGCGCAAATAATTTTTCATTTTTTTCAATGTTGAAAAAAGCATTTATTAGAAGCAGTACTAATAGGCAATGTTAAAATTATTGTTAATATTTTTAAAGTTTCTACAAAAGCAGATGGTAGTTTAGATAATTTTTCTGTTAGTGTTATTATATCAGGATTAATTTATTTTTCTTTAAGTAGTGCTTGGATGGAAGAAAATTCAGAAGATAAATATATAGAATAAATTTTAAAATGCCTTTAATGATTAAAACATTTTTCAAGATAAACAGAATTTGATTTCAAAAATTGATCACTCTTGAAGTTAAAAATGTCCATAAGCATCAAAATATCATTATTAGCATTAGAAAACTGTTTTTCTATTTCAGCTACAAATCTGAAAAGCAAAAGTCAAAAAAGTATACTAAGCATAGTATAAGCATTTTCAAGGAAATAGAATAAGGTGTAAAAAAAATCATTGTAAAATTAACATTTATCACTCCGTTCAGAATCTAAAATATTATAATACGTGCATGAGTGGCGAGCAAGTGTGTCCTGTGGTATTTTGTATTATAGATATTTATTATATAAGTATGAACATTTAAAAATATATAAATACTTGTCAATTACTGTGTAATAAACATCTAACATCTGCCTTATTTCATTTGCCTGAGGATTGTCTGGTTTTTTACCCACTGTTAAGTAAAATCCAACTGTCTTCATTTCTATAAATGAGAAGTTCATTTTTGGTTGATTGTATGAGTTCAATTGCATTTTGTAATACAATTTAATCTGATTTTAAAGTCACATGAAACAGTGAATATTTTCAAGTAAATTTTCCATTACACACAGTAATGCGATAAATTATATGGTGGATATTTGTCATACAAGGCAACATGATGTAGTTTTTGTAGCTTCATCACCTTTATCAGTGGATGTGTCTCCTAATATTTCAAGTATTTCTTTGATTTCTGTAAATCTAAGTTTTATTTCTTTTATTGATGTATACTAGTATGACCACTTTGTATTTACTAATCTTTCTAAATTAAGTATTTCTATATATATATTTTTTTTTACATTTTTGCAAATAACTCATATTTTGTTTGACTGTTCATTAGAAATTTTTAAATATGTTGAATTGTATCGAAAAAATAAACTATCTTAGGATTATTTTGAAGAGTATTTACTAAACATAAATTTAGCCGATGAGCAAAACAATGTATGGAAATAGCATGGGGTACAATTTCTTGAATTCTGGATTGAACTCCTGAGGATTTTCCACACATGACTGCTGCACCATCATAATATTGAGAAATACAGTTTTTAATATTTAGTTTTTGACTACATGTAATGTTGATAATTTCATTAGCAAGGGTTTCTGCATTTGAAATTTTCATGTAGTAGCAGCCTATGGATTTTTTTTTTCATTTTTATTGTTAATATATCGTATAATGTAGATACCCGTGGATTTTAACAATTAGTTAATTTCGATTATTCAACGTCTCAATGAACTAGTTTCATGTTGTAACTGGGATCAACAAAATATTTTGACTAATCAAAAAAAAATTACAAAATTATTTTTATTTGTTTTATACTATACATTTATGAAATGATCTACAAAAAAGTGTGTTAAAAAAAACATGGGATGCATTTGCACATCCTTGCATCTCACAAATGACGCCACTGGTATAAATTGTATTTATGCTTTAAAACTATAAATGTACTAATAGTATTTTTATTTCGCCAGAAGTATTGAGTATTTTATTAATATTTTGCTTTTGGAAAGCATATGAGTTTTGTATAAGTTCTTAGATTATTTCTATATTATACACATTCTAATGATTTTTTTTTTGTGTAAACAAATATATAGTATAAAATTAAAATTAAATAATATACATCTGCTTTAGATTGTACTTACTTTTTTTATCTAGTTTTTTACATGTTAGTTTTCTATTATATTTTATGATTTTTTTTTTTTATCATAGTTTCAATTATTAAATCATTAGTTGGCTGAATAAACTGTTGTGTACTGTAGTCAGCATTTTTGTTTCAGTACAATTTCTAAATGTTGTTTATGCACAGATAACATCAATTAAATAACAGTTTAATATACATAGTTCAAACTTGATAGGGTAAATTATCTCCTTTTTTGTATAAGAGCTATGACATTTTTCAATTATTTATTTATAATTACTTTAATTTAACATTCTGACTAATTTTTTTCAAGAGTTATATGTTCAAAAATGATTGAGATGCAATATATTCATTGGAGATCGTTGATCGTATTTTATTGAGTTTGTATTGGTATAGTATCTTCAGCTCAAAGCTACTCAAAAAACATTCATTTTTGAAAGATGATTAAAAAACATACAGTTGTTATGTTGTACAACATTATATTTTCGAGTCGGAAAGCTCGAGTTTGATCAAATATTTTGGTAGTATATACATATGTAATATAATAATATGTGTGTACAGTTATTATGCATAGACAGTATACACATACAAATAGCGTTAAAAATTACCAGTAATTGAAGGTTATTGGTTTAATTTAAATACATTTTTAATGAGTATCAAGTAACACACATATAGGCAGTATTTATATTTTTCGAATTGTAACGGTTTTCAACTGGGGGTAGGTTTGTGGAGTAGGCGCCAACAATACGAACAAACGATGCACTAATTATAATTATTATTGGGTACGGACAGTAGGTACGTCAAATCATGACGACGGTGACGGTGGTTTTGGAGGAGCCATCGTGATCTTTTTGAATCCGTACACCAGCAGGATGGTGTACAGAACGAACGCGAACGATATCGTTATCATCACGTACATGAACAGATTGAGCTCGGGCTCGCGGAAACGGGTTTTCTTCAACCACTCCAACACCTCGGTCTCCGAGTCCAGGCTTCCTGCGTACAGACAATGCATACCGGGTGTTAACAACAACGATTCGTAGACAATCCGTTTCGTTTCACTTTTTTTATTTTATTTTTTTTTTGTTCACCTATTTGAATGCAGTGGCGCGGTGAACGGCGTTTGTCTAATGCTATTGCTTAGCCCTAGAGATCTATCAATCCAATAACTCAGTGGCGCCGAACCTTTAAAATTGTACCCGGGCCAAATAAAAATACAACGGCATCAAGAACCCCAGCGGCCACAAGCCTACATTTTTACTTTGCATAAAATAATGATTTGTGCACTCGAATTACAAGTGATTCATACTAGTCAGACACCTACCGTTGTGCAAAATATCTTATTATGTGTTATAATTTAGGTAGTTCACATTTGAACGTTACTGTATGCATGTACCGATCCGACAGAGTAAGTCCGGCATTCGTCGCGAGGTCAAAATATTGCAAACCATAGATCGGCCCTTCTGATTCCCGGGCTCTTTTTAAAAATATGGTCGGGCCGCGACCTGATCTATGCATAGGGTTCGGCGCCATTGCAATAATTAATTTAAGTAACTAGGAGTTCCGTAGCTTCCCGATAACCGCTGGACTATTAGGTAGACGTAGTTTTCAGAGTTAAGAAATTCGATATTCTACAATTGTTTTAATAACGTACCTCTGTAAACACTAGGGAACTTATTCCGGAAGTAAACTACGGCCGGCAGCTTGGTAACACCCCATTTGCGTGCGTAACGAGCGTCTGCCATTTTGACGAATGTAATGTCCATGTTGTTTGTTTCGTCGTCTATGGTCTCTAGCCTAGCCAGCACTTCTGCACTTTCCGGTTCGTCATTTTCGTCTGTTGCAAAACACAATATTAAACTTTGTATTACACGCGTATAATAATGCTAAGTTTGTAAATGGATCAAAAACCGAGCATTGGAAAATATTATTACAATGATTAATCGGTTTAAGAATGTAATTCACGACGACAGTGCTTACAGAAAAATACGGTGACGAATTCATTTTCGTTGAGTAATTTCGTTAGCATTTTCTTGTTCACCTCGTCGATTTCGTTTTTTATTTCAAATACATCCTGCGAAGTTAACCACGATAACACCTTGTCTTCGTCGGTCAAATCTCCTGCACAATATTGTAAACAATGTTGGATTTTTTTTTTATTTTTTTTTTTTAATTTGTTCGTGTATTTTTGTGTCCGAACATTTCGAATTATTACCATCAAATATTTCGGGTACTCTTTTTCTAAAATACACCAAAGACGGCAGACTTATGATGTTGTACTTCGACGCGACGTCTGGATCTGATATCTTAACCATGTCAATACCGAACAAATCTGCTTCGCCGTCAATAATTTCTAGTTCTTCTAGAATGTCGCCGCATTCTTCGCAGTTTTCCTCGTCTGCGGATACCGTTTAAGTTATTGCTACTTTCTCGTTACGTATGATTAATGACATTCCGACTATATTATATTTACAGAAAAACACTGCTAACAGTAATGACTCGTCCAAAAGTCTCTCCAGCATGCGGCTGTTTACTTCTTCAATTTCATCAGCCAGTTCACGGTTGTCGTCGTCTATTAGCCACTCGAGAACCGATTCTTCGTTTTGTAAATCGCCTAAAACGAATATTTTTCATAATTTAAACTACAATATGTTCAATCATATCTTGTAAAATTCGCAAACCGACCTTCGTACAGTAGAGGATTTCCGTTTCTAAAGTAGACGAGTGCTGGGAATGTCTTAATTGAATACCTTTTGGCTAGCTGCGGGTCTTGAATTTTTACCATGTGTATACCGTACAAATCACATTCGTCGTCTACTCGTTCTAAATCTTCGAGAATTTGGTCGCAAACATGACATGCCTGTTTATCTGTACAACAATAATAGGTGATGATTGAATTAAATAAACTAAAAGTTTTACATTTTATTGAAATAATGAAGAATACATAAAAAATAAAATAAAAAATTACTGTTATTCTAAAGTCTAACGTTTGTCAATATAAATCTATAATAAAAGAAAAACTCATCTTAAACACTTATCTCATTTTATGTAATTAAAACTGCTTAAATCCATCAGCAAAATATTGTGAAAATAATAAATTGAACCACGAGTCACGAGGTATGTGCTTATATCAGTATGGTACTGCGGTAACCAAGTTTAACGTGAATAGAAAAAGATTCATTATTTGGTTATACTTACAAAAGTATACCGCTAAATATTGTGTTTCTTGCACAATTGTCTCTAACATCGATCTTGTGACTAATTCAATTCTGTCCTCAGTTCTTTGAGTTATTAACCATTGAAGAACTTCTTCTTCTTCTTTCAAATCTCCTAAATAAATAAATATATATATATATATAATGGTGTGTATAATTATATTAATTCACATTAAATATTTAAATCCAAAATATTATTATAATATTATCAATAATGAATTCACCTCCAAACAGATTTGGCACCGAATGTTCGAAGTACACCAACGCCGGTAATTTTGATACACCATATAGTTCAGCCGCATCGAGATCCTAAAATATATTTAATAATTATTGCAAAAATATGTTAGTAATAATAATTAATTATATATAAAAAATAAACATAATAAATAAAATAATAATAAGTAAAATTAAATTGTTTTGTAATTAATAATCTTAAAATAATAACTAAGTATTATTGAATACATGAAGATCTAAGATTGATAAGAAATCCCATCATTAGGTATAAAAAACCACAGTGAAGATGAATTTTTTAAATAGCAAGCGATCGTAAATATTTATAGGCATCAAACGCAATAATAAAATTCAAGACAAGAATTTTAGTTTTTTTTTATAAAATATTTCTATTACTATTTTAAGAAATATTTAATATTTAAATATTAGTTTTTAATAATACTTTGTTATTGATAATAGCTTTTGCTGTTACAGTGTTACAGCATATTATATAATGACATAAAATAATATATAAATATTTGTTTTATTGTTAGTTTACTTGAGTTTTAATAAAAGTAATCCCATGTCGTTCACAATCATCGTCTATATTTTCTAATTCTTCTAGAATACTTGTACACTTATCACATTCGTCTTCGCTATCTGCAAGTATTTATATTTTGTATATAACTAGAATTAATATAAAATATGCATATTGTATGTTTGACTAATTTTAGCTGTGATGTTTGTGTTTTCATAATTCATATACATTCATGTAGGATAGCATCTAGTCTAAGCAAATATTATTTCAAGACCGACATTTTTTACAATTTGAAAATCCAGCTCAATCTATTTATACGTATCATTTGTTACAGTGGTAGAAATTGGAGGGGTTACAAAAAACTGAATAGTATTAAAAGTCCCACTACTTTTTTTTTTAACCTAGTTAATATATATATATATCTGCCATTATAATGATCTTCTATCCATGAAATGATGAATTCATTGTATATTATATTATTTTTAAATCGATAATCACGCAAATAAAAAAAAAATCTTTTAAAACTACAGCTTGTAATGTCAAAATCAAGTTAGCCAAATTAAACTATTTTAGTTTAAATTTCTATCGATTATTGATAAAGAATTAAAGTACAAAAAGTTAAAGTATATTAAGTTTCTAAAAATTATTTTTATAGTAGTATGGCAGTATCTATACAGTGGCATAGCGAGGATATAGCAACCTCTAACTACGCCAGGGGAGCGAATTTTAAAGGGGTGTACAATTGTGCTAAAGCCGTATTTTCATTCTCCCTTTCAAAAGAAATTTTTCAATTATACTTTTTTTGAAGTATGTAGATTTTGTCTAATTGAATATACTATGTGTGAATTGAATGATGAAATTATGAAAATAGTACAAGGAAATTCATATAGAAAACTTCATATGAAGAAATTATCGATGAATTCGCCAGTCGTAAAACGAAAACAGTGAATTTTCAGTTTAAAATGTACACTATAATAATAACTTATGAATATAAATTTTGTTCTTAAAAATTTTTAAAAAAAAATTAGTAAAATTAAAGATTAAAAAAAGTATCATTCCGTCAAATTTTTAATTGGTTTAAAGTAATTTTCTTCAAAGTTTGCCAGAGACGCTAGCGAGTTTTTCTACACCACTGTATCAATATATAAGTAATTGACTTATTGACTAGAATAAAAACTATATTTTAAAGTTTATTTTATTTTATACAAAGTGATTTTTTAATGTCCAACACTAATTTTCTATGACAATTTATGTATTTATGAATAAATTATTTTGACATTATCTTTTCAATGTTTACTATTATCATAGTAATCGTTTTTAAAGCAATGTACATTTTTAACTTCGTATAATGTTATCCTAAAAATGTCTATAAATAACAATCAAACATCAAACTAGTAGTTAATTACTTTGAAGCGTTTTAAGTTTAGAAGGCATAGTGAAGTAGAAAGAGATAGGTGTCTATGCTACAAAAGCATTGGTGCACTATTACGTTCATACAACCTTTTAACTGACATATAAATAATTAACTATAGGTTTAATATGACATATACAATTATTATAGGTATATCAAAACTGAAAAGAAAATTCAGGTTCAGATTTTAAAATTAAAATTGAATATTTCCTTTAAAAAAATCAAATACCTTGGACGTATAATGATGGTACATAAAATGTAATTGTTTTTCAAAAATTGTATGTTATATATTAACTTAAAATCATAACTATCAAATTAACCCGGATTATAAAAGTTTAAGTTTAATTACTTAATATGTGTAAGGTTTTATAGACGTTGTATTTACAAAATCTGGTTTCTACATTTTTAGTATCTACGATTGTCAAATATAGTTCACGAAGCATTTTAAACTTATTATGACATGCGAAATGCAAATTTTCGGCAAAATAAACAAATCGTATTTAGTATTATATAATGAGTTGAATATATGTATAAGTACTCATTATTTTTCCAAAAAATTAGTACATTGTATTTTCAATAAAGTATTAATTATTTTAAATACATCTTTCTCTGTGTATTCATTAATATTTATTTGAATTTTTAATATATTTTTTTCATTATATGTGATATATACATTATACATACATGCACATTGATTTATATTTTTAAATATTTTTTGAGTTTTATATTTAAAATTAAGTCGGAAATTACTCCGTAATAAACGATATTATTATTATTATTAAAATGTTCATAATTCATAAAATGGAAGCCAATCTATAAATTACATTATTCACACAATGTTTAACTATTATATAAACGATTTGGGGTGAAATATAATAGATACATTACTATATTATCAAATTGTGTTTCTAAATCTAAGCGTGTAGACACAATTAATTTACATGCATATTCAGCGCACCAAAAATTATAAAAAGCCAATGATTCGCAGTCTTGATTGCGCGTTATTATCAAAGTCTCTATATCCATTCTTTGGTGAGGTACCATAGTTATTGATTCCTTGAGCACTAGCATGAGTATCACTATTATTTTCCGCATTATCTTTATCATCATCATTAGCATCATTATCATCGTTATCATTATTATGATATTTATCATCATCATCATCATCATCATCGTCATTATTATTAATTTTATTATTATCTTCTGCGGTGACTGATTCCGTCACGACATCCGGTTTCGCTTCTTTTTTTTTCATATCGTTATGATGGGCACCGTTTGGCTGTTGTGATTTATGATGTCTACGAAACGCTTTGGTGTTTGACGCCTTACAGCGTTCGCACAGCGTTCCATTCCCTATACGACGGACAACAACACACACATATTTGACACCAGACCACAGTATTACCGTTATATTATAATTTTACTAGTACAAGTCAAGACAGGCATTTCGTCAAACAAAGTTAAACACTCACAGAAATATACAGCGATTGATTCCGATGACGATATGGTGTCCCTTAACTCTTGTCCGTTTACCTCTTCGATTATTTCTCCATGTGGATTTTTTTGAACTAGTAGCCAATTTAATATATCCGATTCTTCGTACAGATTTCCTAAATAATTGTTTTACAAACATATGGTTTAAAAGTATCGCAACGGCGATTTCATTCAAATAAAAATCAAATGTTACACGAAAATACAGTTCTAATCTTTTTATTTTATAACATTGAAAATTAGTATTATTAGTATTATAAATCAAAAAGTATACGATTAATACCTGCGTAAATTGTAGGATCTTTGGATCCGAGTTTAAAGAAAACTATGGCTGGTAATGCAAACACCCCACACTCTTTGGCCATTTTTTTGTCATCGATTTTCACAAAATCTATTCCAGCAGCATCGGCATCGTCATCTATATGTTCGATCTCCGTGAGCACTTGTTTGCATTGTTTGCAATCGTCACTATCTGTAAACAAAACACACCAGACATCACCATCGTTCCAGTGCTGCAATTTTTTAGTGCAGAAAAATGAATAAAAATCTTACAAAAGAATACCGCTACGTTTTCTGAACTCTGTCTGATTTTTGCAAACATTTTACGGTTTACTTTTTCGATGTGTTCAGTTAACTCCATATTAGAGGGATCGGTTAGCCAGTCCAAAATTTCTTCATCGTCGTCTATGTCACCTACAAAACATAATATATTTAGAAATAAAAAATATTTTTATTAAAATTATAAAATTACTTCTAGATACTAACCATCGTAATTTATATATTTGCTTTTTCGGAAATAAGTGATACCAGGTGGACTTCGGAATCCATGTTTTTTAGCCATCAATCGATCACTACATTTAACTACTTTTATACCATATTCCGCAGCCTCGTCGTCAATTAGTTCAATGTGTCGTAAAATCCTCGGTACTCTAGTATCACCCTCCACATCTTAACGTTCGAATTACAGTTAATTAAGTACACAATTTATAGTTAAAATGCAGTGTTTACTTACACCACACAACCGCTAAAAAATCTTGACTTTCAATGTATTCAAATAACTTTTCTCTATTTATGTGTTCGATACTTTCATCTGTCTTTTGTTTTATCATCCATCGAAGAACTTCATTTTCATTAGCTATGTCTCCTTTAATAATAATTTTAAAGAAAAATGCAAAATATTAAAAATTTAAACTATTTAAATTAATAAATGGTGATTTATTTTGATACTGAAACGTTGTAATAAAAATATTTATTTTTTTAATATTCCAAAATCACCTCAATATTTATTATATATATATATGTATATATATATAAATGTAAGAATATATTATAATTTATGGGCTACAATTGAAAAAATAAATAATTATAAAGACTGAAAGAAAATATGTTAACTTCAATAACAGTAATGGTTTATTAATACATTATTTTGTACAATTAAATTTGATGACAGAACTTAAACGTAACATCTATAACATACTTATATTTAAAATTACAAGTGGGTTTATTAATAAAATAATTAACAAATGTTAGAAGTAGGTGGTTAAAATATATTTGAGAAAATCAAGCTAATTATCAAAACTGTCCTAAATTTAGTTCCTACATATGAGCAAAATCAGAAAAATCATTACATATATTTACAAGGAGAAAAATAACAGCCTTTTTCAAATTGCATTTAATATTACATTGTAAAAATTACATTATTTTTTAAATTAATTACTTAAACATTTCTGTTAATATTATAATTAATTCAAATCAAAACTAATACATTGTATAAAGTAATTAAATACTATAATATAATGAGCAATTTAACTGAATTATACATAACTTTTCAATAAAACAAAAAAAAAAAAAAATCCAAACGGCTAATGTCAGTAATCCACTTATACTCAGTATTATTTTAAATAATATAATATTTTGAATTACACATATACATATATATTTAAATACAACATGGCACATACTATTATTTAACTATAGAATTCGAGGTACAATGGAAAATATAATTGTAGAACAAAAAATTAATAATAAAATAGCATTACATAATATACTATAAATAAGTGAACTAAACTATTTTAATATCAATTCTTTATATTTTAGCATTATACTACACAACAGCCAACAAAATTAGGCTATTTATATATATATATTAAATTGATTACATTACCTCGTACTTGGGATATTTTATACTCTTACAAAGAATATCTTAAATAAACAAATTTCTGAATGCTATAATAAAAAAATTAATCAACATGTATTTGTAAATATTCTGCGTCTCAAATAATGATGTAGGGCACAGGACAATCTTTGTTTTTTTTTTATAAATAATCATGCCCATAACTATTTAGGGAACTCTTGTTAACTATATACTTTTTAAAAATATGATGTACTCGTATTTTTATAACAATTATTAATCTATACTCAGGAGTGACATTATTGTGTAGTTATGACCGTATCCAAAATTAACTATTTTAAAATCAGTATCTGCTGTTTTTTTTTAATATATCCGAAACATAGCTCGCTATTAATTTATTTCAGAAATGCCCATATCACATAGCTAATACCTAATATTTTGAATATTATATTTTTTAATAATTAAATGGAGAATTAGTTTAATAATGCAAAAGTTTATTTCTAAAATAATCTCTATTTTCTCCTTAAATTAATCTGCACATTATAATAAGCGGTCAAATGATAGATATGTTTTATTTTTTTTTTTTGTGGTTTTTTTAGGTTTCTAATTTTGTGTTCAACTCTAGGTTGGTTTTGTAGCAGGATATGTGTTCTCATATTGAAATATATGTATTTAATATTTTTATATGAGTAATTTATATATTTACTGAAAAATGTTGAGTAGTAAATTATTGAAATATTTAACTGTCATGTAATGTTGTAAATGATAAGAACATTTTCACTCAAGGTCTTATATTAAAGTTTTTGAAAACTTATACTTATAAATCAAATTGTTTTTGTCAGTATGCTGATGTTTAAATAGGAAAATATATACGTTTAAGAAATATTATTAAAGACCTTTTAAGTTTATTTTTTATTTTGTCTCATTCCAGATATTAATTATAACGGTTTACCACCACCAGGAAGCTTTTCCGCCGTTATCTTTCTTGTTTCTTTTTTCTTTCTTCTTGTTATAATTATCAGACTTGCCATTGGCTTTCATTTCGTCGTCTTTTGTTTCTTTTCTTGTAGACTTCCCTGATTTATCCTTTTTGACTTCGGGTTTTTCATTTCCAGTCTGTGGTTGAGACGGTTTTGGACAACATTGGTATGGCTCAAATGTCGGTGTACTGGTCTTGGTATTTCCCAGACCGATGTAAAAACAGCTGTCGCCTGCAGCAAAATCCAAATCGTATTAGCAATTTTTTTTTTTTTATATTATATGACATTGTGAATAAATTATAGACGAAAAAGGTGACAAATACGTAAATGAATTTCAAATTATCAATGCTAAACAAAAGCTTAGTATAACAAGGATATGATGGAACAAAATGCTGCAGACGACAAGCTGTTAGTAAAAATAAAAACAACATTTACAAAATTAATTTTAAATACATAGGTTTCAGTGTAAATTATTAATATATGAATACTCGAAATAATATATTAGTTTAGGTCTTGGAAATTAGTAGGTGGTGTCATTTTGACATTTATGTTTGAATTTTCATGGTTTTATTATTTTATTGTAATTTTATGTGTAGTTTAGATTTATTTAATATTTTGGTCATAGCAACTATCATACTTCATTGAATATTGGTGAAGATTTTGTTAATACTTGGAACCGAAGTACTTTATTACGTGTGATATAGTAATGAGAAATATTTTTTTATAACTTAGTGCATAGGTACTTGTAAAGTGTATCCTATGGTTGGATTTTGGTATGTAGGTTTTATATGATATAAGAACATTGTGAAAACCGAAATTAGGTATTAAATTATAAAATACCGATAAAAAATTTAATTTGTTACACTGTATCGATGATTTATTCATGGACTATTTTTGAATTTTAAATGTAGATCCAATACTAGAGAACTGATGCGGTGAGAAAATGAATTTATATAAAAATGTAAAATCAAGTGATTTGTAAAATGGTGTGCATCCATGTCAATGAAGACATTTTGTGTAGTATACAACCGCATTACATAACCAAGTGCATTAATGTGTATATCATTTATTTTGAAACTTGATATTCATTTAGAAAATTAACTAATTTATTCATAGTATATACTATCAAAAAACACGCTTGATAATGATTTATTTAAAATAAATCACTATTTTATCAGTGACTAATTTATAAATACTTATTACTGAATAATTTAGCAAGACCACTGAACGAATCATTATTCAAATCAAAACCTCCAGTTAAAATTATAGTGTTTTAAGATTTTATTTTACGATAAAATTGTATAAAAGTTATTTTATAAATACATTCAAACTGTGATATTTAAAATTAAAAAAAGAGCATGAAATCATCCTTTATAAAAATTAGGCCGTGTCTTGATATAGGAAGAGAGGAATTATGTTACGAATATTTTGTTATTATAATTAGCTACTGGACAGTTGCCGATTTTTTATTTTTAGAAAATCGGCATCTGATGTCTAATTCAACATTAAAACGTTTTTATACTTTCAACACACGAAGTTTTTTTTTAAATTTTTATACCTGTGTGTTCAATTTTTTGCAAATATTTAGTTGATTTTGAATCTTGAGTTTTTTTTTTTACCATCTAAATACCATAGAATAATCACAATTATTGGGACGAGTTCTATGCATTTTTTTAAAATAATTTAAGTATAATATATATTAACACGTATCGCTTACTTTTTTGATCAATTAGCCAATTTAACACTTTTCCGCTATTCTTAAGGTTACCTAAGCACAATATAATATAATATATAAAATTATGTTTTTACATAGTAAATAATATTTAAAACGAACAAAATTTACGCTTATATCTAAGTACACTATGTATATATAAGAAAAAAAAATACATATTTAGTAGATAAAATATAAAAATAAATTGCTTTACGTTTCTGTTACAAATATAATTTGTATTCGTACACTATATACACTACATGATGTATGACATAACATTTTCCTTACTCTAAAGTCGGTGGTTACAAAATAATTTTATAATGATTAAATTAAATATTCTAATACATACTGGATGATCAAAATTTCATAAGAAATTGGTTTTCTTTTCAAACGTGCAATAAAAAAAAAACGTTTAGTAAATCAAATAAATTATTTATATTATACCATTTCATAATACTTCATTATTTTACATATTTATTGATTTTACATAATTATTTGAGAAAACTTTTGTGACATGAAATCCAGATCACCCAGTATATATAATATAATATGGGGGTATTGTATTCATAAAAGCGTTGATTTCTGTCCCTTTGTATATACGTGCATGGTGCAACATAATCATTCAAACGGTTTCTTCGTATATCGGTTAATTTAGGATTTAAAAACATTTTTTAATTTTTCGTGAAATGTTCTGAAGATTGAATTTCCCACATTCACTCCTTTACTTCAATGACATTGATTATTTTCAATTAGTTCAGAAGTAATTTTAAAGGATAATATTGAAAATGTAAGGTAGAAGATCTCGAGTATACATCACGATGACATCAAATTTATTTTCAAAATTCTTATAGTATCAACTTAATATATTATGTGTCATGATGGACAGATAGTAATTCAACACTTCCAACCTAACTCCTGACGATGCTGCATGTATGAACCTAGTACCTACCTACTATTACGGATAACAAGTATCTATCCCTCATAATATAATACACCTATCTTATTGTAAAATCAACTTTACATGTAGGTAAGTAAAATATTGCAATGCATTTATTTAATTTAACTGTTTTACATTTATTACTTAATTTTAAATTATTAATCAGGTACGTAAGATTTTTTTATTTCTAGTTAGGTACCTAGAATCTGAAATTGATTGAAGAAATTAGTTGTTTCCTATAATAACTCTTTTATTAATTTCATTTCTTTTAATATTTTATAAAATTTTAGTTCTCAATTTATGTAATATTTACAAAGTGTATAAACTTACCATCATACATGATTGGAACTCCAGTTTCATAATAAACTAAAACGGGAAAACTAAAAATACCAATTTCTGATGCTAACTTTGAATCAGTCGACTTGACGAATTGAATACCCTCTTTATCAGTATCATCATCTATAGTTTCTAACTCTTCTAATATACTAGGGCAAGCTTCACATTTATCATCATCTAAAACCAAGCATGATATAATATATTATTTATATTTTTTATTTAAAATAGAAATATTATTATTTTTATTATAATCATAAAAATTACTATAATTCTTGAAGAGAATGCATAAGAAATACATTTTTATTTTTAAAGATTTTAATATCCTCGGGAATCGAAAAAAACCATGCGATTACTCTTTACTTACCCATCCAATAAAATATTATATTTTGGTTATTAATTTATATTTAATTTTCATAACATGGTAAATAGTTTTATTGAACTGTAAATAATAATAGTTTTAATTATTTTTAATTATTTTTGATGAACAATATCTAATATTGATATTATAAATAGCAAAAAAGTGATGTATTTTTTCAAAACCTTATAAAAATGCTATGCACGTACTTAGTATATATGAATACATAGTACTATATTTCAATATGACAGCATAATTTGTTCGTATTTTCTCTAAAGAATTATTTTTAATTTTACTATAAAATCGTTAACCTTAAGATATTCATAGTTAAAGTGGGAAGATCTAGTCATGAATGACAAGAAAGAAGTGAAACCGAGTATATATGTTCGTGTTTTAACGAGAAATATGGCAATAATTATAATTTGAAATATTTACAATGATATTGATTATTAATATGGTAGGAAAATTTAATATGTGTGTTAATATGATAATTGGTTTTTAGGAGAAAAAGAAAATCACCATACTTTTGTAGACCAATTATAAAAATTCGCCTACTTTTTGTAACTGACAAATGTATATATATATATATATATATTTCTTTAATTTTATTAAGTGATTTTTAAGTTTTTAAGTTTCTATTGCAGATTTAAAAGTTTTAAAAGTGTCATTGAAAAATATGCCATAAAAATGAAATAAAATAATCCGTAAAATAATTCAATAATATAAATACATTATATATTTAATGTGTACTAAATATATATATTATAATGGAATCATAAAATAATTATTTTTAAATACCTATTTTTTAGGTAATAGTTAACTTATTTCGTAGTAATATTTAGCGAATAGACTGCTCAAGCAAAATACTAAACCTCTTGTACGATTTTTAGCTGTACCCACTGTATTAAATATTATATTATGTTATATGACTTATACGTACAAAAGAAGACTGCCAAGTGTTCGACATCATTAATTAATGTTTGCAGCGTCTTTCTATCGACACTCTCAATAAAATCTGGTTCAGACTCATGTAAATTGAGAACCCATTCCAAAATGGCTTCTTCGTGCATCAAATCTCCTATTATATAGAATTTTGTTTTAATAGAGTTATTTTATAAATATGTATAAAATATATTATTATAAATATTATAATATTTTTTTATCAAATTTTACCTGTATAAATTTTGCGGAATTTATTTCTGTAAAATAATAATGATGGCAACCCAGGTAAATCGTATTCCTTTTCAATTCCTTCGTCGGAAGTTTTTAAGAATTGAATATTTTTTTCTTCGCATTCATCATCAATATTTTCCAACTCTGCGATTATTTTTTGACTTTTTTTGTCTCCTTCTTTGTCTAAACAGGATTTATAAAAAGACCATAATATTAACCGAAAACATTTACTGATTATTAAAAACTTACAGAAGAATACTACAACAAATTTTTTTTCACTTAATATTTTTTCTAACATCTTAGTATTAACTTCTTCAATACGCCCAGGCACCTTAAGAGTATCCTCATCGATGAGCCAAGTCAATACTTCATCTTCATCGTCCAAATCACCTGTATACACTAGTGGTTCTTTGTTTCTAAAGAATACTAGCGATGGGAATGTTCTAAGTCCATATTCTCTAGCGATAGCTGCATCTTCTGTAGTTACAAAAACAATTCCGGTTTCATCTAACTCGTCATCTATGTTTTCAAAACCATCAAGTATACTATCACATTCTTGTCCTTCTTCGCATCTTCCACCTATATTATAATTTAAAATTTTTAGTACCATATAAAAATGTATTGAGCATTTTTATTTAAACTTACTAAAGTAAACCAAAACGTATTCATGTTCGGCAATAAGAGTTTTGAGTATCTCGTCAGTGACTTCTTCGATAGTAGCAGTAGTTTTTTGCTCTATAAGCCATTTCAGTACTTGTTCTTCATTTATGAGATCGCCTAAAATTTTAAATGTTGTTTTAATTCATCGATTTAAAAAATAATTATAGTTTAAAATGGAATTTTCGTTAATTATAACTATAACTGTATATTATTATATTATAACGATACCTTCATAAATCGCTGGAATTTTGTTTTCAAAGTATACTAATGTGGGTAAATGATCTATGCCATATTCCTTTGCTTCATTTTCATCATCTAAACGTACAATCACTATTCCTTCTTTGTCCAATTCATCATCAATGTTTTCCAATTCATTTAGAATACGAATATCTTCTCTGTCATCCTTATCATCTAATTACATCAGATATAACATAACGATATGATTGTAAATGTAACCAATTAATTTAATAATTTAAAGTTATTTTTTTTTCTTTTTGTTATTAAGATTTTCTTTTTTATACAATTTGTGTATAGCTATTCATTAAGACTAAAAACTTAACTATTAATGACTGAAATTAGAAAATAATAGTCTCTACGATTGAAAATTTAATCAGTCCTAATCTAACTATTCACCATTATCAGTATATTAATACTAATGTTTCCTTACTAAGTATCTAATAATATAATTGAATAATATTACATTTAATAAACAACAGTTTATTCAAAATTAATACTTACAAAATAATACTGCTAAGTAAGGCTCAGAATCGATGAGTTTGTCAACAATTTCATCTGTAACTTCTGGTATTTCTGAATGTCTTTTTTGGTGTATGAGCCAACTTAAAACTTCTTCTTCTTTAAGTAAATCACCATTATATAAATGTGGAATTCTCTTTTCAAAGTACATTAGTTTTGGTACAGTTGTTATGCCATACTCTCGAGCTTCGTCAATATTACTAATTTTTACAAAGGCTATTCCACTCTGATCACATTCATCGTCAATATTTTCCAGCTCAACCAAAACCTTTTGGCTTTTTTTTTGTGTCTTATCATCTAAAAATAAAAATAAAATAGACATTTTTGTATTTATTTGTGTTTAGTATCAATTATATTGATTTTACAGAACAGAACAGCCACGTTTGATAGCTTATTTATAAGGATATCAAGCATCTCATCAGTTACGTCTTCTATTTCATCATGTTTTATTTGATAACTAAGCCATTCTAGCACTTTTTCTTCGTCCTCCAAGTTTCCTAAAATGTAATTTGATAACTATTATATTGTATAATTTATTTTAATATTATTATTATAAATAATATGTACCATTATAGAGGGTTGGAACTCCATTTTCAAAGTATAATAAAGCTGGTACTTCTTCAATCCCATATAACTTTGATTCTTCTTCGTCATCAATTTTAACAAATACTATTCCAAGTGTATCGCATTCATCGTCAATATTTTCAAGTTCGTTTAATGCTTTCTGGGATTTTTTATCGTTATTATCATCTAAAAATATAAGTAACATAGTTGTAATACAAATCGCTAATTATAGATGTGAAATACTTACAGAAAAGCACTGCGATATTTTTCCCTTCTTTAATAAGACGATCCATCATTTCATTCGTAATATCCTCGATTTCATCTTTTTGAAGTTGATCAATAAGCCAATGCAATAGCGCATCTTCGTTCTCAATATCACCATCATAAATGTTTGGTATTTGCTTTTCAAAATAAACCACTGCGGGTACCGATTCCAAACCAAATGAAGAAGCTGCTAGTGGATCTTCAATTTTCACAAACTGTATGCCATGGCGATCACAATCATCGTCAATTTTCTCTAATTCGTTCAAAACTCTTAAAGAATCTTCGTCATCGTTATCGTCTAATCAAAAGTTTAAGATTTTGTGATTGAAAATGTTCAAAAGTTAAATTATTTGATAGGCTTACAAAATAAAACAACAAGATTATCCACAGAACCAATAAGGGTATCTAGAGTTTTTGATGTCACGTCCTCGATAACATCTTCTTCGTCCCCTGTAGACTTATTTTGTACCAACCATTCCAGAACATCTTCTTCTCTCGTTAATTCATCTAAATGTCCAAATTTAAATACTTAAAAACACAGTTTATAGATGTATAAACTTATTTAAACATGTCGTTTGACAAACCACTGACGTTCATAAACAATTGGTATTTGATGCCGATAATAAACCAACTTAGGTAAATCTCCTAAATTGTACTCTTCTGCTAAACTTGAGTCATGTATTTTTACAAACCCAATGCCTAATTGATCTGCTTCATCGTCAATATTCTCCAATTCTTGTAATGCTTTTGCACATTTTTTACAGCCAACTTTATCTAAAGAGATAATATTGATTTCAATAAATTTGAACAAATTCGAAGTACAAAAACAAGGTTTTCGCTTATACAAGGATAAAGCTGTGAAAGGTTATACATTTATAAGTGGGGCGCCGAGGTATGTAGGTATACTATATAGCTGATATTGGGTTACAACCGTTTCACTTACGAATATCCTTTAAAGTAGTGCATTCTGATCGTTCGGGGCCTAGTTCAGTGTAATTTATTATGTTCAATCAATTAAACATGTTTTTATTTTATTACATCATAAAAACAAATAGTGCTACAAAAATAAAAATTATTTTACTCACAGAACAAAACTGCTACATAATCTGTGTCTTCGATAATTTTTTGCAATATTTTGGAATTTACTTCTTCAATACGATCTGGTAAGTCCAAAGCTTCTAAACTCGTCAGAAATTCTAATACTGATTCTTCATCCATTAGATCTCCTAAAAATTATCAAATGCAATTAATACAATTTAATAGTTCGACAATTTTTACTCACCTTCATATATAATTGGTTCTTTCTTTCGGAAGTAGGTGAGGGCTGGGAAATTTTTAATTCCATAATGTTTAGCTAGCCGTTTGTCATTTATTTTTACAAAGTCAACTCCAAAAGAGTCAGTGTCATCGTCAATATTTTCAAGTTCCTCTAGTACTTTATCACACGTATGACAGCTTCTGGTATCTAAAAGCCCAATTATACAACATTTTATTTTATTATGTAATGGGTAATAGTTATTTTTATTGATTTAAACATTGAAAAAATTATTTATTATGTAAAATTTGATGAAAAATACTGATTTACTAAGCTTATTTTTCGATATAAATTTTGTTTGAAAGGGTGTTGCAATTAATTTTACACTTTTTATTTTATACATATAGATACATAAATATATTATTATTTCATTATTACATTAATGTTTTATGAAGATATTTTTTTAAATTTTGATATTTGAATTTGACAAATGTATTTTAATTGTATTTTTTTAAAACTATTTCTACTAAAACTAAATTAAAACTTTTATAATAATATTTAAATAATAATTTACAGAATATTATTGTTAATTATGTAAACACTGAGTACCGGGGCATAGTCTTACTATACTTACATAAATCATCTATTTTGTGGTATTGTTGATATTTCAATAGATGAAGTTATAGACCTTAACAAATAACTTCTTACCATAGATAATAGGCATGCAATTACTATTTTATAAAGTTTCCGGTTGAGTATATTTATATATTTATTATAAAAGGTTCGTATAGAAATTGTTCGAAAAAATATTGATGATGAATATTTTATAGGCTTAATGAGAAATCCACCTTTTTGCGAGAATTTTCCTATTTGTAATTTATATAATTTTTTTAAATGGACGGTTATTGTCAGGTTGTTGCATACAGACTACCATGAATTTAGTAGTTTAGAAACTTTTTTTCTTAATTTTTATAATCTGTATTTATAAACACAATAAGTATAATAGTGGACAGATATAGTTATACAGATAGAGATACATATTAGTTATATACATATACATTAATTTAGAAACTACTTAATAATTTTTATAAACGGTCAAATTGTATGTTATTTATTTTTGTATTACTGTATGATATACATATTAACTTTTACAACTAGAAATAATACAATTTAAAACCAAACGAGTCATGTGTATTAAATTTATTTTTTGAAGTACATTAAATTTCTATATAATATATAATATAATACAATGGTGCGCAATCTGAGGGCCACCATATTTTATTAGAGGTCACCAATAATTTAACACCAACTGAAAAAGTTAAATATTATGTATACTCGTATTATTTTATATTTATATTTTATATTTTATAAAACTTAAATTTTGTATTTTTTTACGTTTTGGATTATTTAAATAAAAAAAAAAAAAAAAAAATTGAAATTTCCTAAAATTAACGATTATTCATTTATATAAATAATATTTTTTTAAACATTAAGAAAGTTAATATTATACACTTACAGAATGTTGGTAGGAAGGCGCGACCTGACTCATTAAAATAAATTAATTTGGGGGCATGGATAGAAAAAAATTGCGCATCGTTGATATAATACATTCATATTTATTTATTGGAACTTATATGGGTTTATGGAATGTTGTACTACACAGAATTATATTTTCCGCAAACGCATCTATTTGCTTTGCGAGTAAATTTTTGATACGCTCAAATTACTACGTCACTTAAATTGTGGTTGTATTTTTGTTATTTCTCTTATTAGTACACATTTGGTATCTCATTAGTGAAATCGGCATCAGTTTTTTTAATGTCCACTTCTGTAAGCTTATAATTCCAAACCATATTTTATGTTAGCAATAATTACGATCTAATTTTGAAATGTTTACCAACATTAATTGTAAATAATTTTTATCGCTTGCCTTTATCATTTATTTTGTCCTTCAAAAATGTCTTCTCTTTTTTCCAAATTTATTTTTCACAAAAATCTTACATGGATTATTTGTCTATGGTAAGTACTCTAGAATCACTTATGAAATTATTATTAAAAATTATTTCTCAATATTTTAATTTTTTTATTATTTTGCTTTACTTTTAGAATATAATCAACATAATTTATGGATATTATATATCTGCTTCATTGATAAAAAATTTTGGTGAACCTGTTCACTAAAAATTCTTAGTAATTAGATAACACGGAAATATACTAAAAGATAATTTATCTTTTTTCAACAATTATCCATAACGTCTCGTTTCATGTCAAATATTCAATTACAATTACAAATAATACACCTTGTACTTGTAATATTATTTTCCTAGTAATATTGGGAATAACTTTCATGAATATAGTTTTTAAAAGTCAATGAAATATTTAAAATTTAAAATCATAAAATTATATACTTATGCATACATTTCTATGCGTGTTATATTGGCATGTATGAATATAAGTTTTATAAATTTGAAAAGATTCCCATTATAGAATTTATTATTAAAAAAAATTGTCTAGCGAAAATTTCGTCGGTTATAACATTTAAAAACAGCTGTTCTATGATGTCAGTTCAGCAAAGACAAAATGGAACGGGCCACACTACCTCAGATGGAGTCAGACGTGTGCTATTATTATCTCCGGCGCACGGCCTCCGCGAAATCGTCAACAGCCGTCGGGGGATAGTATAACCATAATAATAATACCATGGCCGTCGCGCGTTTTACAATCCGAATTTCTCTCTCTTCTCCACCGGAATACTTCCATTATAAAGGTCAGAACTCGAACAATTCAGAACCTTTGCCAACAGTAAAAAACATTGTTCCGTACAACTTTTATTTTCGAAATTTCGCTCGCCTCTCATCAGCTTTAAGTTTTCGACTTTTGAGTTTCGTTATATATAACTGTCAAATAATGTTTTTACATTTTTATTTTCAGAAGGAGAGTTATTAATAAATTCATCAACACATTATCCTTCTTTGACCTAGTGAATTCACGATATTTTCGTTTAGTCTTCACCGCTATAAGCTTGTTAAAATCAAAACTAAATCCAATTCGAATCATACGAATAAAAACTATATACGTATACACACAAAACCATAAATTCGCATACATTTTTTCGTACTCTCAATTATGTAATAACAAATGCCGTGTGTAATAATAACATCTGTCATAATATAACTGGTATCATATTACGATTTGGCATTGTACGTTTACGAATATATTTTTACAATAAAAATGAAATAGTTTTCTTCGTTTCAGCTGCGGGCCTTTGACGGCGAGTCTATTTATTATATAAGTAGTTTTAAATTTATTTCGATAATTATAGTTAAAACGTTGTTGTTTCAACGAAATAATTTGGCAATTCATTTAAATATAATTAATTTTTATTCTTATAACTGAAATCCCAGCCAGTGACTCATAATATGCATCTGCCAACTCTCAGGCTTTACAATTTGGGGCATGATCTATAGATTTTGCCAAATGACTGGCTATATACTCCAGCGTTCTTATATGATATTTTATATCGAACCTATATGGAAGTGTCACATGGCGTACGATGAATAATAAAATTAAGTTCCTCTCAGTTCAACTCATTTGATTAGTGTAACAGAAACGTATCGGTTGTTTGTAACAAAACGTTTAGTTGCTTACGCGAGTTAGGATATTTATTTTTTTTTTACGAGTTCCTCCCCACTCGGTATTCATACGAGAGTAACCTATGTAGATTTTGGATTAATACCACAAACCATGGCCGTTATTTGATTTCCTTTGATATGGAAAGGTATGTGGACCCAAGGGCGTACATAAGGGGAGGATTTTCGGGTCCGGACCGCCCTCCCCATTGAAATGTCTACATACTCAACGATTTAATAGTAAATAGTATAATAATAGTATATGGCGTATTTTAATTTCTCATTATCGGATAAAATGAAAATGTTGGACCCCCCCCCCCATTCCCCATAAAAAATTCTTGGGTACGCTTCTGAGTAGACCACAACGTACGAACCCCGATTTCAGGGGAAATCAACACAAGAACACGTGGACGGACAATGCGGCCCGGGGAGTCGGTCGGAGCGATCAACCGTCGTCGGTTAACGTAACGGATTTCGAAGTGCGTTACTTACACCAGAACACGGCGACGTAATCCTTTTCGTTCAGCACCCGTTCCAGCTGCTTGGCCGTCACCTCCTCGATGATGGGCTCGGCGTTGCCTTTTGCGGGCCGGTAAGCGGCGGCCGGTTGCTCCGACCCGGTGCCCGGCAAGTCTTTCTTGGCGGTCACGTGCTGCTGCTGGACCGCGATCACGATCAACGCGAACGCGACGAGCAGGCCCCGCCGCGCGATCCCGACACGGGCCATAACGGGCGAGAAGTTGGCCGGGCGACGGCGCGCGCGCGGTTACCGATCGATTCGAACGGATCGAACGCGATACGATCGCAACGGAACACGAATACGAGTGCAGCGGCTGCGGCGGCGGACGACGAGAACTGTTGGTGCGGTGTGTACGCGGGGTTTTTTTTTTTTCACGTTAATTTTTTATTTTTTATAACTTTTTTTTTTCGGTTTTTCTTTTTTTTTTCTTTTTTTTTTTTTTTTTTTATTTCTTTTTTTTTTCGGTTTTTTTTTTTTTTTTCTTTTTTTTTTTTTGTTTATGAACCGTACGAATCAGTTTTTTTTCGTTTTATCGACGCATTTACTGTCGTCCGCCTTACGGGTGTTTTTTCGGAACGGAAGAAGACTGACCAGCAGCCGCATGACTAGCTAACGCGCGCACTGTGCCTGGGCAATGATCCGCTCGGTAACCGCCGCTACAATCACTCCTACACCCGCGCGAGCTTTGCGAACAAGCTCGAACAGTGTTGTACGGCCGCCAAGACGCGTTCAATTTTAATATCTTTAACGCATTCAGACTGGCCCAGAGCTACGTTTTGATTCGTCAACCGTGCAGTAGTAGTATCAAGCAGGTAGTGGTTAGCAGTGGTACTACGGTGCAGCGGTTCATTTATTATTAAGTTCGATTTCTCGCTAATGGTTTTTCGTCGATAAAACAGTATCGATAAACATATTGAAAACAACCGAAGGGAACACCTAAACACTCGTACGCGGTTTCAATCAATATTTTAATTTACCGTTTGGCTTTTTGTTCGTCCGGCAGTGCAATTCATTTCAAACCACACGATCCCAATCCGTTGGCTTTGGTTTCGATCGAAACTAGTATATTTTACGTTACGTGGGTTGAGTTACTAATATCCTCAATGGTTTTATCTTGTTGAATGGTTAATAATCACCCAATGATGTACTTTAAAGGGTTAAATGTATATCCCCTTCAAAAAATGTTTAACCTATTTTAGCATTAATGCATTTAGGTACTTATTACTTATTAGCATTTAGGTACTTAAAAGTCGAACATAATTGTTCTTTAAATGGGTAGTATTATAATTAATAGTTAACTGGATTAATTCACTTATTACTCGTATACTAGTCCATCACCCGCCACCCTAAAAATATGGTGTGGTCATCCGTCGGTTATCAAATCCGCACACTTACCGTTCATAACCGCACATTTTACATCGTTCAATACTGCACATATTTATTCTATTGTTAAAACGAGAAATTTGAAAAGTCGATAGTTCAAAACCGCACACATTTGGTTAACATTTCCTTTCTCTCTGCACACTTTGCATGTACAGTTTACGTTGCCGGTTTCATATGAGTCCCACACAAAATCTTTTTTTTATCGTGAGATCTTTTTTTTTCTTTTGAATCATGACCGGGGTGGGAACCGCTTTCGCATTACTTCCACCTTTATTCTGAGACCTACTTGGGGTGATGTTACATAGAAAATCGGAGGATATTTTCGTTTTTAACTGTCCAAGCGATCAAGTGACCCCGCTCGGTCTCGAGGTGCACTCATGTTATTTTAGATAAATGTATACGTAATTGATATATATATATATATATATTAGGGTGGTCCTTATTTTTTTTTCTTAAGAATATTGTTGCGGTGACCCCTTAATTTTATTCTATGTTCTGAAAAAATATTTGTGGTAAAGTTTTAGCGTGATAAATCAACTCCTTCACGTGCCCCAAAGAGACTAAAGTTATATGAAAATGTGTGAATTTTCAGTTTTTTGAATATTTTCACTTAATTTTTAAAGTTATACAAAAATTATTAGAATCTTTATTGTAGCAATTAATGTTTTCTAAAAAAAAGGTATCTTCGTATATTGCATTAAAGTAGGTGGTTTTTCGTAAAATCAAGAATAACCATTCAAAGTTAACCCGCCATGAGTCGCATCATTGTGTGTAAACTATGTGGTCGCACACGGTCTTTTTGACCGTTCTCTTATATCTCATATCTTTTTTTAACATTTTGCATACAAATGCATTTATTAATGATATACAAAAATTTTACTTTATTTATTTATTATATTTTACAATAAAAATTGGTATTATACTATTATACTAGAGATTTAAGTGAAAATAAATTAAAAATAATTTGATTGAAAGAATATGTTTGAATATAATACAGTTTTAATATTATAATAAAACTAAATGATATCACCTGGCAGAATCACTAAGCCCCAAACCAGACAATATCGTCAAGCTCTGCCAATTCCTCACAAATACACACCTCATCAACCTCCTGTAACCAACCTGCACCAATCTATTTGTTTATTTTATGTATTAAGTTAAGTTAAAAAAAAAAAAAAAAATTGTAACGTCCAATGGCCATAGAAGCCGCGGATATATTATATAATAATAAAAAAAAAAACTAAATGAAAATATTACATGCTTCGAAAAAATAAGTAAATTACTCACAATGACTTATTAGTAAAATAATAAACTCACGGTATTTTAGACCGTGATGTGACTCATAGCTGGTTAAATATGAGGAAGATTGTTCGATTTTTAGTTTTTTTTACTTTTATTCTTTTTAAATATTAAATTACATAAAAATAGTCAATCAACACAAATTATAGCATACAATATTTTATACAAAATAAGATATATATTTTTGTAACTTAACTCTCTAATCAAGGAAGTTTAAACCAAAATATTATACGTAGTAACATAATAGGCATTTTATGTTTATCAACTTCAGTATTTATATAAAACTAACTATCTCTGTAGAAAAATATAAACCATTTAAATTATACTCGTAGATGTTTTCCATTAAATTATGTTAAATATTTTATTGTGCTTAAATGATTTGACATAGGTTGGTTTTTCTATATAAATAATCTTATCGCGATAAAAGTTGTAAAGACATATGTATTGTGCAGTACATTGTACTTGCGTCTTATTACTATCGAAGTATCGATGTTATTACGTGTTGGTTTGCTGTTCAGTAAACATGTCGTCTTAAAAACGTATAATTATTTTTTGAGTTTAGTACTTTTAATCATTTTAATAAAGTATGTCACGAAAACCAATATTTCTAGTCGGTTCGATGAAAAATCAAATAACTGGTGGAAAATTGCCTTCTAAGAGAGATTGTTTGAGCGTACTTTTCTATAATATGCGAATAGTTAATTTGAATTTACATGAAAGTACATATCTTGTTATTGATGAATGTCTGATATTTTGGAGAAAAGCACATATACCCACTCAGTATCGTTCAAACTGCATCATAAAATGTAAGAAATTATACGAAGATTTATGCAGTTTAGAAAAACATAAGACTCGAACAAGTGAATTATACAAAAATAGGGAAACTACATTTAATGAGGATTTAAATGATCTGTTTGACATCGCTGCAGCTAATGCATTAAATATAATTAAAAATAAAAAAGACGCGGTATTTTTGATTTTTTTAATGGTGGGTTTTTCTTAATTTCACGAAAAACCACTTTACCATAATTCATCATAATACTTTTTTTTTAGAAAATATTGATTGCTATAATAAAGATTCTTATGCATTTTTTATAACTGTAAAAATAAAATAAGTATATTCAAAAAATTTAAAATTCACCCTTTTTTATTGAACTTAAACCCTTTTGGGGCACGGGAAGGGGTTGAAGTATCGCGCTCAAACTATACAGTAATTATATTTTTATACCAAAGAACAAAATTTAGGGGTCATCGTAACAAAATATTAGAAAAAAAAATTAACCTCCATAGCTAAGGACCACCCTAATATATATATATATATATAAATTTGTGCGGTGTTAAACGGTTTAATTTAGCGAAAATATGTAGGATTAAGATATAAAAGTGTGCAGTTTTGAACGACGACCTGTTTTTGAAAGTGTGTGGTTATGAACGACGCCCGTGAACAGACTTGAAAACCGATTTCGGTGCCACTGCTCAAGAGTAGCTGTTAAATAGTTGGCCAACTGTTTTGAATTCGAATGGCAAAAAGAACACCAACAATTAAATTTATAGTATTGCAGACATGTGATAATTTATTTTACATCTTATTGTAAATTTTAAAAATGAAAACGTGTGTTACATGATTGCGTGTTCATTTCTGTTTACAAGTTAAATAACAAATGTTCATTGATATTAATTTAAATGTATTTTTAGTAATTTTTTTTTTAGAAAAAATATGAAATTATTAAATTTCTGTACGTATGTTTGTATCTATGAAATTAATAGAGTACTTATGTATGGAATATTATTATCGATCAGTGTTGAGTCTAGCTGAATATTTTTATGTTGTTTAAAAACATCATTATTATTCAAAATATATGTAAAATATATTCCTATAAAATATTAAATAGAAGTAATATTCTTCATTGTAACATTTTATTATACAGTTTTAAAAATAGATAATATTTGTACTGTATTTATAGTTTAATATCAATAATGTGAATCTATTCTTTTAAATAAAATTAAACAACAATATACATACCTACGAAATTAGAATTCATGGTGGATAAACTATTTATAATAAAAACTAAAACAATTTGATTCATTACGTAGTTCAAACTAGAGGCACTCTAGTTTATACTAATTACCTATAAATTCACTTAATATTGATTAAATATAACTATGAATTATAAACACTAATGATCATTAGGTATTCTGTTTACCGCTGATATTTTGGTATTAAAAGGTCAGATTATTCTTGGATCTAAATATACTTACTCTTAAATATACACTTTTAAACATTCCCACGCTAGTTTCAATTGTATTTAAAATGTAAAACGTTTACTTAAACTGTTTTGTTAGTAACGACAGGGCTAGGGACTTCATGTTCTAAAAAACCTAAAAATATGTATACATTTAAAATTAAAAAAATTAAAATATATAGTGGGTTGTACATAATACATTGTAAAACCCTTTTTTATTTTTATATCTAGATTATACTTACAAAATTATAAATTGGTTTTTATAGTAAAAAAACTTATGACAAATAATTATCTTAGGTTCAGGAAATTTATTTAAAATTATATTTTGTTTTATTATATATTTATTAAATTTAAATAGGTATTTGCATAAAAAATGGTCAAATATGCACTTAGAAATGAAAAATTGCCAAATAGTCAAAATATGCAACTACAAATGTAAATATAAACTATGGCTATGAAACAAATTTTTATATGACTTGGCTATGTTTTGAATGATTGTTGAAATACATGCAAACTCCTAGAAATTCTTAGCCCTAGACTAATATTGAACTAAATCAATGCTGTATATTTTTATTTACACTTTTGCTTACACTTTCCACCCTTCCCCCCAACAAATTAAGCACTGAATCCGCCACTGAATTATATAATAATATTAATTAAGTCAACCACTCATAGAGTTAAGGATGTACACAATAAAACAGATATTATATTTTTATAATAATTATATACATAACACCATACACGTCTAGTCATTTGTCTCACAAATACACAATAATATCTGTAATGCTGTAATGTTTACATATTTTGTAATTATAATTATTAAACTTAATAAGACGTACTTTAGTTAAAGGTAAAATAATAATTACGAGTACATTTTTTCGACAGGAAATCGTGTTTTTTCTTGCAGTCAGTCGAATCATAAAAATTTGATTTTTAAATAATGTTTTGTACAGTTTGTGAAGGTGATTTTTCTTTTTTATCTCTATTTTAATCACGTATAAAAGTATACACGACAAAAACATGTTACTTGCAAATAATTATGAGTTCATATTTGATAAGAAATGACTGCGAATACTTGATAAAAATAATATATATTATTGGAAATGTACAATATGATATGGAACAATATTTCGGACAATATTTGAGCACGGTAAACATAAAAAAGACAATTGTTTTATTAGTAACAAAAAGAGCAGAGAACTTGTAGTCCTAAAAAAACTCTAAATATACAAGCACGTGTGCATTTAAAAACCCTATAATATTCTCTAAAGATAGGTATGCTCTTATATTTTTTTAAAGCGATTTATTTATAAAATATATAAATCATTTCAATATTGGGTAACACTGAATCGTTTTTCATATCCAACTTTAACATCACAATACTTACAGTATAGAACTTAACAATTTTTCGAAAACACATTGACACTAAATTCCGATAAATAACTTTTAAACCGATTTTAAAAAGATTGCTTATCTTTAGACATTTGAATGTTAAAATAGTACACATAGACGAAAAGTTGACACGAATTACGAATAGATACACATACACAGACTGTAAAACTAAAATTAAATAACTAGAATATTAAATTATTTATAAACACTGACAAGTCTGTGTAATGAAATGTTTAGTATCGTTTATGGAATCGTTAACATCCTATCAGAAAATATATGATGTAAGCTACGTGTTTACTGTTTATAAATAAAATGAATCTAATTACCGATCCTGGAGACGCAATATTAAGAAAAACGTGCGTTTACAAATCCTCAACAACCATATTATATAATGAAAATTTAAAATTATTTTTTATTAGACAATAATTTGGTCGAATATCAGATGAAATAAGAACGTCAGTAGAAAACTATTGATGAAGTGATAAATTTTGAAATATGAACATACATACAATGGAAGAACCATGGCCTTAAAACAAAAATCTCAAAATGTGCATTTTGAAAATAATAAAATAAAATTTCAAGACTAGCTTTGTGAAAACATGAAACATATTTGTTTTATATTCTGCTATTTTAATGATTGTGCAATATGAATATACAATGTTAAAAGTCCTCTGCCCTAGTATAACAATTAAAATAGTTTTTTTTTATGTATAAAACATATTTTATATCAACTCTGATTAAGATACATAATCTTATAGTAATGTACTTTCATTGAATGAAAATTAAAAATGAACAACAATTTACTAATAAAATCGTGCTCCAGATTAGTTGCCACAGGAAGTTAAATTTTTATTTATTACAGAAAAATAATTGATATTTTTACATCAATCATCAGATATGACAATAGTTTGATTATAAAAATAAATCTTTTTATTTTTATTTTTTTTTTTTTGAATCATTGTACTCATATCTAAATATTTGAAAATTAAATCATAAATAAAACTCTCGAAGTAAGGTTGAAGTACACTTTACAATTTAAAAAAAATACAGAGTATTAAATTCAATATGAATTATAAAATAATCATGAGATATCAGTAAAATATTTAACTAATTTAATATTTATAAAATAAATAATGATAAAACAGTACGATGTCTTAGAAAATCAAGCAACATTGGTTTTAATAAATTATAAATGTTAAAACGAAAGTCTTCACAAAGAGATATACTGATTAAAATTAGTAATTATTAAATCAACAATACAAGTACAAGAAGACTTAGTTTTTTTTAATTCATCCATTTTATTTTTATTTTAATTTCTTAATGGTTTAATAAATATTATTTACTATTTTATTACACATTTTGATGTTTTTGAATTTTTTTAAGCATATAATGAAGTTTTATTGAGAATATTTTAAACCTTTATAAAACATATAATATGATGATTTGGAGCATAAACATCCGCTTTTTAGTAATTACTCATACACCAGACATTATAAGATACCTATTCAATAGTTGGTAACGTAATATTGAATACACATTACGTATAATAGAAGCCTAACATAATTGTATGATATCATCATATCTTTAACAAATTGTTTTATTCGTATTTATAGAACTATTCAGTACTTGCTAATATTATAATATTATAATAATAATATAATTCGCTTAATATAATTTAATAATGACAATTTTAAATTTTGAACAAATTTCATATTCGATTAGGTGATTTGAAGTTAAATGTATTTATTTTTTATGTTTTGTTTTTTAATTGCGCAATCTGTTAAAATATATTTTTAAAAGTGTAAAAATACAAGAGATAATTTATAAACAAGTAAATAATACGAAGTATAAATAAATTAAATTATAAGTAATCAAACGTATATTTAAACTTATAAATCATGAGTAAAAGTAATCAAATCTATTCAAATCAAAGATATATGGTTATTACATTTTAAGTCAGAAGATACATCTAAACTTCGCATAGTAGTTTAATCTCAAGCGAAAACCCATCAACCGTAAAGGAAACACAGTTTTATTATTTTTTTGATGAGAGAAAAAAAATATATTTGCATTTTTCGGAATTGAGAAACTATTTTTGAGGTACCATTCCAAAAGTTTAAGATCATGTTGAAGCAAAAAAGGGTCATCCATAAGATTTATTGGTAAATAAATTTTTAAATCTTCAGCGAATAATAGATATTTACATGAATTAAATATTAGACCAACATCGTTAATAAATATTATAAATAAAAAAAGAGATAAATGGTCACCCTAGGATACACCAGAAATAGCCACCTTACTATTTGACAAAACCTATCGATCATGACTCTAAAAGATCTATTTAATAAGTAAGAGGTGGACAATAATAATGAAGGATCATTAATACCGTGTTTTTTAAATGTATCATCAAAATACCATGGTCTACTGAATTAACGGCCTTTTTAAGATCTAAATAAATAAAATCTACCCGACTAACTTATTTTATAACATCAGTTAAATGAGAGTAAAAGATAATTGAATTATTTTCTGTGAATCTTAATTTTTAGGAGCCATGTTAAATGTTTACATTTAACTAACCTTAATTTTTGTTATTATTAATATTAATATTTCCTTTTTTTTTTAAATGTTAGCAAACATATTTTCAGAATCAATAGTTATTCTGTTCATAATTTACAATTTTTTAAATTTAAAATTATATGAATTATACGAACGAGTGTTAATTTATGTATATTGTTTCTTCATTTTAATACCTGAAATATCGTAGCATGAAAAATGTATTTTCTTTACAAATAATTACTAGTTTTTGTCAAACTATCTAAATCGTACATTTATGGTTTCTTCGGTATATTGGTATTTTGATATGGTTTTCATAGTTATATAATCACTCCCTCCTCTGAAGTACCTATATATACATATATATTTTAATATACACAGAAAGTGCATGAAAAATATAATCATTTCATTTCAGATATTGAATAGAAATAGGTCTTGAGATGACGTCTCAATCAAAAGTCAAAATTGCTATAATTGGCGCCGGACCGGTAAATATATAATACATTATTGAATTAAATTTACGTACTGCGTAACTTAAATTAAATTGGGAGTTCATAAGAGTTGTTTTTTAGGTCGGATCGTTGTGTGCTTGTTTTATGGCTGAATATGGTTATGACGTTACCATCTTTGAAAGTCGAACAGGTAAACTATACTTATCTTACAAAATATTAATCTACAATACTAATAATATATAAAAACTGACAACATAATTATTAAATGTAAATAAGTTTATAGTTTTAAAGTTTTATACTATTAAAAGTATTGATCTAGTTATAAATGTAATTTTTAAGACAATTTAGTCTATAAATAATTTAAGGTATATATAACATGTATAGTGGTTATAATTTATTGAATATTATAAATACCTGGTTAGGTTACATCCTTATTATAATTTACTATTGATCTTACAAGACTTGTAAAATAACACTTAGTGTTATCAAACATTTTGTCTGCGGTTCGGAAATTTTGTTTATTTATAAAGTAAAATAACCAACACTATAATTACAAAATGGCAATTTGACCTAAGCTATTGCAAATATTTTTAATCAAAATAACTAAAATTGTAACATTAATTTCCGTGTACCTTAAGTTTTTTTGGAAAGACCAAAGAATCGGTTGATAAATATATGAATTTACACTAGGTAATCTAGAAAATAAATAAATATAATAAATATAGAAATATAATCTAAAAAATGTGTTAAATTACATTATATACATATGTATTTAACATTTAAAAAATTCATAGTACTGTTTTTATTTATTTATTTATTATTTGTTATGCTAATTGATTATAGCTATTGCTAATTTTTATTAGAACATTACATTATTTACGAAAAAAATTAAGAAATAATTGGTATCTTCTTAGATTATAATTGTCAATGTGAACTATTAATATATGTTTTTTATAAAATACTACACATTTGTTCATAATATTTTTGAAAAAATATGTCTTATACATAATGAATAATATAAGAGATTATTGATTTCAAACTACTTGAAAAAATCCATCCATTGATATATTTATAAATCTTTGATTTTTTGATAAATATATTTAAAAGTTCTATAAACTTACTTTTTAAATACCATAATTAAATTAAATGTTTGATTATAATATCAAAATATATTTTATAAATTAAAATACATTCGTAAAATTAACAAGTAATTTTTTCTGTAAATTAAATTGTTTCGATAAAGTATCTCTCGATGAAAGAAAATATGTTTATGTTTTATTATTTTTTATAATTTATGAAATAACACTATTACAGACATTAGACTCATGCAAACCACAACTGGACGGTCCATAAATTTAGCATTGTCGGAAAGAGGCATAAAGGCTTTACAATTTGTCGGTCTCGATAATATTTTAATTGAAGAGCTCACGGAACCTATGCACGGCAGAATGATCCATTCTACTGATGGTCATAACTACAGCATTCCATATGATATTTTCAAAAAGAAGGTTACATTTTTTTAATATTATAATTGTTATTAAATGAAAAACCATACACATTATATATTTTATATTATACACAACGGTATAAGTAAATAAAATACTATGATTGCAATCATTTAAACATAGTGTGAATAACTTATTGTTTTTTAGTGTTTATATTCTATCAGCAGAAAGGAGCTGAATGGGGTTCTATTAACAAGTAAAATGTTGTCTTATTTGATAATAATTATTGCTAATAATAATGGATAAATAACAAAAATTTGTTTGTAGAGCTCGAAAAATATCCAAACGTGAAGTTAAACTTTTCTTACAAGCTCGTTGATATTGATTTTAGTTCAAAAAAATTAACATTTCAAACGTAAATATAAAACAATTTAACATCGAGTTATTAATTTGAATAACTGAATATATATTTTAGAGTGGAAAATCAACAAGTAATCATCTTACCTGATATCGTTTTTGGATGCGACGGAGCTCATTCCATTGTTCGACAACATATGATTCGTCTGCCTATGTTTAATTATTCCCAGTCGTACATAAATCACGGTTATTTTGAAATTAATTTACCAAACACAAAAGAAGTAAAGAACCTCAAATTTAAAAATTTCTAAATTACATTTCATAATGTAATCACCATTATTATAATATCATCAATGCCTTTTAGAATGTTTTAACTCCTGGACATCTTCATATTTGGCCAAGAGGTACATTCATGTTGATAGCATTACCAAATAAAGATAGCTTTTGGACTTGCACTTTATTCATGCCAATGGATAAGTTTCCATTGATATTAGAATCTGGAAAAGAAGAGATTTTAAGTTTTTTCAATAAACACTTTAAGGACTTTGTGAATTTGATTGACCCAGAAAATTTAATTCGCCAAGTGATAAGTGGAAAAGCACGAACTCTTATTTCTATTAAAGTATATCCATAAATATAATATACATATATATCCTTTAAGTCAAACTTTTAAAAGTTTAATTTTTTAAGTAATATATTAAATTTAATAGTGTAACCCGTACCACGTTAATGATAGCTTTTTGTTGATGGGAGATGCAGCGCACGCTATCGTACCTTTTTATGGACAAGGAATGAATGCCGTAAGTATAAAAAACCTAAAAAATATATATGCTGAAAAGTTATATATGTGAGAGTGATGTGCTAGTTATCTAGTCAAAATTATAATTACATTATTCATGTGACGCGATGAATACATGATGTAATAAATTATTTACAAAACATTTTCTTATAAGAATTTTTCATAATAATTCTTATTATATATTTATTTATTTATCATTCATAATAAAATTTAATACCGTAACATATTTAAAAAACATCATTATTGATCTAGTTAAATATAGTATACATTTGAACAGAAAATAATAGAGGTTTTTTTTTTTTTTTTTTTTTATTATAAATCCGTGGATTTGTTTGTTATAGCCCTCCATGCTTCTCTATCATAAGACAATTCCTTCAGGTCTTTGTAATTTCATTTATTCATATCCTGCATTATCTGTATCATGTATTCTGCCATTGGTTTTCCTCTTGCAATGTGTCTTTCAACATTTATTGAGTTTATTATCCAAGTTTCGGATCCAAAGAGCGCTACACTCCATATATAACTTTTTAGGAATTTCTTCCTTATTTCCAGGCTAACGCTATTGGTAGTTAGTATGTGGCTTTTGTCTTGAAAAGGACTTTTCGCTTGTGCTATCCTGCATCTTATATTGGTTTTGCTGCGGCCATCCTCTGTTATAATGCTTCCTAGGTATGTAAATTGGTGTACTTGGCTTATTTTTTCATTGTCAATGTTTATGTTGAGTTGGATCGGATTAGATTTACTGCATATTATAACTTTCGTTTTCTTTTTGTTGAGTTGAATTCCATACTTATTTTTTAATATTCTATTTATTGCTATTATGGTATTTTGTAAGTCATCTTAATTTCCTGCACAGAAAGCTATATCGTCCGCAAATCTTAAGGCATTGACTATTGTTCATTTAGTAGTGCTTATCAAATATTTATTACATTTATTTATATTTCTTAGGGTTTTGAAGACTGTACTATATTGAATCAACTTCTCAATGAATATGACCATGATTTAAAAACTGTTCTGAGAATGTTTTCATTAAGAAGAATTGAAGATGCAGAAGCAATCAGTGATTTAGCTCTTTACAACTATATCGAAGTAATAATATTTTTGTATTTTATCATCTAATATATTTAAATTTTCATGAGAAATCATAAATTAATTTTTGTTTAAAAAGATTTGGATACATTTTAAGATCGATATTTAAGTACCGGATAGAAATATTTTTATTTAAAAAAAAAATAATAAGTTTAGTATTTTTATATATTTTTATTTTTAGAATGTCAAGGCAATAAAGTTTTAAATTGCTACAATGTCATAAAATCCAAAAATACACTACTGCAAATGCGTGAATTGTTAAATATATTGAGTTTTCTATTAAATAAAATAACTACAAATTTTAATCAATAGAGCTACACTATAAATAGTGTAATTACTATATGTATATAAACTGCATTTGTAAATAATTAATTATATATGTGTAATTAATTGGCACGATATTAGAAATTTTAAAATATTAATGAATAATTAATACTATCAGAATAAATGTAATATAATAGATTATGCTTATATTCGCAAGCAAATTTTGATGGGCTAAATCAAGCTTAAATATTTCTTTAATGTCTGTAGTTTTTGCTTTTTCTATTACTCGTTAAATTGATACCACATTTTTTGGTATTTCTATAGAACCTATAATAAATAAATTTATAAATTAAATATTTAATATAGAAGTACAATTGTATCACAAATAATACCCCTATTTTTAATTTTGCAGATTAATTTAAGTATTATCCATTTAATAACCCAAGACCAGCTTATAAAATCCAATTTGAATTTTAAAAATAATGAGTTATACATTTTAAAATTTAGATATATATATGAAACAATTTTTCAAAGTCTTCTCTCAATTAATAGTTGAATTGAATAACTTTAAAATTAGAATAGTATTATTTAATCAAGCAATCCTAAAAAAATACTAATAGAACTCTGATTATATCAGTTTTTATATTAAAAATGTGGTTATATTGTATACGTTTCCCAAAAATACAGTAAGTTAAAAGAAACATATTGTTTCGAATTTAAATTATACCAGTGGATGTCCAAACTTTTTTCCTTGGCGGGGCCACTTTAGTAAACAATTATCTTAGAGTGGGTCACCAAATATTTAAGTACGAATAATATAAATATTAATCTTATAATATTATTTTATTACACATAGAAGGTATACAATATACATGTAGTTAAATATTGAATATGTTTTCAAATATTTAATTTATTACTGTAAAGAGTACAGATCAAGGGTGCCCATATGGGGGGGGGCAAGGGAGGGACATGCCCCCCTGGAAAATGTCAAAAATCTTTGAAAATTGTTTACTATGATCAGAATATATTTATTTAAATGGAATTTAAAAATTTAATTTAATATATGAAAATCTATAATTTATTTATAAAAAATCTATTTATTTAGTTTAAAAAATCAGGTTATCAGCTATAAATAACTATACGCTTTCTCGTTTCTATTCTATGAATAATTATCAATTCTTAAAATATTGTGCATTTCCAGAAATGCGGTATGTATATGTGTGTGTGTGTACACCACCATAATACTTATATAATATTTGTAAATTAATATTTTAATAAATATAACTAATGTTTTAAGTGTCAAATTTATATTATTAATTAAATAAAAATTTGAATAAATTACTTTTATGGTAAATTGGTTAAATAATTATTATTTTATAGTCTTCCAGTTTGATATATATATAATGTAATAGTATAATGTAAAATTGTAAATCCGTTCCTATATCGTGGGTCATTCCTATTTATGAATAGATTGATAAATTTTTATTGTGCACGAGTTATATCGTAAAATTTCTATTGAAAAATGCTTGAAAATAAAATGAATACGTTTTTAAAAAAATCGTATTTTATAGTTATTTTACTTTTTTTTTTAATAATTTGTTTCATTCAAAAAACATTTTAGTAGGCTAAATGTGGTCAGTGGGCCACGGTTTGGGCACCACTGAATAATAATGTCATAATTTACATTTATATTGGATTTTCTATACTTGTAAATAAACATTTCGTAATGCCTATAAAAAGAAAGATCCTAATTAAAATAATAATGATTAATGCTTATGAGTAAGGCTCGGAAGTTGATGTATTTTGCATTTTTTTTCGAACTTTTTAGAAGATAGCTATTCTGGCCACAAATGTGTTTCATTAGCATGTAAATCCAAATAACTAATTTTTATTTTGCATTTTCTTGCATTTTTTGATGTTTGTTACTTTTTAAGTCATTTTTTGACATTTTTAGGTGATTTTTCCACATTTTTAGTCATTTTTTTCTGATTTCACACTAGTTCATTTCTTATTGTTTCTTATCGACCATTATGCCGATAACTTAAGACTTGTCCGATATTATCTCGTCGATTACAGTGGTCGCTCCATTGTCATGTTATAGTGAATAATACTTATACTAAATTTTATTATTTTTTCGTAATATTTTCGAAATGGCAAAAATTGAAACGTCGGTTAGTGCTCATCTGCATCTCCCAATCACTTCAGTGGAGAGAAATTTTTCCAAATATAAATATTTATAAACAGATAACCTTCATTGATTAACTTTTGATAACATAAAATACGCTCTAATCACACAATACAATGATTTTGATTTTTGGGTAATTTGTAAGCTTTAATAAATTTTTATAGAATGTTATAGTAAAATAGAATAAAATATTTAAAAAAAATGTATTTTCATTAATTTATAACAAATATTTGTAATTATTTAGGTCATTTTTTAAGGACATTTTTTGTCATTTTTATGTCATATTTGCATCTTTTTTGGTCATTTTTTAATGTTTTTAAGGTCATCAACTTCCGAGCACTAATTATGAGTTATACTATTATAATATTTCGGCAGAATATTTAGATGAGTTAATTAAACTATCAAGAAAAAAAAAGTATACTTACTGTACTTTTAACATTATTTTTAATCAATTATTCTAATACTAACTTCTTCATTTTTAATTAATAGATGCGAGATTTAGTTACTCGAAAAAGTTTTTTGTGGCGGAAAAAAATTGATAAAATATTATATAAATGGTTTCCTCAAAAATGGATTCCACTTCATAGTTTAGTTTCTTTTACAACAATCGGATACAAACAATGTAAGCTAATAAATCAATGGCAAGATCAAGTAAGCAAATATAATATACAATTTATTACTAAGAAGTATTATGAATCAACTTAAAATAGATTAAATCAGATTTTATTAATCTACATAAATTATTTAATATTATAAATACATTTACATGTACCTATAACAACTCTTGAATTTGGGATTTTTTGAATAATATTTTACTATTTTTGTTTTGCAGGTCATATTTAGAATGTTAATTTTATTTTCATTGTTCATCGGAATCACGCTATTTATTGTTCTTACTTCAATAATATTAAAATGATTGCAATAATAATCATTGTACACGAGTACAATAAAAACCATTTCAAACTGTAAAAGATTTATTAATAAATGTTTTATAAGTGCTCTCTATAAAAAAAAAAAAAATAAATAAATAAAAATATTAATACTTAAAATTGCAACTATTTAATAATGGGAATTGTATTATACATGTAAATTTACTATAAATTTTACAATAATTAAGTATGATATTCTTCTACACACTCTTATTTATAGATTATTCCATACGTGTAAACCCAGATTTAAAGTAGTATTGCAACTCGCCAGATGTCAAATCCTTAAAAAACCACCGCTTTTCCTTTTACCAATTTCACGAAGATAAGTTCCCTTTAATGACGTTTCTTATTTAGGGTATAGGTAAAAGTTGCAACTATGCAAATATGAAAAATGCTTGATTACTGAAATACATTTTTTAGGTAAAGACTGCTTAACAGACACATTAGACTTCCTAATTTGGTCCTAGCAGAACCTGAGTATAATATTTTTTATTAACTGCTTGACTTTGAAGAACTCATTCATTAATTAAATATTAATAAAAATAAAATTATTTACTTAATTTACAATCAAAATACAAAAGCCAAAGAGAAAAAAATATAAAATATACATAATACAGAATTACAAATAGACAGTTGATATAAAACAAACCCGATTAAAAATTAGCATAAATAACAGACCTCATTTACTTAAATATTTTTAAGTAAGTTAACCTAATGTATTGATCAATATTTGTATATAAATTGCATGTACTTTATTTCTAATATTTATTAACAAAAAAAATTATTTTAAATTGTATTACAAAACATTTATGTAATCATTATATATTTTTTTTATTTAGATATATTAAATATTTTAATGCATTTCTATTGGTTTTTTTGCTGTTTATTTATTTAATTTTTTCATTTTAACTATTTTTTTTTTATCATACATGTTATTTAAGATTAACAATTACGATTATGTTAATAATTACAAACTGTACTCAGAATCAGATTTTGATTGCAATGTTTTATTTTTTAAATTTAAAAATACGATTAACAAATTTTCACACATTTTATATTTTTCCAGTAAGAGTTTCTTTCATGTCACATATGAATTTCCAAAATTCAATTTTGTACTTGGTCATTTAAGACTTTTAATATAATTATGAATTTATTATTAAACATAATAACAATCATTAATATAGTTTTTTAAAAATGAAGCTTTCAATTTATCAATTTTGTATTAATTAAATTGTTCTCATTCGGTTTTTATAAATATTTATTTTATAATAAAACGTTCTACTATGATAATAATTGTATAATGTGAATTTGGAAACTCATACCTTAATGCGATTGTTAGGAACTATTTGCAAATATTCTAAGCTTATTATTTGGGTTGAAATTATATCTCATATGGTACAATTATTTTTACTTACTGAATGGTTTTTATGAAATCTATGAATTAATAATATTATTCACTCGAATAAGCCCACAATAAAATATAGAATAATTTACAATAAAACAATAAAAATTAAACTGTAATTATCGTATACATTTATATAGATATATAGATAAATATAAATACAAATTTTATTTACTATAATTAAAATTTTTTTTAACACTCACTCACCTATACAATTATATAAAATCGGTAAATTAAATACAAATAAATATTAAAAGGAATTGACGTATTTTTATAACTCAACAGGTTAAAATTTTAAAGATTAACGTTGTATTATGAATAATTTTTAGTGAGTACAAATTTAAGTTTAGGAAAATTGTACTGACACATTGTATTATATTTAATCTAATATTAACTCCATTTCGTTTGGATGCAATGAGTACTTAGTCTTATGTTCTTCGAATAATTTGGTTAATTCTTCGATAAAGATTTGGTGATATTTCTCGATAATTTCTTCTTCTGGATTTTCAATCTTTGGTAAATCGATTGGTTTGCCCACTAAAAATTATATTTATTGATTAGTTTTGATATTATACTAAGTCATTTTATAAACCATATGAATAAATATAATTCATTTTGTAATTATAAAAAATAACAATTATATTGGTTATGGGATATAGTAAAGTGAAATATGAACATTTAAATTGGCAATCAAACATGATAAGATGCAAATTTATTATAAAATATTTATTTTAATTTAATTTAGTTAGTAATCATGCTGATAAACATATATAAATAAGTATAGAAAAATTGTACTCTAATTAATATAATACGTTTCTTATATGATAAATATAAAAATATATTTACAAACATATATCCCCGCAGGGGTACATTAAATATATTAACGAGTTTAACCCGTGGACCCATCCAATTAATCATATCAATCACAGAGGGAATTTTTAAAAGCAGACGGAAAAGCTGGTCTGGCCACGTATGAAGAGCAAAGGGAGTACCAGTGTATGAGATTACAATTTGGAAAATAGACAAAAAATGATCAAGAGGACGATCAAGTTGATGACCGAGTTAGAGAAGATCTCAAGCTCCTGTGAATTAGTGATAGAAAAAAATTTGCTAAAAAAAGGGAGGTATAGAGAGGTGCAGTAGATGTGGCGATGGACTACAAGGCTTGAAATAAAAAAAAGAAAAACGTATATCAACAATTAAACTTGTTTTATTATCCTTAATAATTTTCTTCCTTCGTTCATAGTAAAAATGTATGTATTTTCATTCATTCAGAATAGATTAAAAGCAAAATAGGGTGGGACTCTTAGATCAGGTGATTTACAGGGATATCACCTATTCTATTGTATTGCTGTATGGATCTTTTAAATTTAAAAATAATGTACCATTGTTCCCTAAAAAATAATTATAAGTGAAATTGATCGGTTGGATCAGTTTATTTTTTTGAAGAAGATATAGTAAATTAACCATATTTTTAATAAAATAGTTTGAACTGCTAAAATTCTAACTTTGGTAACAATAAGAAAATTTCAAGTAAAACTTGAACACACAGCACAAACTTCATCAAAATGATCTAAAACCATGAAATTTTTTTAACAAAATAATAAATTTCGTTTAAGTATCCGATTTTGTCAACATTTATTTTGGAAAAAGATTTATTGATAGAAGATACAATTTAAAAATGAATAACAATGGGTTTTGGAAAAACCTTTTACATTTTATCTTATTAATCGACTTACAATTAAGTTATTTCTTAAAGGTAAGAGAAAATATAGACTGTAATTAATAATAGATAATAAATAATATTCTATTTCGAAGGTTATAAAACTTAAAACAATTTTAACTATGACTAAACAGTATGCCTTCTGTACCGTTTAAAGATACGTTCAGCATCATAAAACTGCAGCATGCATTTAAATACATCTATAATTAATTTTGTAATGCATATAGATGATTCAAGTAGGTAAGTAGTAAAACGAATTTCTATAAATTTTTAGTGATTATTTTATTGGTTGGTCAGCTAAAATTGTCAGCAGAATGACTTGTTATTTTTATTAAGCCTTAAAACAAATGAGTACAAGAAAAAATATCTATAATATTATGGGTAATTTTTCGAAATACTCATAGTATATTTTTATTGGAATATAAATCATTGAGTCTGAATTAATTGATCTAAATTAGTATTAAGAATATCTAGTTCTTAATATGCTTAAGATTAAAACGATTATAATAAATAATTTAAATAAATCAAAAATCTCAAGTATGTTTTAAAATAAATTTTTATCCAAGTGTTATTGAAGTATAACATTTAAAGTAATATTTTTCGGTATCTAACAGGCCTTTTTAGACAACAGATTTTAATAAATACTTGGTGAAAAATTTTTAGAAACCCTCAAGTTGTTTTAAAGGAAATTGTCATGCATTATTATAACATCGAGCATCAATTTAAGAGTAAATTAATTCCAACAACATGCCTGATATCTTTAATATTTATATATTTTTTAAAAATGAAAGTTATCCAAAATGTATAGAAATTAAAAAAATAAAACAAATTTTAAAATATTTTAAAATAGACGCTTACCAACAGTAACGATTGGATGCCTGCGGGGTACGAGACCGAAACTGTATTGGAAGAATCCACGTCCTATTGGTACTTTATTGCCACTCTTCCATTTAATGAATTTTAATAACTTTTCCCAAATAGAATTAGGTTCTGCTTCGCTTAAGCCATACACATTTGTCTCACCAAAAGAAAACACGGGTACCAATGATGCACTAAATATCGAATACGTATTATATTATAAATGTATTACAATCGAAATGTTATGTGACAATAAAAAACACCAATTTTTTACCCAGCTTTTATTGCTACCCGGATAAAACCTTTCCTTTTTTTTAGAATCAGATGATATGGTCCTGGAAAGGATTTAAACGCCTCGGAAACACCGCCTACCATAAGAACCGCCACGTTACCTTTCGTGTTATCCAATAAGTTCATCAAACTTTTTTCTGATGCTTCTCGAAGACCTACAAAAAATAATTGTGCCTATTATAATATGATCATGACTATGTCATATTATGTGTATAATTTATAACGTACACTAATATAACTAATATACGTTAATAAATACGTCAATATTATAATTATATATGTATATATTCGTAAATGATATCGGAAAAATCAAATGTTGATGAAAAAAAAAAGAAAAAGTTTTGTCGTCTGATTGTAATTATTTTCTTATGCCATAGAAAGGAAGAAAGTGCTTTGCCTAACTTCAATAATTATTGAATTCTAAATACACAAGTTGTCTTAAAATAATATTTGTTTATTTTGATGATTGTATTTTTTATATTATTTTATAATATCATATAAATATGTACGCTAATATACTCACATAAACCAATACCGATCTCACGGCTAAATGGCATGCTAAAATGTAAACTTAAAGTGGTGAGAAATGATGTGAGGCCAGGAAATAGTTCAGAAAATTGTCCTGCGTCCGTTGCGAAGTTTGAAAACGAGCCGGCACATAATACTCCATGCGGATACGTAGCAAACAAATATGATTTATCTGCTGGCAAATCGTGAGTCTTGACTAGTGTTACTGGAAAATAATTCTTAAAGTTTTTCCACCATGACCACCTTCTCACAAAACGATATCTGCAAAGATAATAGAATACATAATTTACATAATTATAGCCATAATAGGACAAATTATTATTTCTATTTAAATAAGTGAAAAAAATATGAGAATATTATAGGTACTGTAAGGAATATGCTAGTATTCTCTTAAAACATTTTTGAGTAATAAAATTATTCAACAAATTATTTGTAAAAAACAAAATTATTTCAAGTTAAATACAAAAGATGTTTCTGAGTGATAATTTTTTTATGTAAATTTACATGAAAATATTGACGATCTACTGTTAAAATTTGAAAAAACTTTAAATATTATTAATTATAATTTGCTGCACATTTGTCTTGGACAATAAAAGGTAATTAGTTTTATTTAAGTCTAAATAACAAGTATTCTGAGTATAATAATTTATATAATTATAAGTTATACGTATTTAGTATATATATATATATATATATAAAAATAAATCTTCTCAATTTTATTTTACAGTTTTTTTTTCTGAGCTAATATTAGAGATGAACCTGGGAAAAGTTTATACTAGGAGTTTATACATAATTTGTAATTCATATACGATCACATGATCAGACATATATCATATATTGTATGTTATATACATTTTTTTTTATGTAGAGTAAAGCCCTCGAGACCTGAATTGCTTAGATATAGGAGTATTTAAGCATATGTAATATACTTTAATAATAATCTAAATTTAATTTAAACCAATAATATTGTCAGCATTTTTATTTTTCATTTCTTACATTAGTATATAGGATGATCAAAATTATATTTACAATAATTTTCTCATAAAAATAAAATATAATATCGGAAATTCAAGTATTCGAAATGTTATGAAATCGAAAAATATAAAAAATACTTAATAAAATAATTATTATAATTATTAGTATAGATAATAGTGTAAGTCTCAGTACAATTATTATAATATAATAAACAATAAGTAAGTACTGAAAATTGTAATTTTTAGCTATTCCGTCTATTTACCTACTACCTATAATAAATCATACCTTGATCAGCTAAGAGTCTTTGTTGCATTAGTTTTAAGCGTATATTATAGGATTGTACTTGAGTTTTCAATTTTTTTATTACCACATCTATAAAGTGAAATCTCAATTTCTACTTCTGTTTCATTTTGAATAGACTTTAATGTTTTGATTTATTTATGCAGTATTACTATAATATGCCTACTACGATAAGTCTGCGTACAGGCTACAATTATAAAAATGGAAAAATTAATTGAAAATCTTATGATTATATTTTCTTTGACCAAAAAATCCATTCGGCCACAAAACATTTCGACTATTTGTTTTTCGACTGTAAAACGATTCGATCACATGATATTTCGATCATATTTTATCGATCAATAAGTCTTCGACCAAATAACTCGCACCGGTCAAATTTTGGGAGCAGGTCATGTCTTCGAATGTCATGTTTTCGAAGGTCATATTTTCGAATTACGAGCGTTAGAAAAGTTATTTGTTCAAATCAGTGGCGGACATTCAATCTTGCTCTGGGGGGGGGGGGGGTTAACAAAAATAATCGTTATCTTTTTTTATTCGTTGCACAGATTTTATTTATTTATTCGTATGGCAAGATAAATAAGATAAATAACTGTTATAAATATATATTATTTTATACAACTTTTTTACCAATTTACAGTTTACTTTTATATTACAGTAAATTAATAGCTATTGGAATATAAAAACAGCATAGTTAACAAAACTTTTCAAACACCTATCAATATAATTATTTAATTATCATAATATTTGTATAGTTGTATATTTTAAGTTCAAAGCGTAATAATGAAACTACGAATATATTACACGTCATCAATAATAAAACAATTTTTTTTTTTTTTGGACCTGTAGGAGGTTTGAGCCCGGAACGCCACTATGTACGCCACTGGTTCGAATAGTAATGTAATCGAAAAATTATTTGTTTGGATAGATATGTGTTCGAAAAGTCGTATGTACGAAATAATATATTGAACGTCATTATTTTATGGTATGCAACATTTTAATCTTAAATTATTTTTTTAAGAAAATTTTGGTGGTCAACTTTTATAAATTAAATAAAAATTCATTCTTAAACAAAAAAAAAAAAAAAATATGAAAACTATACTTTTATATAGTGTGTTAATATTTTATTTATGTTATATTCGGGCTAACTATCAAATGTCATTCTGCTCCATGTGTAATACTTCGTTCTTATTAAAATGAACTGCCGTTCAAAATATAAATTTATATAGCAATCTAATTATTTGATTAAATACAATAATTTAATAATAATTATTAAAGGCTGCTTGTAGCAAGTGACATACTATAAGAACTACTGTACACGATTACACTAGTCTACTTGATCAGGTCGATATATTACTTACTTATCTAAGGTTTCCCATGGCTCGTATAACATAGCCTAATCCACAATAAACCCATCTTTTTCGAATCACGTGTTATTGAGTGACGTATTCAAATCTTAAAACCATAGATTTCACCATAACACAGGCCCTGATAACTAACGTTACAATACTTTATTCACATTATCTGTATGCGCACAGATATTGGTTATTCTTGTATGGATCTCATGTCATTTTATAATTTAAGTATATATAACTCAAACGGTCCCATTATTGATTTTACTAGATTTATTGAGCCTCATAGTTTTCTACATTAACGGCACTGTAAGGTATAAATTCTAATTTGAAAATTGTATTTGTTAAATTTTGTTCGCCTCAAATACCTACTATAATACGAGTATAACTGATTTCTACTTATTTTTGAAATATACGAAAAATATTATAATTTTTTGATGTATTATATAGTAAATTTTTATAGTTAAATTCATTAAGTGTAGATGTTCGTTGTATCTATTCATCTTTCTATATTTTATCCAATTTGATTTGAATGTTCATAAATAATTTTGTTCAACGATATTTTTATATATTATATGTTATTTTGCTAAAATTGCATTAATTAAATCTTTTACGCACAAATCGTATACTTTTATTTTATAGATCAGGTAATTAGTTTTTATCAAATTTTCTTTTGCCATGTTTACCTGTTTATCGTCTATAAATATTGATTTGAACTTATTGAATTTGATTACGTAACATAATTATCAGTTATATTTTCATACTCTTCAATTATATATAAAAACCAAGAAATTATTATTGCCACATTATATATATATATATATAGTGTTTTTCCTTTCCGGATTTTAATTTGAATTCACAATAGCTTTATATTAATTTATTGAATATGATTTGACAGTACTACGTGTGATAATAATAACACAGAAATAATACAAGACTCGTCAGAATAAAAATTCATATAAAAACGATTAATTCAAAGTTATATAGAAAACCTTTTGTTTAATTTATACTACTCAATTGTAGACTTATTTTTAGTTAATTTTCCATTTCATTAAATTTATTCCATACTCTAATTTTTCAATTTTAATTTTAAATGCTGTTCACATTTTAATCTTCATAGAATTTAAAAAATATATAAAGAATACACACGTTAAAATTTAAATTCATCAAAGTAAATTTACAGATTATTATCATATGATAGATCAGATTTTTAATTTAAATTGCGGAATATAATTTATACATATGGATGTATCAGTATGTCAATCTGTTGTATAATATTTAAGAAAAAGGAAAATATATAATAACTTAAATTTAATAAAATTGTATTAACAATTATTAAATGAAACGTTTAAATTATATTGTAAAGTTAGAATTTTCAAGTAAAAAACAATTTTTTAATATTTAATACTATTGGATAAATAAGAAGTTTATAAAAAAAAATGTATACTGAAGTATTGAATTTGTTTTTTTGTACTTCCTTAAAGCTTTTTATTTTTTTTAGTTTTACTTTCAAGATATAATCGATTTCCGCATATAATACACATTTTGTACAAAATGATCACATGCATGTGTACTCACTTAAACGTATATTTTCATCATTACACGTTAAATTGTAATGCAGTAGAAACTGAGTCAGTAATTTTGTATACGTATTACGTGATAAAAAGTAATTGCTCTCATTAACTTTTATGAAGTTTTTTTTTTTTTTTGAGAGTGTAAAATAAAACGTAATGTTTTTTATTTTTGTTTACCTTATTTGATTTGACCACGCTACAGATCGGTCGATATACATCCATGCCAAGTACAATAGTCCAAGCCACCAAAACCGTGTAGCCATAACGATGTAAATTAGCGCAGCCCATCCGGTAAGTCCTCCGAATACGACTAGGTAAATCCATCCGGCCGCTGCGAGTGTCTCGATCCTCCGGCTGAGTGGCACGCACAGAGGCGCGAACTCCACGTCTTTTAGCTTCATAGAAATCTGAAAAGAACGTTTTTAGAGTTAGAACCTACATGAGGTTTGAATAGGATTCATGAACCAACGGAATTACCTTTATATAGTATGAAGAAAAAAACTAAACGAAATGTATTATTATTTATGTCTGGATGTTATCGAGCTAATTAACTAGATAGTTTTGGTCGCAAGTACCGCGTTTCTCGGAGCATCTTAAGTTCAAGACTAAGTCGGCAGCTGTTGTCGTGAAACGTGAAGCGTACGTCAGTGTTCGCATCATGAATCTAGAGAGGTGGTATTTTCATTTGTACTTTGCCTTGGGTTCGTATTTATCAGTTGGTCATTAATTAATTTCTACTTTGTTTCCTTAATAATAAACCAACACAATAACGGAGATAACGCAGTGTACAAATATTGATTTGAATATACATTATACTAATGTAATTACGTCCGCTGACGAAATAAATCTCAGAAGAATGATTTCATTATTACTTTGAATTTTAAGGAAATATAATTTATTTTTCCCAAAACTACAGTAACATGAGTAATATGTAATTAAAAAAGTCTTGTACCCTTATACATTTCGTACATATGACAAATGGTATAATTGACCATAGTCAATAACATTTGTCATCCGATATTAAATCATCAACTGTAACGTACATATAAATATGAAGTATAATTTTACAATAATTAATCGTATTTTAGCTAATATTTCTCATTAAAAATACAAAATTATTAAATGATTATATAATTGTATATATGTTGTTTGAATTTATTCGTATGATTTAAAATAAGTTCACGTACTAGTGTATTCCAAACCATATTGATAATCAATAGTTTTATTTAAATCTGTAAACAATTAACGTATAACTTACGAAAATAATCATACACACACCGTTGATTTCTCCATATGAAGATTTTGATAATCTTAAATAATCATTAATATCGACCAACAACATAATTTTCAAATATATAAAAACAGTTAAATTTGATTAAAAATAGCTAATATTTATGTAAATAATAAATATTAAATTTAATACAATATACCCGTACGAGTATATCACATAATTAGGGAACGGATTTTCATGCTCTAAAAAATATGTATGCATTTATGCGGTATTAAATATGCATATATACTTAGAATTTATTCAAAATATGCATTAATAAAAATTAATGAAAAGTAAAAATATAATTATTTATTAAAAATGTTTAATAATAAATAAAAGGTATTTAAAATTAAATGATGTGAAATTGAGAACTATTGTTGAACTTTTTGTTAATCTGGAAAAAATGTAGATATCTCAGTATTAGAAATAAAATAATTATTGAAAAATCTGAAACTTACCAGATAAATGGATAAGTATCATATCTGCAGGGTTTTCCCATTTGAAATTAAATTTACATGAAATATGTACTAAAAGCATGGTGAATATAAAAATCTAATCAATCAAGTAAAAATCAAAAAATATGCATAATTGAATTGTTTATTTGAAACATTAATTTGAATTTTATAGAAAAATATTACAAATGCATGAACATCCAATCTTAATGTATAGTGTTTGAATGAGCAGTAGTTAAATTTTTGCAAGTTGACAACAGACTAAGATATTCTATTAACTGGTACTTAAATATAGATTGTGGATAAAAATTATAATTAAAATCATTATATTTTGTGGTTTTTAAAAGAAAATTTTTATTATCAAGATCATATAACAGCTCAAACCCTTAATGCATTATAAATTTGTTTATACCTTATTAACAACTGTTAATAATTATAAAATAATTTACCAGCTCTGTAAAAATATGTAGTTACAGAAATATGTATGTGAAAAAATTAAATCTTAGTTTTTATAATAATATTGAATCCATATCGAAGAGAAATGTGAAATTAACGTTCATTATAATCCTACTTTATTTTAAAAGAATATAATATCAATGAGATTCCAACGCAAGAAAACTACGAAAAATATGTCCGTCAGTCTTATGTTGGACTTACATTAAAGAGACATAAACATAATGTTTTTTTGAACACAACAAGAATAATTTAAAAACAGAAATATCATCGGTGATAAAATGTTCTCGATTTTTGAAACATTTGCTGTTTCACCGGCTTTGGAAAAAATAGAAACAGTTTGTGCTTTGTTTTATTAAAACTTTATTTTCCACTGTAAAATGTGTCCGTTTTGTTTGTGTTTATTGGGTGATAAAAATATTGATATTTATTTTTTTCTTCTAGTATTATTTTTTCGATTAAGGAAATAATATCCAGTCAGTAAAATAAAAAGAAAATCATTATTAATACTTTGGTTCAACATTTGTAACATTAAAATGTCGGTAGGTACACAATAAAAAAAAAACTGAATTTAAAACGAAATATGTCCAAATATTGTATTCTGTTTATATTTATTTTCGTTTTAATTTAAAACTAGTTTAAACAAGAATAAAACAAAACAAATTTTTATTGGTGTTTTGTTTTCAAAATTGAAATTTATATTTAAACGGTATGTTCATGTTTTGTTTAAGTCTTATTATACTGTTGGAAAAATTTGACATTGACTCAGTTTGTGTTTTGTTTGCGTTTTTATTTGATCACTATAATGTAAACCCTGTTTGAAAAGACACATTATATATATTACGTTTCCACATTTACTCATAATAAATAAGATGTTAAATAAGATGTCTAGTACTTATCATCACGTACCATATTCGTGTTCGATTTATGTATATGATTACATATATAATATTATTAATATTAAATGAGTATATTATATTTATATTCTATTTATAGATGTTTTGATTTACATTTGATAATTATTTACCATTTAAAGATTACCACATTTATACTGTTTTATTATTATATTATTTTTTTTATAAAATTAAATATTTTTGTATCGGTCAGTATGCTGAGTCGTATGGCAACATATATAATATATCCAGCACGTTTTAGTTAATAAAATTGTAATAAATATATTTATATACTTCCATGAACCTCGTTCATAATTATTAACAATATTTATTCTTTAATATCAATAAAACTATCTATCTATAAATCTAATTTTATGGCTTGAAAATTGTGAACATCTAGTTCTAAAATATAAGACTACTGTAAATTTCATCAATTTTCAATAAAGTTTTTAGTTTTTTATTCATGACGAAACAGTGGTTTATTTTCATATTAATGGACGATTATTATTTTTATTTTTTTAAATTCTATAATACGAATATTTTCAAAATATTTTTAAAAAAAAAAAAAAAGTTCATAATTTTTGTATTTACGTAGGTTTTAATACAGGAATATTAATTATAAAAGTAAGATAAATATAATTAAATATATCAGAAATAGCACTTTAAAGACTTTTTTTAATTAGACTTATTTCAAAATTGGAAGTTTATAGTGCACAAATTATTATGCATTTATACAAAAATTTAAGATACTTTTAAAATGTTTAAACATATGTAAATTATTGAAAACAAAAATGTATATAATTCATCTTCATAAACAACATTTTATAGTTATTATTGAGTTAGGTTTAAATACATTTTTCTTTTTTATTAGAATATATATATATATATATATATATATAAATAAATCCCTATTTCTCTTGTTTATAATAATAATTACAATAAGCATATGAGTATTTAGAGATATTGAGTTAGGTTTAAAAACCTTAATTCCGAAAAATGCTAAAAGTGCTAAAAAATAAATCAATATTTTATTTAAATGTAAAAAGGTATAAGTCATTCAGATTGAAACTAAATTGATCAAATATTTTAAATTTAATCATTTGAATTATTTAACAAGGTACGAAGTGCACCATATAAATTTTAATAATATCACAGTATTAATAATAATTTATTAATACATTATTTTTTTCAGTACTATTTTAGGACTATGGAGTGTACACTATGATGTCACTTTGTTGATAAAATTAAAAATCATACATAACATCCATTTTAAAATGATGAATACATTATTTTTGGTGAAACATTTTTTTTTCCTTAGTTTAAAAAATCATAATTGAACTTTTGCATTTTATACTTGCATCAATGTCATAATTAAATTATTTTTAGCTGACACCAAATTAATTTTACCATAATTAATTTAACCTTCCCAATTCCCCTATCATCGTCAATATCAAAATTTTTAACCTACATAGATATATTATTAAATGTACGGTACTGTATGAATTTTTAAAATTAATAATCTAAATAAATTTACTAGTAATACTAGTACAACTGTCCTTATCTCTTGCCCCTCGCTCCAAAATGAGTTTCTGATCGATACTCAAAGTGTCATGTAAACAAGTAATTTTATATTTCGTCACACACGTAAACACAAATATAAATAGCATTAAAATGAACGAATATATCAGTATATTATTAAAATATACTCTACATAAAGTGTGTAAAAGAGTCTTCTCCCGCATTAAGACAAAACAATCACAATAATTAAATATAAAATAAAAGTGATTTTGAATAATTTTGAATCCTACTTATTAATTTCCCAACAGCAATGACCTACAGTGAATTTTATGTACCGTTAATAACATGATGCTAATCTTTTGTAATAAAAACTAATCATGTGTTTGTTTTTAAATTGTGAACAACAAATTATTGTTGTATTGCACAGCGTTTTAGACATCATCTTAACTAACTCAAAATATGATAATGTTATGGTACAAATGTTTATAAAGGTATGGGATCAAAGATTCTCATGAATCTCTTCACGGTACATTTTTAGTATTATGCTTTCAATATTTACACAAAAGATATTACACAATTAAACATAACTAAATTTTATTATTAATAATTATATAACTTTAAAAAAATTATAATATTATTTTATTAACTTAATAATTTAACATTTAAACTAGAGAGAGAGAGAGAGATAGAGAGAGAGAAAGAGGGAGTTAGAAAGATATATTCTACGATTATCTCTGGTCTATTTTGGTAAATTATGACTGAAAAAACTAAAATGTCTGTTTTTTATTTATTATAATCTCTTAAATCTCAATAAATATTATGAGTATGAGTTATGAAATATGTTTATGTACGAGTATAACACTCATAAATTAACAGCATATACATTTAACAGATAGAAAACTTTTCAAAGTTATTAAATTATATTAATTTTATATCAAATATAATATAGACAATAACTAATATTAATATAATATAATAACAATTTAATTTTTCATCGTTAGTTTAATACATTTTCTATATAATATAATAACATTTATAATACTTGAAATCCTATTCAATACCACACCATACCAAAACTCGAAAGAACATTTAACATATCAATTATACAAAATTTAAATGTTTATGATGTAAGTTATCAGGTTTATATTTCTTATCTTGTTTGTAAAATATTGATGAACTAACCTGTAATGAATTTAGCCATAAATGTTTAATTTTTAAATTTTTCTTTGATTTGGCGTTGAATTAAAGCCATGATATTCGATGTTTAGATGACATATTTAAATTCTTTACTTATTCCGTTAATATATTAGGATTACGAAATAGAATTTGACTCTAATGATATAAAAAATCATTCTTGTATTTTCGAAAGAATAAATTTTCATCAAACGTTTTTATCGATATTTTATCTAAAATTAATGATGATACTGTTAAAATTGTCCACTGACATTTGATATTTATATTATAATAATTTCTTTTTGGTGTAATTTATTCGTTTGGTTTCTTATTTACTATATATACATTATAAATACTCAAATTGATGGTTAATCACCTTGATGTAAAAATAATAAAAACTTAATTTTAGAAACAAAAAATTGCAATTCAAAACTGATAATATTTCCGGTAAGTCTAACCAAAACAAATTTTAAATTAATAATTTGTTAAATTTTTCACCTAAAAATTTAACTTTTCTTTTAGCTTTAATTAGGACACAATAATAAATGTTAATGGTTTGCAAAATAAATGATATTAATATTTATGTGTTAAAATGTATAGAATTGTGATTATTGTGTGATTGTGTAACATAACCAAATATGGTTTTTATTAACTATAAAGTGTCTTGAAAATAAATAATATACTCAGCATATTTACAAACATAGGTTATTCAAAATTTCCTGATTTGAAAACCCAAAACTATTTTGAATCCTATTATATGAGACTCTAATTAACTATAGCTGTTTTACTACAATAAAATTTTCAAATTATTGATGAATTTAATATTACTTTTTAAGTATACGTAGGTACCTGTATAATTCTAATTTGTAAATTATAATAAATCTAATACATTTTGTTTTTAATTCATGGAGAGGAAATAGAAAAATAGAAATACTTTTATAATATACCTATGTAATTATGAATTATTATTATACTCGAAAAATGCTTATGGTAAAAGTTCGAATTAGTTTACTTATACTGATCTTAATCAATTTTGTTTACAAAATGTTAAAGAACATACATATAAATATATACCTGTAGATATAAAATAATCATAGGCTATTTTTTGTTACTCTCCATTATTAAAACTATAGTTATAAAAGGATCATTAATCAAATACAAATTAAAGTTAATATTAAGTATTTTGTTTAAAAACATTTAATTAAAAATGTTGGTTATCTTAAAGTTACATTTTGCTTATTATTATTATTATATGGATTTAAAATGTATATTATTTAATGTACCTATCTGCATATTTTGTTGTCTTTTAGTATAATTTTACCTCTGTATATTCAAAATGGTACTTTAGCTTTCATAGCATTAAACAAATAATCGAAGTTAATGAATAGTTATTATAATTATCTTATTTACAATTCGCCATTCTTAATGTTGGCATTCGTTAATTAGTAATTATTTTTAATTTTTAATTCGAAAGCGGTCGAACTTTTCAAATATGATAATACTCCAGGCTAAACCTTTTTTTATTTAGTTATTTTTATATATAAACCTTTCGTTTATTTATTTATATTATATTACCAAATATTAATTAATAGAACATTTTCAAAGTTGTACAATATTAATATAATCAAATAAAAAATAATGAAATTAATATATTTATAAATTGTTACATTGTTTAATCATCATAAATATCACATTGTTACACTATAGTGCATGCATAATTAATATAAATCTTTCAATTTAATATTGTTTTTAAAATATTGATAAAAAATAAAATAAAGGCCATTAAATAAAAAAATAAATAAATATATAGCCATTCGGTGGCATATTTTAAAATTCAAAATACACAATTGCCATTAAGTTGCCTATACGAAACACCGTTTTGCGAGTGTAGTAAATCTTATAATACGTATATATACACGTAATATGGTGCTTTGCACAAAAATTTTGGTGTTCAAAAAGTATCATAAAAGTACTATGTTTAAACAATATTTATATGTATACTTTATTTTCATAAATTTCAAGTCTCATTTCTTCTGAACTATAATTATGACGAAATTCCATAAACAATAGAAGTATACAATTTAATAGCACATCATATTTTATTTTTGAAAGTATGAATAAATAATCTATGAACATCAATTTTAATATAAATGTTACCATATGTATTAGTATCTAAATTTAAAAATTCAAAAACTATATTCAATTTTTATAGTAATAAAAATGATCATTATCAAACTAATATTAAAAATTATAGGATGAATGTACTAGTACAAATATGATGACAAATCGAATGTGGAACGTGGTAAAGAATAAACCCTGAATTACACTAAAGAACATGCTTATGCATATTGTGTTAAAAATATACATTCGTTTAAACAGTTATTTAACTTTTTCTATTTGAATAAAATATATATTTAAGTATTCAAATATCTAATAGTAGTCGTGTTGTAATGTTTCATAAATAAATGCACTTTTTTTTTAAAAAAAAAAACAACTTATGTAATCTTCCACAGCAAAAATAATACTTAGAAATCTGCTAATATAATTAGACAGAAACCGCCAAAAACGATATACATATTATTCTATAACTTATATACTCGTATTAAAACTTATATATAAAAAAAACAATCAGTTAAATCAGTCAAGTCGTTAAAATCAAGCAAGTTATTTTCTTACATACATAGGGAAATTAATTTTTATATGAATTGAGATATATTCAAAAAGTTTCAAAATTTGAGAGTGATTGAAAAGAATATTTAATAACTTACGAGTAGAACAAGCGTTTTTGAGGGGACTCCGTGCGTAAACTTTTAAATCCTCTTGGATTAGAATCCCGCAACGATATTTATACTAATCCACTAAACTTTGAACATTTAAGTCTTCTAACTTTTTACAGTTGTATTTCAGTCAGATTTCAGTTACTATTTATTACAATTTGGTTCCATTTTAATAATATGAATCTTTAAAACACACTGTTATTGTTTTTATACTTCCATAAACATGGATTTTACTCAAAAATGTACCTATTGTGTTTATTTTGTATGACCATTATATTTTTTGATTCATTTAAAAACTATAAATGTTAATAAATCCCTTTAATAATTTTTTATTAGTTTTAACGATTTCCTAATTTGTGGAGCTTTACTGAAAATCGTACTTCGAATATGATTACAGTCGTATCACCTATATTTTAAAATATAATTATAACACCTTTGTCGTAGTGAATCTAGGATAGGTTTACCGAGCAATTCGCATCAGTTTTTCTCATCTTTTTCTTTTGTTTTGAATAATGAATTATTAAGTTTAACGATAACTAGTAAATTATGATCCGAAAAAAGAACATTTTGATTTCGGGATCACCGGAATATTACGAAAAAATATATTTGCTCTGAATAATAAACCGCCGTTCGAAATACTTCATAAGACCGTTTTTTAAGTAGATATTATATATTTATTTTATAGCTCCCCGATCTCAACCAGTAGTTAACATTTTAAAATGGATTCGGCATTTGAAACGTCGACACGTCGTTTAAAAATCTTAAAAACCGGCAGCGACGAGAAAACTACGTTGTAGAGTAACGTATCGAAGCAATGGTGAGTATTTTAAGACATGTCGCATTGAAGTCGTCACAGTCGAAAAATGTATCTCGACTAAACGGTACACGTCTTAGCTAGAAAGCAACGAGTCGATAAATGGCGATCGGCATGTAAAATTAGAGTTATAAAAACGGAACAGTATGGCGAATCGGAAATACTACACGGTCGGAAAGACACCTGGTCATTGGACCGAAAGAGTTGCAAGAGCCCATCGTTTCAATCGGCTCTGCGGAAGTTTCAGCGAAACGAACGCGTTCGTACCGCTCTTGTTCGCGTGCGCGCTGCCGTTGCGCGAATAGCGGACCGCGGGATAAGCCATTGAACCGTTGCGCGTCTCTTGTCGCGCCGACACGCGAAACTTTTACTGTCGCGCGGCGCGCGCGTAGGACATGCCGTAAACGGGATCTCCAAGTCGTTTGTTTTCGCGTTTTCCCAGGAAACGTCCGGGTTCTACCCGGCGGGTGGGTGGGGAGGGGGTGGGGTACATCTCTTTCGGAAACGGTCGAAACGTCAAATGCGTCCGATTGTGATCTCCGTCGTCGGTGCGCGGCGCAGTGCTCGCACGAACGAGTCCAACGGCGTTCGCGACCGGTCTCGAGCACCGGATACGGAAGCGGTGACACACGCCTACGCGTAACGCGTACCCCCGTCGCCGGGTTGGCAGCCGTGGTTCCTTCCTGCCGCCGCCGTTCGAATCGGATACACGGTCCGATGCACTACCACGGTCTTCGCCGCCGCCGCCGCCGCCCCGTCGTCCACCGGTTCGGCCTTTCCGAGAGCAGCAGCGGCGGCGGCGGCGGTAGTAGTAGTAGTGGAAGTATCGTCAGCGGTCGTTGCGCAGGTAGACCGAAATCGACTGCCAGTTTGCTCGCGCGCGCGTCATCGTCCGTGCTTGGTGAGTGACCGTCGCGGCCGTGCAGTTCCCGACCATCAGCGGCGTCCACCTGCGTCACTGCTGTTCGCACCATTCCATCGCCACCGATCGGTTCTCGCCCGCGCAGCCCCGGCCCCATCGTTCGCCGCTAAACGGTTCACGTACACTTTACGTTGAACGCGCTTCTGCGAGGCTTGGACGGGCGCTTTTGGTGTTAAATCACCCTCCCGTCCGTTCGCCGGATTTGATCCGAGAACACTTTGCACGCCAAACGCTTACCTAAAAAGATACGGAACGTGAAGTAAGATTATTCTGTTTTACACGCATTTGATTTTATTGTCATTATTTATAACGCGGTCGAATATTTATATTATTTTTTAATATCTATTTGAAAATCATTTACGTACGTCGCGATCGGGTAATTCGTTTTTATGAGTCCTTTCCGAGTTTTATTTAAATATATTATCGAACCCCTCCCCTGTTTTTGAGTCCTGGCTCCGCACCTGCATTTCCACACGGAGGGGAGATGTGCGTGCAGGATATGCAGTTGCGAGTTTAATCATAATCATAATTTTGTATTGTAACAATAATAATATATTGAAATGTAATAAAACCGATGAAGTAAAAACGCACTGAAGTAAATGGCACTGTTTAACTGACATAAACATCTAACCACTAAGTGGGTCCCGCGCACTGTTGAAACAGTTGTAGGCAATTACGTGGTTAAATTATCGTGTTAGACGCTGTAGTAATGGTTGTGAGTAATTACAATAATATTGTATGTTATATATAAATATTATTACATTATTTATTTGTACATGACTTACAAACATTCCTGTAAATTATAAGTCAAATCGGTATTATATTTGTTTTCCTTTTAATAAACTTGACAATAATGTTTTTTTATTTAGAATTCTAAGTTTATGGTACTATGGTTGAAAGACATTTTCAAAAATCATATGCCGAAATTATATTTCACGTTTATCCCTGCAGTGTAACAACGTGTACTCTATACACAATACGGTCTGATAGGTCGTTGTGTTACATACATTTGATAAATAATTTAAATAAAAAATAAAATCCCCTTGGAAAATGTTCAACAGAAATCGCATATATTTTTCCGCATTAATTCGGTTAAAAAAAAAGTCTGGGAAATAATCGTTTTCTTTAAACAAAATAAGCATTACACGTGTAAAATTATGTTCGAACTCATTTCACAATAATGAGATAAATAATTAAACAATTGTTGATGAGCAACGATATTTTTCATACGACTAAATAAAAATCTATAAAAATATCTATAAATCCTCTTGTGCCTCAATTTGTAAACAACCGCATTCATAGAATTTTAGGTCGTAGGTCGTGTATTTATTATTGGTGTTGCAAATACTTCATTTTTGAAATTGAAATTATACAAAATAACAATTTACGCCTTCACTACGTTTAAAAATATATTTATTGAAAAACTATTATTTAAATATAAACAGCATAATAACTTTAAACATGCGTTCTACATATACGAATATGTATATTTCTGTATAATCAAAACAGTAAAAACCTTATAATTTTCTAAAATTCAATAATTGTCTTAATAATTTAATGGAGTATTTATTTAAAAAAAAAACATACTTGTATATAATCAGATGTTTAACGTCCAATTGTAAAAATGTCTACGTAAATCAAAATAATTTTTATTTTTATTTAACTAAAAACTATGATTATATAATTATCAAAACAGATATTTTTAAATCTTTTTTTTTAAAAAAAAAATATAATATAATATAAAATATGATTCTCAATTAACTCATATGAGAGGTATATTTATTATGTAAACATTTATATCGTGTATATTTAATTTAAATAATGATAAGAGAACTTGAAAACTATTATGTACGGTACATATTAACATGTTATAGATGTATACATACTTAACAGCAACGTGCAATATACTTATAAAATGTAATTATTTATAATGAATTATAATAAAAACTTTTAATACAACAGTTAATCTTTATAATATAACTTATTATTTTTTACAAAAACAAAAATAACGGAATATTATGGTCATTTTAGATCATCAGAAATAAGGAACCCTTCTTCGTGCGAGTTTGGACGGGCTCGTGTGTGCGTGTTCAGTCGTGCACATCAATAATAACTAAAATTTTGATTTTTTAATCTTCGCCGAATTCAATTCTTTATATACATAAAATGAATCAAACCCTAAAAAAAAAAAAAAAAAAAAATAACGGTTATATAGTTGCTACAATAATATTCTTTCGTATATAAGTCAAAACATCACGATGACAACGGTGAGAGTGTTCACACGTTTTTACCGAATTCGTACTAAAAATTAAATACAACTCGTTAGAATATTATTACATTGTGCGATTGCCTGCTGTCGTTTCCGCCGACCGATAGGAAACGTAAGTAAAACTACGGCATAATCCTTTGTACGGGCATGTGCGTTTTATTATTAGAATATCTGTTCAGTTTTTTAACGCCATGCGTCAACCATACGTTATACGCGATGAACGCGATTCGGTGAAAACTCGAAAAATGTACTATAAGTATATGATTGAAATCATGTGGTTTAATTATAAATACGCTTAAAGTGAAAACTAAGAAAGCACTGCGCTGTTGTTGTGACACTAATAGCATTAAGAGATAGATCAAGAACACAATGATGTATACACGAAAACATTATAATTAAACAACAGCGAGCAAAAGTTGTAGTGTATGTTAGTGGTATAGAACTGTATGGTTGATAACCAAACGATTCAAAAGTTTGCACGCATTACACGCAGTTACGAGATTCATTTGCCATATAACATTACGTGCCCACTCATCACGAGATTTATATCGTTTCGCGTATAATATTCAGTTTCCTCGTCGGTGCATTAATTTTATGACTCTTGATCGTAATATGAATACGAGTGTAGTGTGTTCATACACGTGGTTTAGATGTGTATTATTATTTCACCGAAATTAAACACTTTATTTATTTATTTATAAATGTTTATAATGTATACTCTTTCACGTGTTCAACATTTATTCGCGGTTCAGTAATAATTAGCAGACATATGTTTTTTTCCTGTACAAATTTCCTTTCGTTTTCGTTTTTTTCCGTTAATTCGACCAACCGCATCAATAATAGTATGCGTTAAAAAAAAACATAAAAAAATGTTAAAAAAAAACAATGTGAACACCTGCATTTCATTACGATCAACTTACAACCGCTAAAATAACTTACGTGAGCCATACGGAAAGGGATCTTTAAATATTTATCAATATTCAAATTATATCCATTTATATTTTATCGTTAACACGAAAATAGTTTATTAAAATTAAAACAGCATTTTTATGAATCGCAGTTTTTCCCATGCATGCATCTGATACAAGTTATAGTTAATAATTTCTTACCAATAACATAAACAAATACGTGCACGTATTATGCAACGAGCAACCTTATTGTTTCAATATCATTCATCGTCAGCTGTAATACATTATGGTTAACGGATTGTCTCGGACAAGGTGCTTAAACACGGACAACCCGGTTTATTTTTCAATTATTTTCCAATAATGGTGAGAAACGTACTATCTGTATATACTCATACATATATACAAGTATATGCATGAGTGTTTAAATGTATATCAGTGTTTCTTATGTTTTCCAAAGTTGCCAAATGAATTACCTAAGTATAAATTGTAAAACATTTACGTTCAGTTTTCATAATGGAGGCTATATAAAAATATAACAGTTCGTTGACTTCCAACTTATATAGTAGTTATCGATACGCTTCACGAAGAAATGATGGTCATCCACGCTATCTTTGTATTACATTTTTTCATCATGGTAATATTATGTGTTCCAGTGAAAGTATTAGAGTAAAATTTTTTATTATACCGAAATCCAGCCTTATATCGGACTGCGCATACGATCTATATACATAAAATATATTCTCAGACGTTCACGATTTACTATAAAAATAACGTACGCTCTAAGTTCATCTACAAAAATATTGCTTTGTCGAAAATAGGACATAATACGCTCCGGAATATAATCCGTCTTATCTGTAAATATTTAACATACAGCGAGTGTGTGAAAATTAAAGAAGATTTTACGGTATAATTTTTCGGTCCCTTACATTTTTAACGGTATACCGTTAAGAAGTCGGCAATTTTTCGACGTCCAATATCATCCATAATGTATACCTGGTTATAATAACGGACAACATTTGTTTCAAAACAAATTTAAAATACTTACTGGTTATTATAAAACGAGTAGAATATATTGTATGTGTTACAGTATTGAAAAGTATAACCGTAGTGGAATTGTTTTCGATTCGTTTCGTTAATTTTGACACGCTTCTTTGGTATTCAGATACGATATCATCATTGTTCACTGGAACTGTGCCTATAGAAACACCAAATATTTGTGTACAATGTACTCCGAAATTCCCGACAATAAACCGATTGTCAACAAAAATATTATTTTAACGCATTACCTACGTGCGGATGTGATGCACGCACACGCGCGCGTAGGCGTTCATCGTTATGTGTACGCAAAGGTACCTACCAAGTATAATTATCAGTTTATTAGCTTACGACATGACTGTTTAAACACTTCTCAAAAGTTAAAATATCATTTTATAATACAGACGTTACACAATCGCATATTCGCGTTCATGGTTTTTGCGCACGTTTTAAAGTGCACGCAACCATTAAATCTCACAACGATTACTTCCTGGAACTGTTTAACACAGACATCAAAGCCAATCAGACAACTCCTTTTTTTCTTTTTAAAAAAGAATGCCACGTGACATGGCCAGTGACAACCACTGTACACGTAGACTACACACGAGGTGATTGCACAGAGGGTTGGCAAAATGAACAGTTAGCGATACTCGTTAAACTTGGGTATGAGAAAAACGTTGCATTGGATCGATCTACAAACTACTAATAAATGTCATTTATTAGTACCTGCGTGATTTTATTAAAACCATTTATGTTATCTTATAGATCTACGAAATCCATAAAACGTGCTGGCACGTTCACGATACTTTATTATATAGAATTAAAACAAATGCATTTCTTTTAATTGAACTGGAAAAATGAATTGGTCTTGAACACTTGATTATATAATACTAGAAAGCTTATTTAATAAATTACACGTTTATAATATACATAACTATATTATTGTGTATATTTGTTTTTCAATTGCTCAATCTGTGCACTCCTCGATGTATTAGTTTTTTTTTAAAGTAAATATTTTTTTAACGTCCAATTATATGGCTATATCTG